AATTGCAGTTAATCTTTTTCTCTTTCGTCTCTCTGTCTCTCTTCGTCTGTCTCTAGCTCTCTCCTCTCTCTCTCTCTCTCTCTCTCTCTCTCTCTCTCTCTCTCTATTCAAATGTGTGATTCATAATTTGGCCCCCGGGGCCCGAAGAGGGGCGTGGCCATTCAGAAGGCGTAGCCGCGGAAACGCAGCCTTTTTTGAGCGGGATTGGAGGGGTGCGGATTTTAGGGTGGCAGTGGCATACGGTACTCGGCCTCCGGGCCCCGGGGCTCATTTTGGCCTTGCGTCTCCCAAAATTGGGGGTACTGTAGGGAGACCAGGGCAGGTTCCAGCTTACGGTATTCGAGAGTTGTTGCTAACATCGCGAGGCCTTCGCTTACCCTTTGGGACCCGGATACGCTAAGCTTCTCTTTACACCCACCCGGCACTAGCTTTCGGGTACTGTAGCAATTTCCTAAAACAGTTTTCAATCCGGCATTCCGCTAAATTCCTCTTTACGGTTACTGTAGGTTCGAAGCACGCTAGTACTACGATAGCCTACTAAAAAAACGAAACCCCTAAGCACGCTCTTCAGCCATGTTTCTGATATTCCACCAATTTCCTTTTTACACCCCAATTCCTTTTAGAGATTTTGGGGTTACTATGAAAGTAGGGATCGCTACGGTGGTACTGTAGAGCCTACGGTAGGCTAGGAAACTTTCCTAAAGCCGCTTTTCCACTCCATGATCCATAATTTCGCTAAATTCCGCTTTGCGGCTTAATTTATCTACAGACTACCTTAGCAGTATCCGTGTTCACGTAATGTTGCCTAGTCCTGGGAACCCAGGATGGGCTCGCGTTTCCTATAGTATGCCCCAGGCATCGAATGATTTGTCATATTTTTGAGAGATGACTGTTCGTCGCCCTCCTCTCTTTCTCCTTGGCTATTCCTTTGTTCCCCGGGGCTCCTCTGGACGGTATATAGAGGGAAGGGGGAAGGCTTGCAAACACACACGGTCAGCCAGTCGACACCCCGGAATCCGTTGACTCATCAATTTCGGGGTTATTTTACGAGCGGATTCGGCATTTTTATGGAATTCTTTTGGCTTCCTGGTGCTTCTAAAAAATAAAAACACCTTAAAAATCTGTAAATCTTTTTTATGTTTTTAAAATTTTTAAAGTAATAATTTTTACACTTAAACGCGTAAAATTGCAGGTTGAAGCCCCCTGTCTACTCAGCCAAATCATCGGTTCGACGGCGGTGATCCCGGCTATGATGAGTCTCGTTCTGTATTCTGATGCGGAGCCTGAGGGACCACCACAGCGCGCGACATGCAAGAGGAGGTAAAAATGGGAAAAACTGGCTTTAAAAATGGGTCCTTTCTCCCTCTCTCTCCCTCCATTCTCACTCTCTCTCTCGCTCTCTCTCTCGCTCTCTCTCGCTCTCTCTCGCTCTCTCTCGCTCTCGCTAGCTCTCTCTCACTCTATCTCTCACTCTCTCTCGCTCTCTCACTCTATCTCTCACTCTCTCTCGCTCTCTCGCTCTCTCTCTCTCTGTCTCTCTCTTTCTCTCTCTCTGTCTCTCTCTTTCTCTCTCGCTCTATCGCTCCTCTCTCTCGTCCTGTCTCTCTATCACCCTCCATCTCACTCACAGACGCTCTAGACCTCCTACTTTCTCTCTCTCACTCTCTCTCGCTCTCTCGCTCTCTCTCACTCTCGCTTGTGCAGAGTACAAAAAGTACCATAATCCATATCGTAATGTGTAGCCCCGCGTAATCCCCCTACCGTACCCCATGATGTCATTTTGTCCGTTTCGAAATTCTTTGTCCCCCCTCTCCTGACTCACCCCATTTGCATACAGGGTGTATCAAAAAAAGTTCCGAAGTTTGTCCCCAATTATCTCGAGAAGGAAAAATATTTCACCGTGCGTTACCATGCCAGAATGCTTAAATATGCTGGGTATGAAGATTTAACACAACTTGATTTTTTCGATTTTTGAGTACGCAACTGTACTATTGACGCTGATTACGACCGAAAATTGTGCGTTCTTGAATGGGTGGCGGGAAAATTTTGATTTTTGGCCTAAAAATTGGTGACACTTGTAGAAAGCTAATGGCCAAGTCTTATAATTTTTCAAGCTCTACTTCTTTTTTAACAAGAAAAACAAATTTCACTGTTTTGCCTATTTTTACTTTTAATTCGCAGCTCGCTTCAACGACGCTGCCCATGGCTGATCTTTTGCAGATGGTGTCTCCGAATGATAATCTTTAGCACAACACCAACTTTTACCTGATTCTATGGTATTTTAATATTGCTTGCTAAAACGTGCCCCAGAGGGATACTGTAGTTTTCGTTTTTCGCGTTTTTCTTTTTATTGTAAGTTGCGATTTTGCTGAAAATTTTATCATTGGTAAACATCAGTAAGGGTCACCTATTGGCCAAAGATCGTGGAGTTCTAGCCATATACCTTCCCAAAATATGCAAAAAACTTATTTTTGAATTTAGCCACGGAAATTTCTAAATACTTTGATGCATCGGACTGAAAACTACTATTATTTGTTTTCCTGAAGGATCGAAACGTTTCTATGGTGAAAAGAACGAGAAAACGGCGATTTTCTGTTTTCTACAGTAACCCGCCTGGAGCGCGTTTTAGCATGCCAAGACAAAATTCCATAAAGTGCCAATTTTTAAACTTTAGAATGTTCTCTGGGTGATTATGAGAACGCAGGCAAAAAATGACTTACTTTCTGTGGTAAATGACAAAGTTATGAGGGTAAGAGGAAAACCCTCCTCGAGGCCCGATTTTGGACCCGAGGCCCCGGGCAGAAAATCGAATTTTTGAAAATGAAAAAGTCACCGGAGTTTGGTGGATACAATTAAAGCACGCATCGAACAGTGTATGAAAGCAGAATACTGGAATGATCTGGCTGAAGTTAATGGTTGATTTTGATTTAAAACCCGAAATTAACGTTTTTGAAAAGTCGACTTTGGGGAGCTCTTCTAAATTCGTTTGCCACGAAAAGGTTTTGTATTTGCATGGGTTCTAGTTGATTACCCAAGCTTGATCTATGCCAGAAAAGGGGGCTACTAAGCCCTCGAGGATTTTTTTTTACGTTGCCTCTAAGTCGGGTATATTTTGACTCTTCATGGATTTCTTTTGAAAGATCGGATGGCCTAATAAATTTGTAATTATAATCTTAGAATGCGCCCATTAAGTAGAATTAAATAAAATTATGACAATAGTTCTAGCCGCGCAAATGAATTTTATAGACTGGCACGAAGGTCTGCGAAATAGCACGAACCAACCGTTTTGGAGGGGCTAAAAAGCACCCTTCCAAAGGGGTACGGTAGCTAGAAATTGTGTACGTGATAGATGGTCCCCAGTCCTACACAACGAAGCAAAGCAAACACCGAAATTCTATCTGCAATTTTAGAAATATTTTTCCAAAGTTCGGTTTCGGGACCTCGAAAAAATCCATGACCAGGGGGTCGTCGAAAAACTCAAAAATCCGCGGATCTGAAAATTTTTTTTGAAGTGTTTGTGCGATTGTACAAAGCTTGTGGGTATGCCAGAACAACTTATTTTGAGGTTCCCGCCATAAGTTTTTTTAATATTCGATATTTACGAAATTTCTCTATACTAAATTTGAGCGCGCTATAACTTGCCAACTAGACCTTCGAAAATTTTAAAATTTCGGATGTACGTAGGGGCAGTTCTTATGTATCCACACTGTGAGAACTGAAACCGCTCGACCACCAGCAATTCACAAAAATGCAAACGAAGTTTTGCCGGAACGCACAGTTTTCGGGTGTCATTTGTATTGATACGTCGCCAAAAATCGAAAAAATCAAGTTGTGTTAAATCTTCATACCCAGCATATTTAAGCATTCTGGCATGGTAACGCACGGTGAAATATGTTTCCTTCTCGAGATAATTGGGGACAAACTTCGGAACTTTTTTTTGATACACCCTGTATACCGTACCCCGAGTTGCCCGGACTACCCATCCCTAGTGACTCAACCGGACCAAAAGGTCCCCGGCCAGCGACTAAAACCGGATCCGGTAGATGTCATATACAGCACACCTCAAGCAAAAGATTCCCCGTTGCCATCCCCTCTTCATTTGTTTATTAGCCTCCTCGGGCGTGTGAGTCAGACTCCTCGAGTTTATATTCTGGCCTCAGCGCCCGGGCTGTTTGGGTCCCTAGATTGGGCCCCAATACCCAGAGTTGTCTTCTCCCATTTTTGGGCCTCGTGTCCCGGGTTAAATTAGTGCGCGACTTCCGGCTTGGGAGGTAGGGCCTTCTGCTGAGTCAGACTCAATTTTTATGGGGAGGGCGAGGTAATCCGATGAGGTATTCTAGAGGGGATTGGTTAAAAGGCGAGTTCAAGCCTCAAAGGGTGATGCGCATTAATATTCATAGGGTTCTGAAATATCCAGAAACGAGCGTTTTTCGGCTTCTAGGTGCCTTTAAAACGGAAAAACGGTAGTTTTAGTAATTTATTATTGGCACGATTCAGAAGAGGGAGAGAGAGGAAGCTAGAGATAGCGGGAAAGCGAAGAAAAAGTTGAGCGAGAGAGAGAGAGAGAAAGAGAGAGGGGGGAACGAGAACGAGAACGTGAGCGAAAGAGTGAGGGAGACACCGAGAGCGAGAGAGCGAGAGAGAGACAGAGACAGCTAGTGAGAGCAAGAGAGAGCGAGGCAGATAACAATACCTAAGAACCTCAGAGAAACTGATGCCTCTAGCGACGCAACAATCCGTATATTACCATTACGTTGCCATAGATATCCCGCGTAGTCACATTTTTCTTGCGCTACTCATCTTTTTGTAGCATTGATAAGCCGCCCGGGGTGCCATAGGTATCCTATTAAAGCAACTTTTCTGGGCATTCCATGGTATTATATCTCAAAAATTTTCTAAATTGCTAATTCCCACCCTTTCCACCGTACCTGACCACCAGAATATCGTCTTTTTCCAGGTTGGCCACTCAATCGCCAGCCCCCGGGGAGTCATCGGAGAAGATGATCCGGATGTTGAAGGACAAGCTGGACAAGACACAAGTCTTCAGCCATATTATGGTGTTAAAAGGTTGGTGGGAAATTTGGTTTCAGGTTGTCAGGTTTTGAGGATATTAGCAGTCCATAAAAATCAGCGTTTTTTAATGGTCTCAAAATTACGGTAGATGATTAAAATTAGAAATATTTTTAATTATTAATAACTATAACTTTCCCAAATAATCTCTGCTAGCCTGCCTTTATTTACAAGTTTTTTCGAAGAGCACTAGGCCACGTAAAGCTTTACCTCTCTTGGGTGAGCTGTCATTTTCCAGGAACGTTTGGACATGCGTAGATTTTTCTCTTGATCTTTCTCTCTTTCTCTCTCTCTCTCTCTCTCTCTCTCTCTCTCTCTCTCTCTCGCCTTAGGGCCCAAAAACTCCCTGTTGACTCAGCAAAGCCGTCATGGGCCCCGGGGGCAATTAGAGACCTCTGCTGTTGCTCCCGATTTTCTTCCCCAGCTGTTTTCTACGGGCTTGCCCCCCACCAATTTGTGGCTCATTTCTGCGGATCTCGTGCTCTCCCTCCCTCTCACTCGCTCTCTCTCTCTCCCTCCACTCTCTCGCCGACCTTTTCTCCCCTAATGAGGCCTATTCTGGAGCACGAGGAGCAAGATTTTATGAGGGGGGAAATGTATAGGAAATTGAGGGCTGCTGGGGACCGGTGCTCAAAAATTGGAGCATAAGAGTGAGTCAGAGGTTTTAAAGGGACCGAGAAGGCATAATTGGTTTGTGAATTCATGGAAATTACTAATTCATAATTTTTGACGACACCTGGAAGACTGAAAAAAATTTAAATCGGTCTTGATGACATTTTTTACTATAAAAATCGTCGTGATACGGTAGTTTACAAATTTTTATATGCTAATTTTGAGGAGATTTTAGGTGTCACCATCCATTTAAATGGCTTAACAGCTCTTTAAAAGCCCGAAAATCGTACTTTTCTCATTTTTTGAGCTTTGAATCACCCAAAATTTCCCCGAAAGAGTTCTCTGATCCCCCCGACCCGCTAATTTCCCCCTGGGATTTCTGGAGGGCCCCCTAATTTTTATACTTTCCATTTTCCACCCGGTAAACAAGATGGAATTTGCGTGTGAATTCCGGTGATTTGCAAGCCGGAAAAAACAGCTTTATACATTGTTCTCGGGCCCAAAATGCGGGGGCAAATGGGAGCGATGCGTCAGCCCGTAATTTATGCTATTCCGGCGACCAAAAATGATTTATGAGCTCAGAAATCGGCTATATTACACTCTGAAGATAACATAATGGGATGAATAAGCTGCAAAATTGCTAATGTCGGTAGATTTAGTGCTATTTAGACTACAAAATTTTCCATTAGTTAAAGCGTGCTACTGTAGGCCAAAAATTCTGAAATGTCTGTCTCTCATTTAATTTTTGCATTTTACAATAAGCTCTTGAAGCGAGAGAGAAAAAGAGAGAGCGAGAGAGAGAGAGAGAGAGAGTGAGCCAGAGAGAGAAAAAAAGAAAGAAAGAGAGAGAGAGAGAGAGAGAGAGAGAGAGAGAGAGAGAGAGAGAGAGAGAGAGAGAGAGAGAGAGAGAGAGAGGGAATCGGCAGTTCCAAAAGAGTCATGATAAAAGTTTGTGTAAACCGTACCGTATATCAAAAGCTAATTTAAAAAATGACGGTATATAATACCTCAAAACTACAGAGAATTGAGCCATTTCGACAGCTTGAATTGAACTTAAATCCACTTAAATTAGGAAAACTGATTTCCTAAAATTTGTTCTAGCTACAGTACCACATATTCAACTACAATCCACACCAATTTACGAAACATTGCATCTCGGCCGGTGGCTCTGTGATCTGTAGCCATTTGTCTTTTATCTTTTATCTCTTGGGAAAGACCGATGAAATCACTTTTTGGCCACCCGAGAGGCCAATTAGAAAAAGCTGGCCTGTTGATGAATCATCGATAATTATGTATAGGCGAGGTTTCGACATTCCGGGCATTTTTTGAGAAATCTCTTTTTTGAGGTAAGGTTATTTTTGGAGGGTAAGGAAATTCCTGGGACTTCTACGGGGCTTCTGGGGGGGAAAAGCCTGGGGGGGCTTAGGGCCCGGAAAGTGACGTGGGATTTTTGGCGGGGGCCAGGAGTCGCAAAAATATTTTTGATCTGCCTGGGGAAGGCTAGAGAGCGAGAGAGACAGAGAGAGAGTGAGAGAGAGCGAGAGAAAGAGAGAGAGAGAGGGATATAAAGTGAGAGATGGAGAGAAACATTTTGGTTCAATTTTTTTGAATATTTTAAGCTTATAATTTAGTTCTGCGGGGTACCAAAAGAGTGAGAGAGAGAGAGAAAGAGTGAGAGAGAGAGTGAGAGACAGATAGCGAGAGCGAGAGCGAGTGAGAGAGTACCATTGAAAGTTAGAGAGATCTACACTTTTTTTTCCTCAACAATCACTCTAATTTTTTGGATTTTTATATAGTTTTAAAAATATTTTTACGCCCTACAACCCTACTGTACCCATAGAATCACCCCAATTCCACGAAATTTTATGGCCTCCCTAGCCTCCCAGCCCTAGAAAAGGTGATTTTTCCGTGAGCCCACCGGGGTGATTCACCAAAGTTTGTCGACTCTTTATGAGATAAGCAAGAGAGAGAGAGAGAGAGAGAGAGAGACAAACACACAAAGGGGCGGAGAGTATTATACGCGACACTACAGCTGCTATCACCCCCCTATTTCATTAGGGTCCCGAAAAACGTTTTGGCTAAGCCCTCCATTGTGTCGTGAAAAAGGCCAAGCGTCTTCCTAAAGAATCACTGCTAGCTTGCCTCTATTTCTACCTAACTTCAAAATACTGTATTCTTTATTTTTGCCCTAATGGCCGCCACGAGAGTCCGTCGTTTTGCCAAGCCGAATGGCCGAGGTTTGTGTGGGTTTAAAAACTTTTCCAGAGTTCGAATTTGTCTAAAATCAGTTTTTTTAACAAGAATTTTAGGATTAAGGCAAAAAAAACACCTCGGCTAACCGATTACGCCATGAAACTGGTGGCAAAAAATGCATGACATTTCCTAGGTTAAATCATACGCTCAAAACCCTTGAAACCTAGGACTAATCGAAGACGAGACAAAAATTTCCTGCATAATCGTTTACGATAGGAAAATACCCAAACGGTTACGTAATGTAAATTGAATTTGAGGTATTACAAAAATTGCTTTGTTATTTTTAAAAGAGCTTTTTTTAAATTTAGTGTTTGTTTATCCGATTACGACATGAAAATAACCTGGTTAACCGATTACGCCAGGAAAACCAGCTAACCGATTACGCTAGACAATACGGCAATTTTCTCCTTTTGCTTGATTTAGTTAACTCCCTAGTAAAAATGCGAATTTTCCGTTTCACTACGATTTTACGCGATTCTTTTTTAGGAGAATGACGTCAAATAAAATTTTTCCGTGACACTACTAATGCTGACGCAATTTTTAATAATAGAAAAAATGACATGGTGACGAATGGTAAATGGTGACTGTTCCTTCCTCATTCTCCTCGCCGAGGCATTGGCCTTGTTGTCCTCCCTGAGCGGGGCCGATGATTTCATACGGTCAACATGGGTGTCCTCTGTACTCTCGCGTACACACCGCATGGCTCAAAACTTACTGATATGGGGCGCCTGTTTGTCTGTGTGTCTGTGTGCCTGTCTGTCTCTTTCTCTCTCGTTCTCTCTCACTCTCACACACGCTCTCTCTCTCACTCTCTATCTCTCTCGTTTTAAAGGGATAGTGACACACCAGCTCTTCGATTTGACCTATCCGATTACGACTTGTAAATTGGCCCTAATTAATTCCCTAGAGATACCTCGGATTACTGTAACTCCGCACCCGATAGGACAAACGTACTTTCCACGAATTTTATTGATTTTCTTGCCCTGCCTGGGCCCCCTGGGCCCTAAATTGGCCCCGATTTTGCGAATCTCAGGGCCCTAAATGGCTCTGACTTTTTGGAGCAACGATTTTATGGATTTTCGCTTGCAGAGGTCCTTAAAATGTGAAATTTTGGGATTCGATTACGGTAGCTAATTTCCGGAAAAATCTATATCGGCAATTTTGCCTTGCCAGACCCTTTAAAATGGCAAAACTCGCTTGAGGTTTTAGGCTTGGCTTAGGCCTGGGCTTAGGTTGCTTAAGTTGCTTAGGTTGCTTAGGTTGCTTTGGTTGCCTAGGTTGCTTAGGCTTAGGCCTACGCTTCAGCTTACGATCCACCTTTCCACCCCACTTCTCCTTACACCTCTCCCTAGTAGTATCCCCCCGGAAATGTAGCCCCCTTCGGACCCAACCTTGGCCCTGGGCCCCTAGCTATGACTCAGCGCCCTTGTAGGGCCCCTAGAGGCCCCACCCCCTTCGAATCGACCGCCCCCCGGAGGGCCCAGGGCTAGAGATCGGGCCCCAGTGAGAGGGCCCGGAGAGTCCGAGCATTTTTGGGCCTCCCCTCGGGCTGTGGGGGTGCTGACATGGGCCTTTCATAAGCCCTCACCACACACGCCATTCTGGGCCCTCTCTGGGCCCTCTTTTGGGCCCTCTCTGGGCCCTAACGTGAACGGGGCCCCCCTCCTCCTCCTCATTTGAATGCTCCTTCCAATTTGGTGGTGGGCCGCATTGATTTTTGGGGGGTGTTTATGCCTTCCGTTACCGGGGCTACGCGCCGCTACTGGTGACGTGCCGGTACTTTTGCGTTATGAGGGGGCTTAGATTTTTTTATAGAAATTTGCAAAGATTTACAAATGTGTTTAAGGATGTTCTAGCGGTTTTATAGCTATTTTAATGATTTTAAAATGAATTTTCGATACATCTAAAGTATCAAAAATTATTTAAGTTATGGAAATTTTTACTTAAAAAATTGTAATAATTATATATTTATTATTTATTTACATTCTAAACTAAAAATTTATCTTACACATTTAAATGAATTTAATTGGCTAATTTAAGTTTAAAATAGTTAAAATGTATGTAAAAATACGCCTGGACAGTTGGCATTTCGAAAATTAAAAATATTATTTTTTAAGTTGAAAAAATCGATATTTAAATATTTAGTTCACCTTAAAAATAAATGATAAAAATCAGCCATTCCCCAAGAATCTCACCTAGCTTTCATTAATGCGCCATCAACCCCAAATCCTAATATTTGTCCTTAACCGCCCAAATTCTCATTTCCTCAATGTCCTCTGCAAGTTTGCCCCGCTTCAGACGGTGATGACGGCGGTGTAGAAGCAGCACAGCGACACCAAGAAGTTCAACCAGCCCCACCAGCTTGCCGACTTTGCCGTGAAGAAGCGAGGATTATGACGCGAAAGGGACAGCGGAAGGGCCATCGGCAGAGGCCCAGGCAGAAGCTGCTGCTCCCCAGGGTTGAGCAGCAGCAGGCGCAACAACCCCAGCAAGTCCAACGCGATGCTCCTCCTGTGGCCGTAGCTGCCGCGCCGGTTCCCTCGCAGCTGAAGCTCAAGCTCGACGGTTGGCGCTTGGATTTTGAGATATTTTTAGGAAATTCGCATAGCTAACTAAGGACCTACCGTACCCGGCTTGAGCACCACCCTTTGTTTGCTTTTAAATACCCTAAAAATTAGAAAATTAACTTGCTTACTAAATATGTAAAATTAACAAGGTCTTATTACTATTTTTTATGTTAAAAATTCGGGAAATTTAATAGAAATCTCTAGGCATCACTCGTTCTCTCTATCTCTCTCTCTCTCTCTCTCTCTCTCTCTCTCTCTCTCTATCTCTCAAACTCCAGGAATCCCCTCATTATCCCATTCACGCACTAAGGGCCCACTCATCGCTGCGGGACCCCAAAAAAGTGGGCCTTCTGAGTCACACTCCTCATGGGTGTCCATGGGGACATTGCGGAATTTTGCGTGCGAGAGATAGAGCGAGAGAGTGAGAGGGAGAGAGAGAGCGCGAGAGAGAAAGAGAGAATGAGGGGAGGCTAGTTACTTGAATATTCAATGCGATGGCGTGTCCCGTTCTGGGCAAAAAAAAATATACTCCGAAACGTACGTCCGGTGGAGTGTAATGCACTGGCAAAAATGGGTGCAAAGTTTAAAGGGACTTTGAAGGCAAAATAAGCATGAATTTTGAGGAAAAGATAGGGATTTCTAGTCGAATCCTGGATTTTTCCTCTCTTTCTCGCTCTCTTTCTCTCTCTCACTATCTCTCTCTCTATCTCTCTCTTTCTCTCTCGCCCCCTATTGCCACGTGAAAACAGCAGCCGGCTCCCGCCTATTTTTTGTTTACGTGGGAGCCAAGGCCGGGCGGGAGTGGGAAACACTGGGGAATTGTGAAAGTTATGGATTCTCCGAATTTTCGAGGTCGATTCAGTTACGCTATGAAATTCCACCTGTCACCATCCCTTTAAAAGCTGCTAGAGTTCAAAAATCAAATCGGGTCGGGCCGTAAAAACGACGAAAGAGCTGCGGGCCGGGCGGTCTTTATCAATTATCCGCGTTCGTATCGGGTCTCTCTCTCGATCTCTCGCACTCTCTCTCTCTGTCTCTCTCTGTCACTCTCTTCACTCTCTCTCTCGCCAGGACAAAGCACCCGACTGCAGCTGGTATAGATAGATAGATATATTGACAGGGGCAGCTGGTAGTCCGGGCCGCTACTTATCACCTGTTTTTTAATTGATTTCCCATTCATTTTTAGTATAGTTAATTTTAGGACTATAGCTGAGGCTCAGGCTCAGGCTTACGCTTTGGCTTAGGCTTAGGCTTGGTGTTACTAAGCTGTTGTCTCGGTCTAAAGGTCCATTGAAATGATTTGCCTATGGATTAACATAAATCCCGCCGGAATCCATAAGAATTCCCCCACTTCCCAATCCCTTTAACGACGCCTTGCTCTTTTTCCTGCCATTTCGCAAAGCCAAAGATGACTGGGTGGAAAGGGAGGACAAATAAACTTGTCATCTTCCAAGAAACCTGGCTGTCTTGTTGCTCTCCCTCTCTCTCTATCTCTCTCTCTCTCTCCAACCTGCTGACCACCGTCTGTGCCCAACACGATGAGTCGGACGGCAATTAATGTGAATCTGGATTTTGGAATGAGTTTGAGGAGCGAGAGAGAGAGAGAGAGTGAGAGAGAGAGTGAGGGAATGAGTGAGAGAGACAGAGAGCGAGAGAACCAGAAAGCGATAGAGAGCGATAGAAAGTACGTCACACCCCCATCCACTCACTCGATCGTCTGAAGGGCCCAGCGCTAAGGGCCCACTGTTTTTGCTCCAAATTTTTTTAAACGCCCTGTCCAGTGGCTTAGTCATTCCAACGTGCTATTCTTTGCATCGAATTTTTGTAAAAATTCGTACCAGTTTCGCAAAATTCCATTTCATTCCCAAGTACAAATTTTTGGAGGATTTACGGTGGAACAGAGCCGGAAGCTGGATTTATTTTTGGCTAATCCTGTATGGAGAAATCCTCAGAAAAACACGTAGAAAATCGGGGATTTTGGGTCAATGTCATTACTGTAATGAGGTCGAGGGGATTAGGGGAAGTTAAAAATAGGCAGAGAGCGAGAGAGAGACAGAGAGAGACAGAGAGAGAAAGAGACAGAGATAGCTAGATAGTTTAACTCAATCTTAATCGCTAGAAAACCCAACTTCCGCGTCAAAATCCATAGCTCTCCAGCCTTCCAGGGCCCTTTAAAACCCCCGGCCTTTCATAACCTACCCTATTTTCCAACTTTTTCATGTCTATCAGCTGTCTAAAAAGAAGCGCCGCGGAATCGGTGGGATCCCAAGGGGGATCCCAGCACCCTAGTGAGGGTTAGATGCTTCTCCTAGCCTCATCCTCCTCAGGCTCCTCCTCTTCATCTAGCTCTTCCCATCCCCCATCCCTTTCCAATTCAATCCAATCGACACCAACGGGCCCAGGGGCCCAAAAGGAGGGCCCAACCCGCTGTATCCGAGTCCAAAAGATGTGCGCCCAGGTGGCGCTTTGGCTATAGTTTCTAATAGCTCTCCCACCCCCTGACTGGGAATGCAGGCATGGCCTAGTGGCTAAGAGTTTTGTTTCAAAATCTCAGGGTCCTGGTTCGGCCCCCGACCGCGGCAAACTTTTTGCTTTTTGCCCAAAATGGAGTTTAACCATTTAAAATGGTTTATAGTGTTGTTTTGAACTAAACACTTTCCTCTTTGCTAAACAGCAGCCCTTTTTCCGGGCTGCCAATAGGTGGGGTTCCTCAAGTATTTATTTAGCCCAGTTGAGTGGCGGTCTTATTTTTCAAAAACAACAACTTGTACGAGACTGTACTTTTTACAGTACGAGACTGTACGCTACTATGCAATCCGTTATTAATCGTTAGGTCCTTTTTGAAACTCAAAAAGTTTTTTGTTTTTCAAAAACGAGCGCTTTACGCTACTTTTTACAGTACGAAACTGTACGAAACTATACGGAATCGTACGTTGCGATACTTAACGTTTTTCCTTTTTACGTCCCCCCTTTCCGCGAGTCTTTAAAATGGCATGTGATGCGTGAGTCAGGATAGGGCAGACGGGGGCCAGCCGAGCAGACGCTCCGACCGGGGGTCCCGTGTGGAAATGTTCAGCGCAGTAGTGTTTCGTAGTGTGCTGTTTTTGGCCGGGCTGGACCCTGTCTAGTCTGCGTGGCTATTAATACGTTTGCTATAAAATTTTTTACACAATTTTTGTTTAGAATTTCGCTCCTTTTAAAACTTTATAAATTCTGATTTTGCAAGGTCTTTCAAAAATTAATTTTTATTTCAGGATTTTCGCAATTTTCCTGCCTTGCCAAACCCTTTAAAATCCCTTAAAAAACTAAATCGTTATAAATAAAGTTATTTCACAAAAATTTTTGGAGATTTTTACCTTTGGATCGCTAAGTACGTTTCGCTCCAAATTCCGGGATTCCGTATAGAGTAGCGCAGCGGAAACCCAAATTTCTTGCGCTTTTAACAAAATAATTTTTTTTAATTCCTAACCTTTTTCTTTTAGCTTTCCGGTACTTTGTAAATTTCAAAAATTTTTTGCAAAGGTAACTATCAAAAATCCAAAATCCAAAAATTTGTGCTAATTCTACCTTGATCTCATGGGAATTTCACCATCCCCAGGTTACTGTAATCAGAGGGTCAGATAGGAGCCCGAGAGAGGCGAGCCACACAAAAATGTGATTCATTTGTGTGGCCGGGTCGGGGTTTGGGGCGGTGACGTGTCGGGGGAGAGAGCACGGGAATTGAGAGGGAGCAGGCGTGAGAATGGCAGTGTCTGGGATCTCCTCCCTTTTTGCGCTCTCTCGCTTGTCTCTGCCTCGTGGTGAGTCATGGCCCACCCGGGTCGAACCATCGATTGATAGATCTCCCTCCTCCTCCTCTTCGATGAGGGGCTGGACTTCTCCAAGTTGACGACTACGGAAAACGCCTCTTGACGGGGGTGGTTAGACCACTTTTTAAGGGCAATTGAAGCTGTTTTGACGAGTTTTCTTGGCCTTAACTTTGTCCATGCCCTTTATTGGATCTTTTTGTCAATTTTTAATTGCCTTCATACCCGTTTTTATAGCATATTGTTAGAGTGAGCTGCTTGAAGTTGACGGCTACGGAAAACACCTCCTCACGGAGTCGTTCGACCACTTTTTAAGGCCATTTTAAAGAATTTTTGCGAATTAAAATAGCTTGGATTTTACCGCCTGCTTGACAAGCCTTTTTTAATTTGTTAATACCTTTGAAATAACTTGCTAATTTAAACTTAAAAAATTTGCCAATTTTTAACAGGTTTTCCTACGTTTTTCTGGATTTTAACCGGTATTTTGGAGCGCAGCGTAGTCGCGCAATTTCGTGTGTAGCATTAAACATTCCTCGAATTTACTACCATTTTAAGAATTTTTGCTTTATAATGAAAGCTTATTTCCGGCGATTCCGCTACACTCCTTTTTACACCTACCGTATGCAACATTCATCGATTTGCCCCGAAAGCCCTTCCCAGGCCGTCTAATTAACTATACTAGTTGAGAGGTCCCACAGCGATTCCCAAGGTGTCTCCATCCCCTAATTGGACCACGATCACTCTGAATCTCTGCACGCTCTCTCTCTCTCTCACTCTCTCTCTCTCTCTCTCTCTCTCTCTCTGTATCTCTCTCTGCTCTTCTCCATCGGCTCTTCCATTTGATTAGCCAAAGTGCCTCTTCTTTCTTTCGGCCCTTCAGGAGCCCCAGGCAGAAAAGAGCGGCTCCTCATTGATTCCGCCAGAGTATCGGCTCGTACTTGCTCGATTTAACATTTTATTAAAGCCTTAAAAAGGTTTACGAGACCGAAAATCGATGAAGGGGCTTTAAAGGGCCGCTAAAGGCAAAAATCTGGAAATTTGCATGTTTCTTAAGAGCTGTTTAAATCTTGTGAGCCTAAGCCTAAGCCTAAGCTTAAGCCGTATTCTAAGCCAAAGCCTCAGCAAAGCTTAATCCCAAGCCCAAGCCTGAGCCCATCTATAATTCTCTCATTCTTATTATTTCTTATTAATTTTACACACACGAAAGCCTGTTAAAAACTTTTTTAAAGGGCCGCGCAAGGCAAAAATGATCGAAATATTTTCAATACGGATTTTTGTAAACCCATTAAGCACTAGATTTTCCCCCCTGGCCCGCCTGAATCTCGGATTTCAGGGGCCCCATTTTGGGCTGGTTGCCCGGGCCGTGGGGGGCTGTGCTTTGCGAAATCGGCGTCAAACATGGGAATTTTCGGGGGGCGACGCCTCGCCGCATCCATCCCGTTTTAGGCATCGATTTATCGGCGTCCGGGCCCCATATTGGGCATATTTTTTTATGGTTTATCTTTATAAAATTGAAATCCATAGCTTTTCTCGCTTCATAGGCCCTTTAATCGAGATTTTCAAACTTTTCATGCCTTCCAACAAAGTAGAAAATCCACGGCTTTTTTTGCCTTCATGGTTTCTTTAATTTACATTTTTTCTATAAGATAAAATATACAAATTTTTAGATAAAATCCAACACTTTTAATGCCTTCATAGGCCCTTTAACTGAGATTTTTTCCGAAGGGTTTTCTGAAAAAATTTTATTGCATACATAGCAAAAATCCATGGTTTTATTGCCTTCATGGTTCCTTTAAAAATACAAAATAAAATTTTATCTAAAAATTTAATTTAGTAAATCTATTAATTAACCCTTCCTTTCCAGGCGGCTTCAACACGTTCCAGGCCAGCTACCCAGAGCTGTGCGAGAGCTCGGCGCTGCCGGTTGCAGGTGAGGAGCAACTTTTTCTGGCTTCCAAGCCCCTTTAAAATACACGGATTTAAATTTACGAATTTAATTCTGCTTTGAAGTATCGGGATTTACCCTTAATTTCTCTATTTTTTTGCAGGCCAAATGGCCACGACCCCATTCGGAAGTGGCCTATCCTCACGAGCCTCTCTCTCGCAGCCCTGTCTCCCCCAGGGCCAAGATGGGCCCACGCAAATTTTGCCGTTCCTCTACCTCGGCTCCCAGCACGACGCGCTCAGCCACGACACGCTCAAGGTGGGTGCTGAACTCGGGGGGTAACCGATGAGGCCATTAAAATCAGGCGCGGAAATTTCCAAACGAAATCCATTTCCCAGCTGTTAATCCAGATTTTCAACGCTAAAAATCTCAACTTATTCTATTTTCCGAAACGCTCCAACCTCCGAAGTCATCCGTTAGGCCATGAAAAACTCGATGGAATTAAATTATACAAAAATTTTAAACCTAGGGCCCGAAAGCTTTTTCGTTCCCTGTTACGAGATGTTACTATTTACGAACGACAAAATTACGCCACGAAAAACATCCGATTTGGGCTTTAAGGCTTTTGCTTGAAAATTTTTGGTTTTTATGTCTTAAAAGTTATTTTTTCCAACTTGCCATGCGTCCAAGCTACAAAAAAATGCATTACGCCATTAAAACCGGCCATCAGATGGCTTTTATAGCTCGAAATAGACGCTAACAACCCGGAAAACCCTTAAATCGAGGTTAAAATCCCCCTAAAAGCCCAAAAACCCTATAGACCATGTAATTCCGCTGTGGTCCGGTTTTACGCCTCAAAATGCGACCCATTACGCCATTAAAATCCAGAAATTCCCGAAAGAACAGCAATTTTCGTACTTATCGCCCAGATGCAGCGGAGCGTTTTTCTTGATTCGGTCGACCGGAAAATTTCACGATTTGCTGGGCGTGTACGCGGGGCTCCTCAGTCCGTTGTGTACCCAAAAACTTTCTGTGTACCTACCCGGCGACTTTTGGAGAGAGTTGCTTGCGAAAAGGTGGCCACAAGTCACAGGGATCGCCCGAAAAACGAACGTAAATTAGGGGGAATGTGACGGAAACGAAAAGAGGAAGGAAGAAAAAGCGAGAGAGAGAGAGAGAGAGAGAGAGAACGGCTGGCGCGTTGCAAACAGCTGTGACTCACGCGGGGCTTCTCCTTGAAAAATAGCGAGTGAGCGGCCGGGGGGATTGGAGCGGAATGCGAGCGCGTCACCCGTACCTACGTGCCCCCCAAAAAATGATTGATTAAGGCGATACGGTGCGCTATTGCTGATTCCGCGCGACGCCTATCAACAAATAGTCAGCGTGCATAGTTGCCGGGCGGCCTTGTACATATCTAAAAAGCGGGAAATAAATAAAACCCGAAACGCGAGTTAAACGAATTTTAGCCGTACGCGTGCTTTAAAAGTATTACAAATCACAAAAATCCAGGTTGGCGAATTCCCTAAAAATCTTTGCAAGCTACCTAAACTTTTAGAAGGATCTTAAATGGATAGAAATGGGTAAATAAAGTTATTTTAGCGAATTCTCAAATGATCTTTGCTGGTTGCCCTCTTTATCTCAGTTTTTCGGGTTTTACATGTCTATAAAACCCAATAAAACCCAATAAAACACAAAAAAATCGCATCCAAGTTGTGGTTTGTGAATTCCTAAATGATCTTTGCTAGTTCCCCCGTTTTTGTAGCAATTTTTTGGTGCAAAAACTCTACAAAAACACACGTAAAACTCTGGTAAAATCGACGTCAAGCTGTTAATCCTAAAAAATCCTAAAAATCTCTCTGCTAGTTACCCCATTTTCCGAGCTTTTCCAATCCCGAAAATGACATTTTTCCCGTAAAAAATCCTGCAAAACACGATATATTTTGCGCGCGCGTTTTGTTTACCCGCGGCCATACACCGCGCGTCAATATTGACCAGCTCGAATTTCCGCGTCCGCGTTCCGCAAACGATCGGGAAATGGGGGAAAGTTCCGCTAAAAATGGGCCTAAAATGGAAGGAAATAAATAAAAATTGGAAAAAATACAATTCAGCCAAAAAACTATCAGAACCGCAATTTTTTAGAAGCACAACATCACCTACGTGCTGAACCTGTCGCTGAACTGCCCGAAGGCGGACATCCTCAAGGATGATGAGCACTTTTTGCGGATACCCGTCAACGACAACTATCAGGAGAAACTGCTGCCATATTTCTATGATGCTTTTGTGTATCTTGGTGAGTTTTTGAAGCTAAATTGTGCTAGAAAAATCCGTTTTTCAAGGTAACAAGTCTCTAAATTCTAATTAATACGTAGAAAAATCTTTTATAAATACTTTTCAAATCGTGTTTTCCAGATAAAGTACGTGAACGCGGCGAGGTCGTGCTCATCCACTGCCTAGCCGGGATCTCGAGGAGTCCGACTCTCGCTATTTCTTATATTATGCGCCATTTGAAGATGGGATCCGATGAGGCGTACAGGTGAGAGAGCGAGAGAGAGAGAGAGAGAGAGAGAGAGAGAGAGCGTGAGAGAGATAGTGAGTGAAACAACCACCTAAACCTCCTATTAAAAAATTAAACACGTCTTCCAGATTCGTCAAAGCCCGCCGGCGCACCATCTCCCCCAACTTCAACTTCATGGGGCAACTCCTCGAGTACGAGCGGATACTCGTAGATGAGGGAATCCTCAAAGAAAAAGACGCCCGATCTCCCTCCACCTCATCCGGAACCTCTTCCGGCCCCTCCCTCTCCCCTTCTCCCTTCAACGATAAGCAGGACTTTTGCCCGGCAAAGGTCCCAAAAAGTTGCTCCTCCATCGCGTTGTTCCACTCCTTGCCCTCCTCGCTGTCGGGCTGCCCCTCTACCGAGGAGACCCTGCCCCCGAATGAGCACGGAAAAAGGAGCATCGCCTCGATTCCGGCGTTGGAGCGGCCGTGTGCGCTGGAAGGAGCATCAGTTGCTGCGGCTCCGGCGAGGCCGATGGCGCTCGGTTTGAAGAGTCGAAGGCCGGTGGTGATCCCGCAGGTGCTGGGGGAGGAGCTGCCGTCTCCATCCTCAGAACTGTCGAAGCTGTCGTTCGCCTCGGCCGCGAATCCCTGCTTTGTGCCGTCGCAGCCGATGGCGCCGGCAAGGCCACAGTTGGTGGGTTATAATACAATTATAAAAAAATTATAATATTTAAGTATAAAAACTCTATCTGTCTCTCGCTCTCTCTCTCTCTCTCTCTCTCTCTCTCTGTCTCTCTCTCTCTCTTCTCTGTCTCTCTCTCTCTCTTTATCGTCGATTGATCCCGTTCAGCATGTTGCAAAAACAACATCACCTAAAACCTCCAAAAAACAGCTTTTAAACCCAAAACTCACCTCAAAATTTCAGGCTCAACTTGAAGGCGGTCACCTCGAGAACCCAATGTTCTCCGCGGCCGGCTGCAGCTCAATGGTCCCCTCAATCCCTGGCCCTCCGGTCCCGCAACGACAATTCGTGGCCCCTCTGGCCCAGGCGGCCCCAAACGATCTGCCGGCCCCTCAGCCAGAGCCAGAAGTCCCGGCTGAGAAGCCGGAAAAGGAGCCGAAGGAGTTCAAGCTGTTCCCCATGTTCAGCCGGAAAAACCTGCGGTTGCCCACGTTCAACATGTTTCAGCACTTTAAAAAGGTGGGCAGAGGGACTGGCGCGGAATGAAATAGTTTAAATATGAGTTTAAAAAATGGCTAAACTAACCTTTCTATTTTAGCAAAGCGATACCGAGGATATCCCACGGTCACGGACGGCTGATGCCGGACTTGCCTTCTACGCGCAACGCCCAGACAACCTATCCGACGCCGGAGTGATCCGGGAAGGGGTGAGTATAGAAGCACCGCGTAGTCTTGGGCCTAAAAAAATAGATTATTACTTTGCCGCGTCCGCGATCCGCAACGCGCTTATCTGTCTTTCCATTACGTAAGGAATCACGGCGTCTAAATCAGTGGAAAAGCGGCGGTCGCGTCGCGTGTCGCAGGTACGGCAAAATGCGTAGGCCAACACGCAAAAGTAGGAGCAACATAGCTAGAACAAAAAGGGAAATTACCAAATACTATAAAAAAAATAAAAATTTGCCAAAATGCTATAAAAAAGCTAACAAATCCATAAAATGCAATGAGCACACAGTTTGCCCCTGTGCAAAGTAGCGTCCGTACTTCAAATTCCGAGTACGTAGCGCCCCACTGCACACGGTTACCTGTGCGCTCGTAGGAGCTTGGATTTGCCTTTCCTGCGCCAGATTGGCCTGTAAAAAAATTAATAAAAAGACAATTAAAAAAACAAAAACAAAAATTACTTTTCTAGTTTTAGGAATGCCCGAAACAACGGCGGAAAGGCGGCAAGAAGTGCGGCAATGGCGTCCCTACCGATTCGCCTGAATCCGGCTTCCAAGATGGATATAAAACGACGCCGGAGCAAGACCCGGATCGCACGTCGATCGGCTCGGCGTCAAGCCTCGAGATTGCCGTCCAATGACGCTAAAATTTGACCAAAACGTGATCGTTTGATACCCTGAAAAAGCACCCTGACAACCCCATGGAATTCTGTGATACCCCTGGAGACGTGACCCTATTAATTATAATCTTATTGCATGAGTTTTTACTATTTTTATCTGTCTTATCGATATTTCGGATTAATTTTAAGGTTCTTTGGCACTATCAGGGGGAAGAAATATTAAAAAAAAGTCGAATTTAGTTAGATTTAAAGCCGAAAACCTTGCAAAAACTTAAAAATGCCAATTTTTGACATTTTTGCTAGATAAATCGATTTTTCAGCATTTTTGATACATTTTTTTATGGTTTTTACATCCAGAAATGATAAAACCGATGTATAAACGAAGTAAAATAGATTTCTCCTCCCCCGATAATGCCAAAGAACCCGTTTTTGTAAAATATTCCCCTGAAAAGCGGAGCAGCTTCTAGAAAATCAGCTAGAGCGCGCTGAACTTTTCCGGAATTACCTAAATATGACCAGTCAGAAAATGTTGTGTGCACACAGAACCCCGAAAAACCCTACTCCACCATGATTGTGATCCAATTTTAAATCTATTCATTTTTCGCGCATTTTTAAGCTCTTTTTCTCTCGTTTTCTATTTTTTTTGTGGTCGTGACGGGTACCAATCGCTTGGCAAAAAGTATGCTAGTTTTTGCGAGTGTTTGTCGCCATTTTTCCACTAAATTTTGCTTGTTATTTTTTGTGCGTGCGTGAGCCCTTCCCTCGATTTTTTGTCGGTCTGAACTGGATATGGCGCAGACAAAATGTGCTTATTATGATGAGGGATGGAGGGGATAAAAGAATTGAACATAGAATTTGGTTTGTATTACAAGCAAAAACTACAAACTACAACACGCGCCGTTCAACCCTTTAAAATCAGCGACATTCACGCGTTTCATATTTTTTTGAATTTTTTCTTTAGTATCCAATTTTTCCCAGATACAGAATTAAACAGAAAAAAAATTTCTGAACGGTCTTACTTTTCTTATACGAAAAAACTTTACAAACTTGTATTTTTTAAGACACAAAAATCTCGATTTTCGACCAAAATGTCGAATTTTAAAGAAATTTTAAGGTTTTCAGATGGTTTTGCCGCTTTAAATATAGTTACATTTTACTAAAAAGAGTATGGTACTGACTTTTATGATATTAGGCTTTTCCGGACTTATAGGGAAAAGCCCCCCCGATAATGCGAACATACCCATTAAAACCTTGCTAAATTAAAAAAGCCAATAAATAACACACTAAATTAATTAAACTACAGCCACAAATTTCCAGTCAATCCCATTAAACCCTCCGATGGATGTCAAAAACCCCGAGCCGACTTCCTGTCGCCCCCACCCATCGTGAACAAAATATCCACGAAATGGCCGGCTGGCCAAATATGCCCGCCAATGTCGGGAATACATCTCCGCCAGCCATTCGCCTCAAAGACCCCCAAAAACGCCATGAAATTGTTCTACATTATCGTATTGCTGGCCGTAACGTTTGAGTTTTGTGCGGCCGAGGAGGCGGTGCCGGCATCGGAAAATCCGCCTAAAACTGACACTAAAGACGAAGCTGCACCTGTTGCTGACGCGGTAAACAGCTTAGGTTTGCGTTTAACTAATCAGTCTTATAATTAACCTGTAATAAGTGATTTTGATTGCACATTGATCGACATTATTACAAGATAACTATAAATTGACAGCCGCGTAAACACGTAGCGTAACGTAGCGTCACCTACGGTAGCGCAAGATACCGTCCCTGACCTAGCATAACAGAGCCTAACGTAACAGCGTCCCGTTACACACCGTAACGTGACGTAGCGTAACATTTCGCAACCCGATGTAGCGTAACGTAAGCGTAACGTCAGCTTCAGGAACCGAGAAAACCTCTGCGGATGCCGGTCCAGCTATAGAAGCCGATTCATCTGCCAAAGAATCAGGTACGCAACTGAATACGTTACGTTTATAATGCCCGAAAAAAAGCTGAAGAAAAGCTTTTCCAATTTAGAGACAAAAGTAGACGATCAAGAAGACAAGCTATCCACTCCTGCAGTGGAAATCACTACCCAAGAGAACCTATCAGACGAAGAATCTAGCGAAACTGTAGAATCTGAACAGTCCGAAGGATCTGAAGAGGTGGCATCCGAATCGATCGAAGAAAAAGATAGTGAAGAGAAAGGCGGTAATCGTGTACCTACTCTTATCAGCACTGGCTTAGATTCGACGCTGGAAGAAGAGGAGTATGAAGCTGAAGCTGATCGAGAATCTGAGGAATCCGAAGATTATTCCAGCTCGCAAAGACTGTGGAGGGATGGCCAACTGAATATTAAGATTTCTCCGGTTATAACGGTTCTCGGTAAGTAAAAAAAATGCCGCTAAGAAAAATACGGTCCATTTAGGAGCGCTAATCCTTGCCATGCCAGTCGCCTTCCTCATCGTGTTTCTGTATCGACTGTTCGCACGACGAAATCAAGTTCAATATGTACGAAACCTTGACTATCAGCCTTGAGTAAATGTTGCAAAGTTTGCGGATCAAAAATACACCGTCTACGCCTGAATCCAAAATTACAGTGCAAAAAAGCCTACATAAAAAACACGAGTGAAAGGTACCTGTACATTTATTAATGCAAAAACAGAGATCATTTGCGAAGGCGTTTTTGTCGAGTAGAGGCAACATTCTCCGGGTTGGCCGCAGGTTTTTCGGGGCGCTTCCGGGCCTTGGCGATGGGTTTCTAAAACATAATTCTTCTATAATGCAAAAGGGGAGTACCTCCGTGCTAATAGCGTCTTCTATATCGATTGTTGCTTCTGACGAACTGATCACCCGAGTTCCTGGCTTCTAAATGTTAAATAAAAAATAAAGCAGTTGGTAAGTACCACGTAAGATTTTGGGCACAGCGCTTGCACTTTACAGTTGGCGCAGTCGGGCTTTGTCGCCTTGCACGTGGTCTGGCCCAGGCCGACCATTAATTTGTTGATGTCCGCCCAGTGTTCTCTGAACAACCCTTTTATCTTCAAAAAAAAACAAAACAAGAAATTCAAACAGTGCCTTTTCAAAATTCACCTTTCAAACAGTGCCTCAAGTGCTTGTCCGACTTGGGCAGGCGTCGACTTTTCCTCAGTCCAGCCGAGCCTAGGACAAAGTAAAAAAAGCAGTCAAAAACTAGAACATTTTCAGCAGCCTAAAAACTCACCATTTTGAAATGCGATCGACGTGCGTATCGACAACAATTCCATCGACTCGACCATGAGCTGTTTGCACGACCTAAAAGAATAAAAGAAGATAAAGTGAATGTCCACCAAATTTGCAATCTTCAGCCCGACACCTGGGAACTTGCAGAGTTCGGGCACCGAATCGGGCACTTGGCTTCCGTATTGTTCTTTCAATCTCTTGGCAGCTTCCAGCACGTATAGGGCTTTTTTCTAAAGCAAAATTGAAGGCCGGATATTCTCCCACCTTGTAGAATCCGACGGGCTTTAGAACGTCTTCCAACTCGCTGGCGCTCATCTTTAGCACTTGCTCGACCGTACAACCCCTATCTCGAAATCTCTAAAAGGGCAAATTCGCAAAATGTGAGGCAAAAATACCTTCATAGCAGCAAAGGTGACCTCGTCCTTTGTTTGTGGGGACAGCATTGCGCCAACGAGTGCTTGGAATTGTTGGTCCTGGCTTGAATTTTCCTAATATAAACGTGTCTTACTTCTTTTGGGGCATTTAAATCTGCCAGCATGTGACATCCCATAGTATCCACCGGGGCATCGTTCTTGATTCGATGAAGCCGAATGGCATCTAGCTACAAAAATTGTCGTCAAATAATGAAAAGAAAACCCAACCTGTTTTCCCATAAAAGCAATACATTCCTCGTCGGTCTCGCCGCCATGGTACGTCTTCAAATAGCGCCGCAGAAAAGGCGTGATCGGCCTTGCCCCCATCTACCTAAAAGTTTATTGAAATTTTAGTTACATTACACAAAAAAACACCCGGATTATGAAGGAGACCAGAATGAGAAAAACACGCCCGCAACAAGCCCTACAAAAAATGGCGGAATTTCAGAAGTATTCGGTGGCAAGCAAAATGTGCGTTGAAGAAACAATAAATACAGTGAAACAGGGTACAGGGTGCAGTCAAGATAGCCAGCGGCTTCTTAGCGACATCGAAGCAATGCTTGAGTTCAGCGTGGTGGAGAAGTCGAAATCCCGAGGGCTTGGAGGCAAAACGGGATCGTCAGCACGGTCATGCTCTTGCGAATAGAACAGCCAACGACGAGTCGGCGGGCAGCACAAATCCGAGGCCGGCTTGTTTTCCTTGTTAGAGCGGAGGCTTCCCTTCAGGTAGCGTGATCGACGGGTTGGTGCAGAGTTTGGTACATAGAGGCTAGGAGTTCGTCGGGCACGTGGATTAGTCGGAGACCCGATCGTCTTGTCACCCAGGGTTCCACAGATCGTGCGGCGGGCTGTAGAATTCCTGATGAAGGGGCTCGCCTCCGGCATAATTTCGTCCTGGATTTGGAGCAGCTCGATGCTCTCCTCGCTGGTGCTCGTTTGCTGGAGATCATCACTCTCGTCAGAATAACTGGATTCTCGGATGCTGGACCCAGACCTCGATTTCATTGAGAGGTCTCTGAAGATGTCGAACGAAACAATTCCTCCGGGCGGAATCCTCTTCAGATGGTTGACGACACGATCGTGGGTGAAGCCGTGGATGCGTACACCGTCCATCCTAACCACTTGGTCCCCGGCTTTCAGGACATCATTGTTGATGCCGTCCGGGTTGACTCCTCTTATGAAAAACAGCCTTCCTTGGGTAGCAGAATCACGGCCGGTAAGCACAAATCCGAAGCCTTCCTTGCCCTTCACCACTCGGACTTCCATCAATTCTCCTTCGGTCATAGTTGAATTCATCCTAGTTATCTAAACAAAACCATACAACTCTGTTTGAACGCGTGTGTAGGCAGTACTAAGAAATGTCGCTTTTAAACGTGCCGGCCAATTCTGGAAAAAAAACATTTATTATACCAAGCAGATACCTGGAAAAAGGCAAAATCACAACGTATCTCAATCTGCACAACACCGAGAAGGAGGCAACTTACAATCACAACCAAAAATTAGTAAGTGAAATGGAATCATACAGAAGAGGCTAAAAGAACTACATGTCCTAATATTGAAGACGCGGATTTAGACGATCTTCGGTCCGAATTCCTTGATCGATCCATCTGGATAGGCGAAGATGACACTTTCAACGCAGTTGAAGAAGAGCCCGGTTTCGACAACGCCTAGGAGAACGGTTAGGCACGAGGGAAATAAAATCACCAGTAAATCCCTTGAGGGTTGCATGAGCTTCCGGCCAGTTGATCAGCTTATCTTTTGGGAATTCCTAAAAGTTACATTCAAAGAACAGGATGATCAAAATACCCAGTCAACGATGTAGCAACCATTGTCGGTAATGACGGGGCCCATTTTGCCGCTGCCCGATCGCACACTGAACTTTCCGCCAAGTTTCGAAGAGAGATTTTGCAGTAGCGTCTCATGGCCGAACGGGATTACCTGAAATTACACATTTTTCTATAGATAAAAAACTCACGTCAATCGGCACTTTCGCGTAATGTTCCCCCAGTTTCTTTGATTGCTTCGAGGAGTCGGCAATGATCTGTGAACCAAAATGTAAAACAAAGGTAAACACGGCTTACAATAAATCGCGAGGAGGATTTCTGTACGACTTTTTCTTGGAAGAGGCACCCTCCGCCGCCCTTGATTAGCGTATATTCGTCATCAACCTAAAAAAATGTTAGAAAATTTTCCTCAACAATACCTCATCGGCGCCGTCTATACAAATATCCAAGTGTGACACGATGCCGAGCTCCGTAACGGGCAGCCCAGCATCGACGAGCCATCTAAATCATTGATTGAGCGTAATAAAAAGGGAGAACCTTTTCGTCATTGAAGATGTGGGCACACATTTGATATCCATGAGGTTGCCGTTTTTGAAAGCATCACGCATGTAGTCGACGAGATATCTAAGAAAAATAAAGCGAGCGCGAAGGGCATTTACTTGACGGTCGAGCCAGATCCGACGCCGATCCGAGCGCCCGAGATGAGGTATTTTTCTCCCGCCGAGTATGCCGCTAGCCGTTTTGCTTCCTCTTGAGGGGATAGGTTGGTTGTTGAGCTGCTTGCCATGGTACCCTGAAAAAAAAAGGTTTTTGCACTCGTAGAGGCCCAAAAATCCAAAACAAATAAAGAAGTTAGTGATACAAATCCGTACAGGCCAAGGCGAGGCACTCACCGAATGTAGCTGGGGAGAACTATTACAAAAAAATTGTCTCTGGCTCAACAAGACATTCAGACGGATTCGCATTGCGGCGGGTAGGTGGAGCTGATAAAATCTTGCAAAGAAAACGAGGGCTTTCAGATTCGAAAATTGTAGGATGTAGCCCAGATTGGGGAAAAGGGCCGGGCGAAAAACAAACCCATCAAAACTAACGCCCTTGCGCGCTGTGTCAACTTGTGAATTTGTATCCTGGCTTTATAATCTTTATTAAACCTTTTTACAAACGGTGTATTTACAAAATAAACGTGTATATATTTGGGAAATAAATTAATCGTACCGGCAGCATGTAGAAAATTCGTGACTCGACGTACAAAATGGAATTAGACAAAGGTGCGTTAGCAGGTGTGCAAAATTTTTGGAAGTTTTGGGACCCAGTAGCATAAAGATCATTTTAAAAAGTATTAAACGCCGGGGTTGATGCCGGATGGCGGAAAGCCCGTGGGTGGCGCGGCAGTCGCTTGATTGCTTCCGCTTGATGGCACCACTGAAAATGTTATAAATCAGTATCCTTGTTGTTTAACAAACTTGGAGCATTACGCCACATCTGCAACGCGTTGAAAGCCCAGACAAGTGCTTCTACAGCAAAGAGTCCCTAAAAAGGCTATATTATTGGATCAACGCCCTTTGGTACTCACCACAGTGACAATTGAAGCGAACCATGTTCGGTCAAAGATCTGGATAAACATGATAATACCTCCCAGCACCGAAAATCCGGCGAACACCATGCTGTAGACCATTTCCTGTATGGGGGTTTCGGAAAATGCCCAGCATCAACTCACCACTTTTGGCCACATGAGGCTCGCCACGAAGGGGACGTCAAAGGCAAAGCAAAGAAGCATCAGCAATGTGAATATAAGAAGTACAGAGGCGATTAGAATAGGGTACCTGCAAAAGTATAGGGATATTCTTGATCTTAGAAGCTTTAAAAAAACGCTTTTTACACCTACCATGAAGCTTCCGCGACCAGCACGAAGATGAAAAGAAGTATAGTGATGCCCTAAAACCGTGGTTTACTTTTCGGTTTTAGGATCGGATTGATAAAGCCAAGATAACTTACAAAACTCAGTGGCTTCACCAAATGCGGCAGCTCTTTCAAATCTCCGAACGACATCCTTAACATGTTGAAGAAATATTTCTATTGCAAGATGGAGAAGGGAGGAAGAACAGCACGAAACTTGAATCGATGGCGGCGGGTATCAAAAGAAACAAGGGTGATTAAACGCTGCGTAGAATTTAAAATTCACAGCAACCGTTTCGCAAGTAGCAGAAGCAAAAAGGAGCGAGAAAGTGTGCAGGTGATTCAGAACCATTACCAGGGATAACGCCCTAAATAAAAGTCGCCAATAGCTAGTAGAATCTGAAGACGATCAAATGATCGGTGACCCTAGCAGAATGCCAATCGAGTAAGAGTCGCGGAGAGCAATGCAAACATTTGCTCTAAACTTTCACAACCTTTATCCCAGCCGCGGCGCCGCGAAAATACTTTCAATGGCGTGTGGGACGGGTGGTTGAAAAATGCTTAAAACAAGCGCCTCTAATCATTGCAAATCCTGTTTGTGGGGTGTCGGGCCTGGGCGTGGAGAAAATACATTTTTGCATATAGATGATCAATAGGGCGACGTGCCCGAACAGGGCTCTGTTTTCAATGGGCTAGCCGCGGCCATAAAAAGCGGCCGGGTTTCATTTTCCATGAAAAATCATTGTTGAAAGCTCTAGCCTGCCCATACGAGAGTCGAGAGCCCAAACAAAAATTTCGCGGATCAATAAGACGGGCCGGCGTATTGACCGCTTATCATCACCGGTGTTCCGTGCAGCCCTGATAGGGGGCGTGTTTCGCCATCATTGTTTGTTTTCGGAATTATCACCATGATGTCGGTCAAACGTCCAGCGAAGGGCACGGGGGCCAATTCAGATGTCTTAGAAAGTTGATATAAAGGAAAAAGGCAAGAGCCAATCATCTGACCTGCAGTATGAGAAGATCCGTTCTCTAGGAACGATAAGTTATATCGGGCGTGAAATATAATGCTTGAGAGTCGCATCGGCTGGCTGCGGTATGTGGAAACTGAATGACTCAGGTGTGCAAATATGGGCCTCTAGCCACGACCCGCATCACATTCTCCGACATGCCACCCAAGCTAGCAAGCCCATTAGGGTAAACTAGCCCGACAGTGGCCATAAACGGGTATGCCAGTAGCAGAAAAGTAATTGGTAAGCAAAAATTCCTCTACCGGACCGAAAACCTTCACGTAGCTACATTACCAGCCAAATAGAAAAAAAATTTATCCCAAAAACGTGCAAAATTACAAAGTGCCAATCGGCCAAGTTCTGCAGAATATTCACAAGGAGGGTCACAGAAAAACAGCTCTAGTTAATTCTATAAAAAATTGCACACAATACACGGCGCTCAAAAAGGCACAGGCAAATGAGTGTGATCGCGCAAGTAATCATTGTACTTTGAGATGAAACCCGTAGAGCGAAAGACGAGGCCAAGCGATAGTCGGGCACGCCATCCAGTCACGAATGGCGAGATCCAGTGCAGCAAGCAGCGGTATACCCAAAGGTATAATAACGGGGTCGCTATTGAGCCACGTCGTTGAAGGCGCACAAATACGGCAGCCATTAGCACCGGGTTGGCTTCGTAGGCAAAACCTAAAAAAAAAATAAGGTTTAGAAGTAGGTTGCTTACCAGAAAGCAAGTGCATCAGCACGACCTCCAACGTAATCAAAGCCCCAGTCCGGCCAGCTCCGTCCATGCAGTGGACGATCGTCGGGGTAGGGCTGGTACGAGAGCGTCGTAGAACACGGAAGGGCCAATGAGTGTCAACTTGTGTCGTCCAGTCCCATTGCCAATGCTCGAGGGCTAGCACCTCTTCTCGACGAGCGTCATCGACACGCCAGACCTAGAAAAAAAGATATGTTAAAGCCAAACATCGTGTGGCAAAGCTTTCGTGAAGATCGAAAATAGTGATTATACCTCCAGATATGTCACTGTGAAGAGAGGGTCCTTGGCGCTGTCGATGCCGCAGTTGCGCACAATCAGATTCCCGAACATCAGCTCTTGATTCTCGAAGCGGGGCCAGTAATAGGGGCAGAATTCCCTTCCATTTGCCATCCGGCCCAGCGATGATTCCTCGACCGCAGCACACAACATGAATATCAGGGCACTTTTCTCCTAAAAGGACTTGATAGGGAGAAAAAGAAATCGAAAATACCTGATAAACCATGCGCCAAAAGTCCTCCTGGGTGGCGGCTAAGGGAGCTTGCGTGCAGATGAAGGTGTTGCGCAGCGGTCCACCGCGGACGTAGTTCGCATGGATAAAGTCGGTGGTGCCACTAAAGAAAGTAGGTAAGAAAATAAAGAAATTCTAACTAAGAGCGATCATCGCTGGCCACTTCAGGAACTTGGTCACTGTTGAAGAGTTGCTGCACAATACGGCTTCGCCTGCAACCAAAAGCTGGGTTGAAAAATCGAAAATAATACCGGAATCGCGGGTCTTCCCAACAGATCTCGCCGTTTTGATCGAGAAGAGGGCGCAGCCGGACGCGGCTCATCTCCGAGCAAGGAACCACTAAATAATAATTGCGAAGATAAGCCAAGTCCTTACAAGAACTTCTGGCCTTCGTCAAATGGTTTTGGTTGAAGGCCGACTGGTCGGCCTCTTCTGGCGTCAGCTCATTGTTAGCGAAGAAGGTGTCCAGGCGGTTGAATTCCGAGATGAAGTCCATCAGATGGCACGTTAGCTTTCCGGGTTCAATTAGAAGACTCCAGCGCACCTACAAGAATCTAGATAAACATTCAGCTGCAAAAACCTTTTCATAGATCCTCTCCGAGAGCGTCTGGATCCGTTGAACGGTCAGCAGGGTGGTTTCCGGGGAACTGCGATACCAGTTGCATAACGGGTCACGCTAAAATAAAATTAAATTTTAAAAAATAGAATCAATACCAAGCGGAACTCTTGAAAATCTTCGGCCGCCATGTTCAACAGTTCATCCCAGTTGCCCAGAGAGGCGAGAAGGCGATCTTGTAACCAGGAAACCATACGTTCACTAAAGCAAATGACAATAATTAGACGCTAAGAGACAATAATACCCATGCTTTTTCACCATTTCCTCGCGCTGAAGGTCACAACTGAGAATCCCGGGGTCGAGCAGCAACTTCTCCAAAAGGGCTGTTCTAAAAAGACATTAATAAATGAAAGAAAGAGGTACCTAGAACGCTCATCGCAAAGGATGCCGTCAATTTTAAAGAGCTTCTGCCCGACAAACGTCTTCAGCTCGATGGTCTCGAAGTTTGACTAAACAAAAATTGCATTAAAAAATGAAACTTACGATGCGCTTGAGCAGCAAATGGTCCTGCCATCGTTGATAGATGTGGCCTAGAAAGCCCCGATCCGCGTTCTCGTCGAAGGGGGAAGCAGGGAGCCTAAAAACAATAGAACATCTCAAAAAAGAACCGACTTCTTGGAATTTTGTGCTACATTGGCGGCGGCCTCGGGGATGTCGTAGAGCTTGCATGCCGCCCCAACGCTGTCCACGGCTTCTACGGACATCTGGAAAGCACAGGGTGTGGTGAAACAATTTTTTGGGAAAATGCGTCTGCTGAAAACTCAAAACTCAAAACCTCGGCGAAAAAGATTTTCAAAAAGTGTGTGTGCGACACGCCCTGTTACGGATTCTGGTTACGGTACTGTCTTGTAGTGTAGCGCATTTTATCAACCTGCCGTTTTAGTTTTTCAAGTTAAACTTTTGAAGTTTATGAAATTGAGAGAATTTTCAAAGGTTTCAAAGGAATTTTCAAAGGATTTTTTCCCCTCTTTTCGGCGAAAATGGCTTTGACATGTTCTGCAGACACTGCGTTGCGTCACACTTTGCAGCTACGTGCATCCTTGACAATTTCAGCGCAATTCTCGGGTTCTGATGGTTTGGCAAGCGCAGTCGTTCTAAAATCTGCGGCAAATCTATTCAATTCCAAAATTCGTATTTTCACGCGGGTGCTAGTTTCAGATAGCCCCGATGATTTAGACGGTTTTCGGGATCGGCAAGCCTAGTCATTTATACGGAAAAAACTGGACAAAAATAGTTTAACCTTTCAAAAATAGTACAGTATTAATTTGACCGTACGCTTTCCGGTTAGCCCGAAATCTCTGTAGCAAAAGTGGTGATAGCGATCATCGTTTTATTTGCAAAGCCCCATGAAAGAATAAGGTTTTAGACATCTTCTAAACCTCAATAACACCACAGTAACTTTATTTCTATGCTCAGGGTCTCGCTCCAATTTGCGGTATCATCTGCCATCGATGGCAGCACTCCACTAGCCTGGAAGTGAAAACGCGTGCCGCGAAAACTGTTGCTATCCATTTTCCCGCCTTGTACCCTAATTAGCCCATCAATTTTCCGGGGAGCTGCGGAAATGGCAGGTGGGAAAAGATATCGCACATCCTGCCGTAAAACTCGCCGATATTGCGGCGCGAGGTTACTTTCTAACGTATGATTATAGCTTTTTCGATTGTGATACACTCCTTTACGCCGAATTTTGTGGAAAATTACCGGTTGTGGAATGCTAGCGAGGGATTTTTTTAGTGTTTTAGCATATCCTTAGTATGTTTTTAGTAGTTCTTGACTACTAAGAAGGTCTAAAAAATCTAGAATTTAGGATTTCCAAATTTTTGCGGAATATCTGATTTTTAAAGATTGTTTTCGCATTTTTATGAACTTTCTAGGGTGAAATTTTCTAGAAATTTTGAAATTTTGACGAAAAGCCAGATTTTCAGACAGCCTAGTAATTTTTTATGAATTTTCTATGCTTAAAAACGGCGTGAAAAGCTTTGGCCTGATTGCGTTATTAGGACCGTTATGGAGGCGAAGGGCCAAAGTAAGGTCCCGCCGGTGACCCCCCCCCCTCTAACAGTCCAGTTCCAAATTCCCTGTCCGACCTTTTGCGAGGCACACCTTATGCCCGAATCCTCCCAAATTCCCTCCCCCAGCAAAGCATGGCGCCCGAATTTGATCCTCGGCACGGCGAGTCAACAAGTTACTCGTTGTGCAGCCCGGGCGCCGAAAAAACTAGAGCTGAGGCGGCGCCGAGGGCAGAGCAGTGTTTGCGGCAAGTGTCCAGCCGGGGGGTCCCGCAGCGCCGGCCGCCATTTTATTTTGCAATTTGCCGACGCGACGGCAGGGGGAGGAGACGAAAAGAGGCCAATCAGAAGGCCCAATTCCGTCGCTTTGCTCTCGGATCGGACGCGCCCTTTCTCTCGTGCTCAGCCGGGGACTATTTTTGGGTCTGCTGGGCCTTGGTTTTTGCTGTTGTGAATTTTTTGCACGATTTCTGGAATTTCTGGTTAATTTCTGGAATTTCTTAGATTTTTTCTATTTATTTTTGTATTTATGAGAATTAAAATAGGTCATTATTTTTGCCCTGTTTTGGTAAGAATTTTTGCGTTTTTTCAGCCTAGCTTGCGTGGGATTTTTCGCTGTTTCTAAATTTAATTTGAGAATTTCGCGCAAATTGCTATTTAAAAATATAAGCTTATAGGCGTCAAAATTTAAAAAGGGTACATTTTAACGCTGAAATTCCGCGCAGCTTTTTAAATATAACAATTTTTGGGACTGAACTGTTAGCGGCGGGGGGGGGGGTAGCGGGCGGAAAACTAGTTTTTTAGCTTCTTGACAAATATACAGTATCTTTATAGTGTTTTTAGTCCTTTTTGATTGCCAAAAAGTTAGAAAAATACCAGGGTTGAAAAGCCGCTTCGCGACTTTTCAACCCTGGTCCCGTCTGCGCCCATGATATTCTTGGCTTTGCATAATTTTCGCGGATTCAGATGACGAAAAATGAAAAATTCTCTCTCCGTCCCTTTATATAGGATACCGCGACTTCCGGTACATGCTAATTTGATCCTAACAAAGTGGGGTGTACGATTTTCCATGAAAGACTTAATTTTAATGTCAAAAACAACGTGTTTTGTAAAACCTAATATGTGTGCAGTCATCTCGGGAGCCTTACGCACCTAATGACGTATCGAACATACCCCTAAGTACTTCCCTTCTTGAGATACTACTGGAACACGGTGACGGAAGTTGCATGCAAATGCACACACACACACAAACACTATTTTTTTATATATAGTAGGATTTGAAAAGTTTTGCAAATTCGAAAATTGGGGTCCATTTTTCATATATTTTTGACCAAAAAGTCAAGAATATTTGAAAATTGTTATAATAATACTTCTAAAAAAAGCCTCCCCCGCTAAAAGCCCAGTACCATATTTTTGGAATTCTGAAGGTAATTTTGGAACCACCACAAAATTCTGGACAAGGTAAGCTTTATCCGAACCCAATGCTTTCAAGGAATTCAGAAAAATGTCCTTGTTAGCGGATTAACCCATGCTAGACAAATTTCAAGACATCCCGCGATTTCGGGATCACTCAACCGGCCGGAAATTTTCTGAATAGTCTGTCTCACCCCTCCCCAAAATATCAGCGGGCTTTTTTTAGGGGGATAGCTGAAAGCCACCTGTCTGTGTATGGGCCAGATGGAGAGAGAGAGAGAGAGAGAGAGAGAGAGAGAGAGAGAGAGAGGAGGAGGAGAGGCCATGGCCATAGTCCTGGCCAGGAGAATTCATTTACCAGGCATACATTCGGGGGAGACTCGCCCGACTCTCCTCCCTCACCACCCAGAAAAAACAATTATTCATGGATTTCCCGCGCGCGCCATCGACACCACTGCAATTCGGCGCGTACACCTTTGCGGAAGGGGTTGTCGCGTGTAACAATTTGGGGGCGCGTTTTAGGAAAAGAGGTTTGGGGGTACGGTAGTTTTTTTTAAATATCGCTTTGCTTGGTTGTTGTCTTTTTCCGTGTTTCTATCTATTAATTTGGATCTCTCTCTCTCTCTCTCTTTTTCTCTCTCTCGCACCCTCACCCCCTCACCCTCATTTTTTTAGTTCACTGTCTCGCTCTATCGCTTTCTGGTTCTTTGGCATCAACGGGGGGGAGCAACTTTTTCTTGGTATCCGCATTTTGAACACATCGCGTAAAACATTGAAAAGTAACAATTTTCGACCAAAATTCAGAATTTTTACCTTTTTTAAAGAGTGTAAGATCTTTTTTGCCAATTTAAATCCAGTTAAAATCCACTAAAAACTTGATAAAAATACTTACTATGATTTTACTAGACATTTCTGGACTTGTAGATCGGCTCGGCTTTCCCTCTCCCCTCCCCCGATAATGCCAAAGAACCCACGTGCTGGTTGGTCTCTTTAGCTCATTTAGCTCACTCTCTCTCTCTCTCTCTCTCTCTCTCTCTCTCTCTTTCTCTCTCTCTCGCTTTCTAGAAGTTTTTGGAGGAATCCATAGCGAAAAAGTCAAAGCCTGACTTGCCCGTGCCTTTAATACCTAAAATATACCCTAAATATCGCCGAACCGCTCCTACCTTGACGACCTTTCTGACACACTGCCCTCTCTGCCATTTTGAGGCCATTGACTGCCGGGTGCGGCCACAAATCGGCCACTTCCGGCGGGTGGGTCCCGTCGGGATTGGCAGGCTGCCAATCCCGACGGCCACTCCCCACCAATCTCCTCTATAATTACGACTCCGCGAAATTACCTCCCCCGATTGCATAGTTGCCGTTTACAGCCCATCATCGTACGCTCTTCGCGGGACGATGATTTAGCGCGGGAATTCCGGGGAATACGTATTTTCAAGCGTTTTTAGTATACTGGCGTACTACCGTACGACCGTATTTCGATACTGGGGTACTACGGCAGAAAAAAAATGTCTTGCCGGAACCAGCCTTTTTTGCAGGGGGTTGGCTCGAATTTGTATTTTTGAAAAAAGTCGGTATTGGATTTTTTCGGACTCCTAGATTTTCCCAGGCTCAGTTCTGGGAACGTTCTTTGATTTTTTTAGTCTTACTCCTGCCGAACATGCCAGGGTTACTGTAGTCGTCCAAGGTCTAGCTGACAATTTTGGCTGGCCTATTGTTTTCAATTTTTTGGAGCTTTTGCGTTATCGGGGGGGGGGGCAAAAAATCGAGTTGGCTTATAAATTTTTGGGAATAAAAAAGTGTATTTTTGTTGTATTTACAGTTACCGGTAGCGAAATTGTTATGACAATTTCAAAAACGACCTCTTCCAGCGTTTTTAGCTGGTTTTTGAAAATATTTCTGAAATTTTATGCCGGTCCCCCTGATAATGATTCAGTACCATTTTTCAACCACCAGTGTTTCTGGGGCACTTTTTAGCAAGCTGGTCATCGGACTTTTCCGAGCGCCCCGAGAAGGGGAAAGCCTTCCTTCCGCTTGACCGACCCCGGCTTTTAGTCGGCGATGTTTGGGAGGTGTAGTCGGGTTCTTTGGTCCTAAAAAGACGTTTTGTTTGCGATTAGTGCAATCTGCAGGGGTGGTGGATTGTTTTTGGACTCGGGGGAGAAATCAAAGAACCCCTGCTAGACCGCTGCTATCAGAAGTCGTCCAAGAATCTCTGCTAGCCTGCCCGTGCAACAAAATCCTGCAAGAATCTTGGTCTGCCTTCTCGTTAGCAGGCCTTCTGCCTCTGCCAAAACTCTGCTAAACTCAAAGATTCCCTAAAATTATTTCTGCTAGCCCGCCTCCTCACCCAATTCCGCAAATGGTCTTCGCTAGCTCGCCAATTCTTCAAAGAATCTTTGCTAGCCTCTCTCCCCCTCTTCCCCTCCATCTCTCTCTCTCTCTCTCTCTCTCTCTCTCTCTCTCTCTCTCTCTCTCTCTCTCTCTCTCTCTCTCTCTCTCTCTCTCTCTCTCTGTGCTCTCTCAAAACCAATCTGTGCAGAGTATCGCCTCGTAGTCGCTGGCTGTTTATACGCGGCGCTCCACTTTACACTGGTATCCTGGGCGTTTTAGACCATTTTCGAGTTTTTATCCATTTCTCAAGTTTCCAAATTTGACGTAGTACCTTACGAGGGTCACTTTCTCATCTCCAACTCATCCAAATTACGACTGCGAATAATTATCCTGTCGGAATGCCGTAGGACCCGTCTGGGGGTACAAATCGGAGGCCCTTCCCCCCTCCCCCGGTGCCGCGTCTCCCGACAACCACCCACCCCACCCAGCCACCAGAATGGCGATTTCGAGGGGCTTTTTATTTCCGCACAGCCAAACCAGCGGGGAAATTGCTTTCCAGGGGGGTGGTTGGCTGGGGGCTACACGTGCGCGCGAATTGATCCCGGGGTCCCGGCACGACATTTTGTCATTTTAAAGGGATTGGTACACGAGGGGGTGATGGGTTTGATATGGCTGCAAATGTAACGTTTTTAGTCAATGTATCGGTTTTTCTTCCGGTTCTGTATCTGGTCGTGACGCTTTTTGGAACTTTTCGGAATTTTTGCATTTGGAGCGCGGGATCGACATGTGCGGTGGAGTATTGCGTAGTCTTTCGGGGTACTTTGGCGTTATCGGGGGATAACTTCTTTCTTAGCATCGAATTTTCCAAATCATTACAAAACAAGTGTTTGTTAGCAGTTTTTTACTATTCTAAACGTGAAAAAAAACTTAATGAAAAGTGAATTGTTTGCCAAAATTAAAATTTTGCCAAATAAAATTTAACACCTTAAAAGTTGAAATTTGACTAAAATTTACTAAAAGCACGATTAAAATGCTTGCTATTACGCTACTAGGCATTTCTGGTCTTATACAGGAAAAAGTCGTCCCCTCTCGATAATGCAAAAGGTTCGAACGTTTGGAGCTCCAGCTCCTTTTTGAGCTGTTTGGTATAAGTTTCACTTTTTTTACGCACCAAGCTACAAGCCAAATCCCTGAAAACACCTGCTCCTTACAATGGTTCATTCTTTGTTTCCCGATTCCCAGCTCTTGCTCCTCTGATGTCGACTCTTCGAGCATAATTCAGTGAGTGTGTGTTAGCGCTCCCTCCACTGTAATTGGGGGAGAAGCTGTGGAGATTCGGAAAGCCATCCGGATTCTGGACTGCCGACCGGCCCTGCCGTGAAAAAGTTTATGTCCAGCTCGGCCAATCGGTCGAGTGGCCCATTTCGGGGGATTTGGGGGGCTGAAATGACGGAATTTCCGGACGTGAGGGCGGCATTTCCGGAATCAGATCCATGGACGGGTCGGCTTTGTCTTCTTTTCTGCCATTCTAGCGCCTTTAAATTATTAATGCTGTTGATAATGTTTGCATGATTCTTGGGAGTGTTCCTCTTGGACTTTTGACGAGTTTTTCATGTAACTATTGCTTTTCTAATTCTCAAAATATTTATTTTAACTTTTTTAAGGGGGTAATTCTGTAAAATTGCGTTTTTTTACGTTTTTTCCTTTTTACACTCGGGTTCAGGTTCTTTCGCGTTATCGGGGGGGGACGTGTAGAAAACGGTTATTAGATGTTCAACGCGTTTCCTTTGAGTCGATGGTCAGACTGTTTATTCGGGCTTGCACTCACATATATATAGCCACGTAGGAGGGGGAAAAGATGTAGAGTGCGGAGAGGGCCAGAGGGGAGGCCATTAGTGGCCGAGATGGAGCAAAATGTAGGGGAAAAGGTGACCGTCCGGGGGGAGAAGGAGATGAGGGGGCGAATCATCTTTACGAAAATATTAGTATAAAATTCTATTTTCGACAGGACGTAATTTTTCCTCACAAACTCAGAAAAGCCTAGTAACTTAATTATAATATTAGTATAGTATAGTATATTCAAAATTGAACTATAGATTTCAAGTGGAAAACGACCAAAAACTTTGTAAACTTTTTAAAAATTCGAATCAACCATTTTTCGACCAAAAATCGGTATTTTTGCATTTTTCATAAAAACCGTGTAACGTTTTTGCGCTTCGAATAGTTAAAAGAGGTCTACTACTTTTACTTATATTAGAAAATGCAGAATAGTAAAAATTTCCGCCTGATAACCGTCCCCCCCCCCCCGATAATGCACTAGAACCTGAAAACGAGCGATTCAGTAAAATATTATCTTTTTCTCTGTATTGTTTAATGTTATAGCTGTCACCTTCTGTTATTTTAACGCCCTATTTAGTGAAAAAAGATGGGCCTCAGCTCGCTCGGCCGATACCCGCACGTGTTGAAGACGATCGCCTTTGTAGGTTTTTGAAGGTTTTCGGCTGAAAATGTGACGATTTTGTATTTTTTTGCTTAGAAAATAACTTTTTCGTATTTTAAGGTGGTGCTCGTGATCCTGGCGGGCTTTCTCTGGGCTCACGAATCCTCATCGCGACGTGCCCAGTTGACCACGTGGCAAATCTTGCCCTACCTGCTCGTTTTGACGTTCGTCTACGAGAAGCGCGAATATTTGGAGGAGCACCCGAGCTGGCCATTTTGGGTACGTGGATCTTTGAAATTAGTTTAATTAATTTAATTGAAATTCAAGTCTTCGGAAATTAAATCAGGTTTAATACCTATTTTAATCATGTTTCCAGGAAATTTAAAAGCTGAATAAAAGTTAAAGCGGAAAACTCTAAAAAAACTTTGAGATTTTTTTATCGGAATTTTCGTCAAAAAACCATTTTTTGCTTGCAAAATCGAATTTTTCCTTTTTTACAAGGAAAAAATGCAAAGTTTTACCGTCATGGTTCTTTGACATTATCGGGGGAGGATGCAGAGTTAATTCCTCTAATTCCAGAAATGCTTAGTAATACTAGAACCGTGTTTTCAGTAAAATTTAACTATATTTAAAGTTACAACTATCTAAAAAACTTTTAAAATTCGAAAGTTTTTAGCAAAAATCGTCATTTAGACTCGAAAAATGGATATTTAGTAGTTTTTAATAATATTTTGCAAAGTTTTGCGCTTAAAAAATAAAAAACACTTTCGAAACACTTTATCTATTTATATTTTAAATCTTGGAAAATAATAAAAACGTTTTCAGGAGGTGTTCTTCTCTATTCTCTTCCTGGGGGTGTCGCTGCTGAACACGACGGTCATCGCCGTGGCGACATTTCGAGCCCCTGATTGTCTTTCTTACGTTGCACTGGTAAGTATAGCTATAAAAAATAGTTATAAAAACCTTAAAATTTCAATCAATAAAAATATAGTTATAATCTTCTTAAAATTTCAAAAAATTGTGATGATTTCCAGGTAGTCTCGGCGATACTGGTCGCGATTTGGCTGTGGAATTTTCTGCACTTTTCGGCTAGGGCATGCCGACGATACAGGGTATGTTTTTATTGTTTTGCTTTAATGAGGTCTTTCCAAAGGTTATCAACCTTTAATATATTCAAAACTGCTTTTTCTACAGCTTCAAAAAAACCTAAAAAATTTTTCAGGTGGTCCGGAAAGAGCCGCCGGAAGGGGAAAACGGCAGTTTTCGCGGCATGTCACCACCGAGAATTACCGTTGAAGAGCCGTCAGATGCTTAATTAAACAATATTGTTATCAAAAATATGCTGAAAACCTCTTCTTGACCCTTTTCTCAATTCTCTGAATTTTTCAACGTTATTAGACGCCAAAATTCACCTTTAAACTCATCTGAAGTTGTCTTCTAGCTTGTTCTTCGCGTGCTTGTCTCTCTCTCTCTCTCACTCTCTATCTCTTTCCCTCTCTCTCTCTCTCTTTCTCTCTCCTCTCTTGCTCAACGATCAGCTGTTGAATCGGGTCCCCGGGGAATATTACAAACCTCTAAAAAATTTCCTTTATTCCCCGGAATTTTAATAAATCGTGTAAATGCAATGAGGACAATGACGAGAAATTAGTTAAATGCAAGGTATAGATGCAACAAAACGTTAATACAAACATTACTAACAAAAATAAGCTTGAAAACTGCTAAAACTAAACATTTGATGGAAAAATAAGACAACGGTCAGTTAATAAACCCAAAATAAATAATTTTAACACGAAATAAATGCAATACAAAAGTCAAATTATCACTTGATAACAAAAATAAAGTATAGAAATTGCTTTAAAAAGCTTAAAACTATAAATTTCCGGTGGTAAATGAATAAACTATCGTTTTTAAAGTTTATAACGTTTTTAAAACTAGCAATAATCTAAATCAATAAGTTATCAGCTAATTTAAAAGATACCAAGATGGAAGAAAAACAATTTTTAAGGTATCTACATTCTTTTAAATAGAATTAGTACGCAGGAAGGGCTTTTTCTTCATCAGCGCCGATTCCTTGGAAAGGCGCACAAATTGCTGGAGCCCAAAATAGCCGGCAACATCGCAGACGAGCGGCATGACAAGGTCGTCTAAAGGAGTGTAGCGTACTTTAAACGAAATTCGGTGTTATATGCCTTTAATAAAGGTATTAAAGTTGATACTACACTTTTAATAAAGTTAGATAATTACTTACCAATGATGGAATGTGAATTCATTTGATTAATGACATCAATCCAGGATAGGCGAGGTTCGCGGGCTGTATCGATGGCTGTACCGGAAGCGGCTTCTTCGGTAAGCCTTAAAATATTGTTTAAAATCTATTTACAAGTTTTAATGAATAAAATACTAACGAAAATAGGTTCAAAAATAGTTGTAACGTATCTTTATCATTGAATAAAGTTACTACAGCTTTTATAACTAGAAATAATCCTAAAAATTACTTGCCTCGTGTAATCTTTCTCCAAATGCCGCCTGAATTCGTTGAGGCAAAAGTGTAGATGAACTTCGCCGGTGCGCAGGTAGTGAAATACGGTATCCAGGGCCGATTTTAGCAAAAGCTCGCGAGCACGACCACGACGGAGGATGCTGAGCGCCGAGACTGGAATTTTTGGTTATTTTTGAGCTGTTTATCTGCTTATTTCATGAGTTTTCAGCCTTAAAAAAAAGCCAGTAAACTCAGATACCTTATTTTCATACAAAAATAGCGTTCCAAACGTAGAAAATTTTATGTATTTTCAAAGCCATTAAAGTGCTTTTTGAGGGGTTCTACCTAGGAAAAACATTAAAGAGCTCCTGAAAAAGTAAAACATTAAATATCTAAAAATGCCTTTTTAATAAAGTTGATAGAACTCTCCGGATTTTCGAGAAAAATATATTAGCGTTTCTGGGGTCCATTGAAAACCACCGCGACCAGAAAAATCGCCTTTTAAAAATAACCATAAAAGGATAGTTTTATAATACCAAATAATCCACATATTTTATCTCTATTTAAAAGATACCTGGCAAAAAATTATCTGAAATTTTGTTCCTCCTATGAAAACCTACGCGTCTTGTATTTTTTTCTGCACCCCCAGCCAGACTGGGAAGGGGCGGGGCCTGGCAGATAACCCCTCCCAGCGCCCCGTCTCCCCGATCCTTCGTGGCCTAGTGGTCTGTGGGCGTGGCCCCCAGGCCGCATGACCCGGGTTCGACCCCCCGTCGATGATTAGCAAGACAATGTCAAGCATAGTTACCGCCCCAGTCTGAAGTGCAATGTAGATTGGTATCCCGAGGATGAGACACTTTTTGCTTTTGCCGTTTATAAAGTGGTAAATGCCAATTTAAAGTGAGCCATGTTTATGCATTAAAAAGATTTTTTAACATCGTAATACCTACTTTGAACGTTCAAATCAGCCCCAATCGTGATGGTTGCATCAAAATCGGCAAAAGCCGTCCGGTCGGTGGCCGGCGTGTAGAATGATGGCTTGTGAGCGAGGGCGGTGGCCGAGAGATCGTCGTGAGCTCTTCCTAGGTCCACTTGGGGAGAAAGGGTTATTTTATGCAGAAAAAAATACGTATTATTGCACTTTTTAATTGTAAAAATGCTAAAAAGTTACCTAGTATAATCGTTAAAACACGGCTATGATGCGAGCCGTTGTCGTACAATTTCTGGGCGGTTCGGGCGAGGAATGAGTCTCGTTCACGGCGTAACTGGAAAAACAGTAGTTTTATTGATGAAGCCTTTGAAATTTTGGTAAAAGCAGTAGAAATAAGTTTCTAGTTTTGCTTTCTTAATTTTACGAGGTTATAAGGATGTTTTTTCGATGTTTTTGCTTACATAGAGCTCTAAAAACCCTAAATGAGTCGATCCAGTTAACTTTGAAAGTTTTAATTAAAAAGACCAACATGAGCAAGCTGGAAAAAGTTGACTAACGGAAGTCCTCGAACACTTCTCTCTCCGCGTTGCTGGTAGATGACGTGAACCGGGCGGACAAATAAGTCGTGAGCTTCGATTCGAGCTACCAGGGGACGAAGCTGGAAATATTACTTTATTTATTGAAATTTTAGAAATACAACTTTGAACCTTTCACTACAAAAATACAAAAAAATAATTTTTTAGGAAAAATTTCGAAATTTTAAAAATTTTTCTGGTTTTTATCAATAGATTTTCCACATTAAATTTTGGCTGAATTTGGTCAAAAAGCGTTCAAAATATTCTTTTTACTTCCAGGCAAATAACTGCTCAAGCGTGCTCAAGCCTCTGATACGCCTTACCTGATAATACTTCGCTTCTTCAAGCAGCTTTTCTAGTACATCGGCTTCATTTGGGAGTACATGCGTCCCGCGAAGATGGTTCAGAATCTAAGCTCATTTTCGGTTTTTTTTATGCTTAAAAAACCTCTGCAAAATGGGTCCCGTCACGATCGATAAAACGGCGGCCGGCCTCCGTTTTTGGCAAATCCCAACGGCCGCTAAAACGCGTAAAATATTGTTTTTAGTAGTTCAATTGTCAAAATCTTTTTGTTCTAAAATGGTTTGACGATCCCTGGGTGTAAAATCTAGAAATTTTAATAACAAAAGTGCAAAATAAATCGATTTTCGGTCGATTTTCGGCCAAAATTCAAAATTTTCTCAGTTTTAGAAAGTTTTCTCCCGAAATGGATTAAACGATACTATTAAAATACTTGTTATTTTGGTAGGCATCTAGGAAAACGCCTGGTCCCCCCGCTAATGCAAAAGAACCTAGTTTTTTAAGCTAAAAACCGACCTAAACATCGCGGCGAGCATACTGTCTTGATCTGATAGCAGTGTGGCGAGAGTAGTGTCATGGAATTTCCCGCCGACCGACAGTTCTATTAGTGTTTGTTGATTTGTGGTGAGCATCCTGTGATTTTGAATGGAATGCGAGATCGATGGTGTCCCTTCTGGGGGATCCCGAGGGGGTGGGGCTAATCTGGGGCCCAGCCCGAATTGTCATCGGGGATCATCTTCAATCACCATTTTCCGACTGAAAATCAGCTTTTCGGGGGTGAATGATGCCGAAAGTTGTTTTGGTACATTTTCAAAAAAATTGGAAAGTACGCGAGGTTGATGAACTGTTTTCAAGAAACTAGGTATATGGACGTACGGTACTGTATTGTTGACGGGGGGATTTTTAGCTAATTTTTATTTTCCAGGCCTAGATTTACCGGTTATTAATATATAATATATTTTTATATTGTCTCTACTGGTTTTCTAGACTAGAAACTTGCCAAAAAATATTTAAAAATTTGAAAATTTTCCATTATTTCTCGTTTTTCATGCATTTTTAGGCAAAATTCAAAAATTACGGAAATTTTTATAGTGTTTCTGAATTTTTTGGCATCTAAAAACGGTGTAATTTTTTAGAAAAAAGGGTACAGATTTCGTTATAGAGCCGTTGGGAATTCCTGGGGACAATTTGGTTCCGCCTCCCTCCCCCCACCCCCGCCAACAGCTCAGCACCGTATTTTTGCTCCAGAAATGATCACGCGAGCCGCCTCCAATTCCGGCTACTATGTGCTGTCGTGGTATGCGTAACCCTTATCAGCCCCCCTCCAAAGCCACCCAAGAAACAAGCCACCGAATTGCGTGGATTGCCGCATCGATTATGACCCAGAATTTGGCCGCTAAAAGCTTTGAGCCTGTTCTTTGTTGTTGGCTTTGCGTAGGCTTAGGCTTGGGTTTGGGCTTCGCTCAGACTTAGCTTAGGCTTAGCTTCGGCTTAGCTTCGGCTTAGCTTAGGCTTGGCTTAGGCTTGGCTTAGGCTTGGGCCTGGGCTTAGGTTTATTATGCTTAGGCTTCGGCTTGGCTTAACCTCAGGCTTAGGTTTTGGCCTACGCTTACAAGGGAAGTGCACGACCGGCCCACGCGAAATCGACACGAGACATAGTGGATCTGATAGAATCGGACCCGGGGATTCCGAATCTGTAATCAGAATTTGCTAAATAAAACGGAGAAAAAAGTTATGAAGCTTCAAAGTTGGCAAAATCGCCCAAAATCGGACTTTTATGGGCCTGTAAAACCCAGGGAATGAAAATTTGCCACAACCCATTAGTGCATCTTGTTCAGCAGAAAAAGCGCTTTCGAATGAGCCATCTTCAAAGGAACCTTCAAAGGAACCTTCCTAAGGAACCATTTCCTTTAGAAAAATCATTATCACCTATATTCTTTTACCGTTATATTCTCTTTTATCTTATCTTAGTCCAAAACAAACTTAAATTCTTTAATATACTCCTAAAAACTTCACTTTATCATAGTTTTCAGTTACCCACCACCTGTCTCTACCTATTTCCATTAAACCTGCCCACTTTTAACTAGCTCTTTTCTTCTCTATACCTAATCTCAATGTACAACACAACAAAATTAAACCAACGATTAAGCCGATATATTTAAATTATTCCTTCAAATGAGCCTTAGCCATAAATTTTACAACTATAATATTATTACATTTTCACCCAGAAGCGATGTTATGTTAACAAATCATTACTAACTGTGCCGTTTGGTGATCTGGTTCAAGAGGTTATCGGCATACGTTTAGGTCGTTGGATAACCGCCTTGCTCATTCGGCCTTACCGCTGGGAATCGTATGCTTCCTAGCACGGCGCTGATGAGGCGCAAATTACGACCAAACCATTGGGTATTCTAACGTCGGACCCCTTTGGTATACTTAGACGTGTCAACACTTCAAAACCCTCTCTCTCTTATTATGGGCTTGTTGAGCATAGTTCAACCAAAGTAGGTAGAAAAATTAATTTCATTGATAAAGAATATAGTGATAAAATAGGTACAAAATGCAACAGAAGTAATTGTACTACTTGTAAGGATCTAGAATTTGAAGCTATTATACATAGTAACTCCACTAACTATTATACAAGAACCAACCAATATAATCAACCTAATTGTCAAACACAAAATGTGATATACTGTCTTACTTGCAAAATCTGTAATCTACAATACGTAGGCGAAACATCTAGAAAAGTCACCCAACGTATGTATGGTCACAAATATTCTATCAAAAAGAGAAAATCCGGATTCATCTACGATCACTATCGTACTCATTTTCCTAATGGACAAACAGATAATATGTTTCATATACACATTTTGGATGATCATATAGAAAATCAAGACAACCAGATACGTACAGACAAAGAACTATACTGGATAAAACTTCTAAATACTGCCTATCCATTTGGACTGAATGATAAAATTAAAGGTTACGGAGTTATATCTAATCCCAATGGAAAATTATCCACCCAATCGCCATATTTCGCTCTCAAAATTAAACCACCACCACGTAACAGAGGTATACGCAAAAACAAACGTAAGACTAAATCCTATAATTTTGATTTCAATCAATTCAAACTAACACAACTTAAAGCTAACGAAATTAGAAATATTACACACAATTTACCTAAAAAAATGTACGGAAAATTAACACCTTACTTAGAACATCATAACCCAATTGTCAAAGCTTTTGCAAAAGCCTCTATCCATAAATACAGTCAAATCGAAAACCAAGTAAAACCAAAAAGAAACATCCTAAAATACGTATAAAAGTCCCTTATCTAGAACCAAGTATAGAACGAATTAATTGTAAAAGAATTATTAAAGAATACCTGAATAAAGCAAAAATAGAATTCAACACTGACTTCCAAATAACTTATGAATATAACCCAACCTTAGGTCAATTATTATTTAACTATAATAAATTTCTCACTAAACTTGGAAACAATCATATTAAACATAATTCTACTCACTGTAATAATTGTTTCGATTTCCAGAATCAAAATAATAGTGTTAACCACAATGGACAAACACACGTGCTTACGGGCGATAGTAATTCACTTTCTAAACACTTCCCAAACACCTATGAAATACTCAAATTAGGCACTAAGTTCCGACCTAGTTTGAATTACACTCAAGAAGATGTAAAATATAAAATGATTACACAATTTGGTAAAGAAATCTCTAAAATAGCTAAAAACGTTAATTTTCAACAAATCAGTAGTGATTTAATCAATTTAATTACTAATTATTGTAGTAATAAAGAGACTACTAAGCTAGACTGGAATGAGATAAGATTATTGCAGAGAAAATTCATAATTACTAGCGTAGATAAAGCCACTTCTAACTTTGCAATAATCTGCCCACTTCTTTACCAACAATTTATTGATAAAGAAATGGGAATACAAAATGGACTTCCTAATGGTAACGAAACTTATATACCATATACGATTGAGAACGAAGAAAATATAATTAAAAGGCATATCAACATACATCTTTTATTTAAAATTATCCCACCAGAGACGCCAAGCCTACCCAAAATATACGGACTACCTAAATTCCATAAAAACCCCATTAAATTCAGATTTATTACTGGTGCATATAATAGCTCAATCAAACCCATTTCTATTACTTTGCATCGTATCCTTAACTTTATACGCCAACACTTACAACGATACTGTTCAGTAATAGCAAATAATACGAACAAAATAGTATATTGGTCTATAAATAACTCCAACCAAGTCAATTTGCTAGAAAATCACGATAAAAATAATATATATATTGCAGATTTTAGTAGTCTTTTTACTAATCTTCCACATTCTATCGTGACACAAGCCATTGATGGTATCCTAGAAATTTGTTTTAAAAACTCTCAAAAGAAATATATAAAAATGGGATACAAATCTTGCTATTATACAAACGAAAACCTTGGTAATAATATCTTTGGAAAAAACGAAATCATGTATCTAGTTAACTACGTATTAAGTAACAGTTTTGTAACCTATAAACAATTACTTTTCAACAAAAACAAGGTATCCCTCAAGGACAAAACTGTAGCCCTATGCTAGCAGACTTAACTTTAACATATTACGAATACATTTATCTCAAAGAAAAAGCTGATAGCAAGATTGTAGGATACAGATACATGGATGATATACTTATACTTTACAAAAACTCCATTGATATTGAAAAATATCTATCCGAAATTTACCCCAAAGAGCTTACTTTAGAACGAACCAACTCTAGAAATGATTGCGGAAATTTTCTAGACCTAAAAATCTACACTCAAAACAATATAACACATACCGAATTATATAATAAAGTAGATGATTATAAATTTAAGGTCACACGCTTACCAAACTATTGCTCAAACATCTCCTATTCTATCAAACACGGGTGCGTGGAAGGAGAAATTATCAGAATAGCTCGAAAATGCTCCCAACAAAAAGATCTAATTAAACACATAAAACTTTTAATAACTCATCTACAAAATAATAGTTACCCTACGCTAATTTTATATGCCCTTTGCAAAAAAATTTTCACTAAATACCCGGTACTTAGTCTCAAACACCAATGCAATCCAAAAAACATAGTTCATTTACTAAAATAGTCGAATATATACCCTATTAGATAAATTTAAAATATACATTTTCTATAATTTATCACTTTACCATTTACTTTATCCTTTTCCATTCACTTTTCGACTTCTTTCAACCATAAACACATTTTCTAAACCAAACGCGCCAGACCATTACGCCATGTATTTCCCTTTTCTCTGCCCCCTCTCTCTGCCCCATGATACCTACCCCCACGCGGTAACTCAAAAATTCCCCCCCCACCACAATCTAGTTAAACCTTCTCAACCAAATACTTCATTATCCTTTAATTTTCATCTAACAAACCTTTCCTACCAAAATTTATCTAATTTCTTTCGCTAGGGATTCCAACTGAGGATGACCCGACCCTAGTGTAAATTGCCTGTCTTGGACAAGGGTCGAAACAGGCCAATTAATTTACTTTCTTTAGCCAAACTCCATATTGGAGTAACCTTTTTTTCTCAATTACATGATTTTCTTTAATCTTAGCTCACTATATTTATCATTTCCTTTCATTACTTCAAGTTTACGATGATTTCGCGAAAATCTCTTCTATGAACTTGACAGGCCATACCCTTGCCCGTGAATCCAAAAAAAACTTTTTTCAGTGAATTGTTTGCTGCTACGTATTACAGTTCATTCAAAAGCGCTTTTTCTGCTGAATAAGCTGCACTAATTCTTTTCTCCTCAATTCCGTTCCACCGGTTTTTACGGGCCCTTAAAGGTACGGTTTTTGGCGATTTTGCCAACTTTGAAGCTTCATAACTTTTTTCTCCGTTTTATTTAGCAAATTCTGATTACAGATTCGGAATCCCCGGGTCCGATTCTATCAGATCGACTATGTCTCGTGTCGATTTCTCGTGGGCCGGTCGTGCACTTCCCTTGTTAGCTAGGTTTTTAAGCTCATGCTTAGGCTTGGTTTATGCCCAAGCTTAAGCCTAGCTGTCCTTTTTAAGCCAATTTTTGCACCGTTTTTATAGGTATCTTTATAAGGATTTACAGTTATATTTAATTTATATTTAATATCTAGCGTATAAATGTCGGAAAGTTCATTCGGTGCCGGTTCCTCGTCAAAAAACGATAAAAAACGAGATGAAGAACTTGGCGAAGACGTTGAAGAGGTTAACGCAGCTGATTGCTCTCAAAGGTATCGATCCTTCGATTGATTGCCCATCACATTACAGTGCTTCTACAACTAAATAAAAAAGGAAATCGAAAGAATTGAAAGGGTAAGGTGCAAAACGCCAAATGAGATTGGGCAACGCCCCACCAGCCTGACCGCCAAAAGGCCATAACTCGCCCGGTTATACCCAATTATGATGCCCCATTAATAGTGATGATATCGCGAAAAAAGATAAAATTTTGACGCAAAGGGCTCTATTATTGATTTTTCCTAAAATGCCGTGGTGGGACTCGAATTCTGACATTTCGGAAAAGAAAAAACCGAGCTGCTTTGATAAATTTAACTGTAACCAGACGTGAGTTGCAGCCTGGAGTTTAAACTGAATTGACGTAAAGTTGAAGTTTGAAAGCTATCAACTTCAATTACGCTGCTACTTGTAAATAATAATTTTGTCATTTTTACTGATTTTTATTGGGTGGTGTATTGGTTGTGTTTTCGACCCGTCAAGCAGACGATCCGGGTTCGACCCCCGGCCGGACCACCACGTTTTGCTTTTTGCCCAATCGATTACGACATGAAATTTTTGATTGGTTACGGCATGAAATTCTCGAATAGCCGAATTCCAGGCTGACAAAAATCCTCGTCCAGCTCGGGTTGTCGCTTTTCGTGCTGGGATGCCTGGCCGGGGCGTTGATTTGGTCGTTTAACAATGGTAAGTTTAATCTAATGGATTTTATTATATAGATACATTTACCTCATTTTTATGTATTTTTTTTCTAGGGGAAAAAGGTACCGACAACGGCGAAGTTCATCGTGATGCTTCGAAAAACTTTTCGATCTTCATCGACCAGTGGGCGGCTACGGGCACTTATTCGAATGTTATTAAATCGGTTGATGGGCCGAATAGTACTGTAAGTCTTTGGAAAATTTTTGCATATATTATATTTATTATAGTAAAGCATATAAATTTATTTTATCGATTTTCGATGTTTTTAGGAACGCACAGACACGCACGAATCGTGGTGGTATCAGGATGATGCGAACAAACGGATAGGTATATTTTAGTTTCTATTTTTATCATTAAGTAAATATCATATAATTTAATCAATTCATTGAATAAATTTAATTGTTTACTTTTTTTAGTCCACCGCCTTGATGAAAGCCACACAATCTACGTTCGTGCCGATCGCTCCTATTACGTAACCCAAAAAGAACGAGACGGGCCAATCGACGTGGGTTTCAATTTTTATTAATTTAATATTTAAATTAACGACAATATTTTTAATTGAATTCGTTAGAATATGCAAAAATATTCATAAAAATGGGTTTAAAAAAAATTTAAACAAAATTTTAGAATTTTTTAGTACTGCTCGGCGCAAAATTTCGGCTATTCCGACTACATTCAACGGCTCGGCATGGGAAGTATGATGAAGCATTATTCAGATATCGTAAGTTTTAAACGTAGTTTTAATTGAATTTTAATGTTGAATTCAATAATTTTTTATATCGATTTAGGAGCGGACAAAGAACCATACAAAAGTCTTCATCTACGATGGGGATCCGCATGCGGTAATTTCTACTTAATAATTTTCAGACTAACCGCTATAATTATATACTTTTTGGTGAAGGCGTACCTTTTTAAGTCTATAATATTTTTACTATTATATTTAATTATGTGATCATATATTTATCGTTTATTATAGGTCCAACTTATCCAAAATCCGGCCGTTGCCTTCCTGGTGACCGCCTATGCTGATGCGGGCACCGGTAAGTCGCCTTATAGCTTCGGAGTTTGTTTTTTAACGTATTTTGTAGTATAGAACTTTTAATTGTTATTTTACGCCTTCTAATGCTGAATTTTTGCAACTTTTAACATTTGATTTATTTTTATAAACGTTAACTAACTTTGTATTTCGTTCTTTTCAGGCGCTCTCATCGGCTGGGATACATATTTTGAATCGAGTGGAAATCAATATCTGTATATGGCTAGTTATTGGTGGGTTTTGGCTTCAGCAAGTTTAGCTTAGGCTTGGCTTAGGCTTGGCTTAGGCTTGGCTTAGGCTTGGCTTAGGCTTGGCTTAGGCCTGGCTTAGGCTTGGCTTAGGCTTGGCTTAGGCTTGGCTTAGGCTTGGCTTAGGCTTGGCTTAGGCTTGGCTTAGGCTTGGCTTAGGCTTGGCTTAGCCTGGGATGTCAAAAAATGTTATTTTTAGGTACGACAAAATGAGTCCATCCCCTCCCTGCGACGATGTATTCGTCATCCCAGCGGAATGTCCGCCATGATTCTATTGACACGCTCCATTGTATATCGTATATGATGATTTTTAGGGAACCGAACTGTAAATAAAGCTTATTAAATGCATTTGATTTGCCAGATTAAACTCGATTTTAAAACTCAAAAAACTTTCAGATTTTTGCCAAGTACGCACAAAGTACTGCTAAGTACTGCGCCTACGCCCCAGGATAAGCCTGAGTCTAAGCAGGAGCGGTACCTTAACCGAAGCCGAGGCCTAGACCTGCTCGAGTCTAAGCCTGAGCCAAGCCTACGTTCAACCAAGGTTCCTTTTTACTTTTTGCTTGCCCGGTGGCTACCTGGCCCGCTTTGGGGGCTTCTCTCTCCACAATCCCAATTATGCAAATCGACGCAAATTGGTCGGATAGACGCGGCGAGAGAGAGAGCGAGAGAGAGAGAGAGCGAGAGAGAGCGAGAGAGAGGGAGAGGGAGAAAGCGAGAGAAAGAGAAAGATATAGAGAATCTCGAATCCCCTTCGATCCATCCGCAACCTCTACTTCCCTTCCCTTTCCTCAAAATGTGTTGCTTGTGGTCCTTCTGCGGGTTCGAGATTGGCGTCAGCTCTTTTTTCTATCGCACCCCCGGCGACCCAATCCGTTTTGAGCCCCAGAAAAACCTTTTCCCCTTCCCCACTCACTTTCCTGTTTCTTGTTTTTATTCGGGGAACACCCGAATTAGGGGTAGTGGTTCTCCGGGGGCTTTTTGGGCCTTGTTGCCGATTTTGGTTTTTTTAATGAAGAGGTGTGCTAAGCTAACAAGGGAACCTCAAGTTGGCACGGAGGAGTTTCGAAAAACGCTCGCGGCTACCCCTAGGTTTTCGACTATGGCGATTCCAACGGTCTAGTCAGAATTTCCTAAATGGGCCTCTGGACAGAGATACAGCACTTCCGGAAAATGGTCAATTTACATTCGGCGGAATTAGCATTCACCTCAGGGTTTATGAGGGCTTCCCATCTCAGAAGAATCACCAGTTGAATGGCCGGGTGGTAAGCGGTTAGCTTGTTAGGATATTGACCAGGGTTCGAATTCGCTCACGATTTTTTTGTTTTGCTTTTTGACCGGAACTTTCTGCCCAACTCCAAGTTTTGATTTTTACTATAAGCAAAATTTTTGGTTATGGCCCCAGGCTGATTACTCCCAAGAAGCCTCAAAACACAATCCGTTTTTTACCGAGGGGCCACCATGATTTACTCGTATGAGATTTTTTGCATTTTATTGGCTTTGCTAATGCCTTTGGTCGTTTTAGAAAGAGAACGGATTTTCGAAAAAAAGTGGCCAAAACTTGGAGTTGGGCAGAAAGTTCCGGTCAAAAAGCAAATCGTGAGCGAATTCGAACCCTGGTCAGTATCCTAACAAGCTAACCGCTTACCACCCGGCCATTCAACTGGTGATTCTTCTGAGATGGGAAGCCCTCATAAACCCTGAGGTGAATGCTAATTCCGCATATGTAAATTGACCATTTTCCGGAAGTGCTGTATCTCTGTCCAGAGGCCCATTTAGAAAATTCTGACTAGACCGTTGGAATCGTCATAGTCGAAAACCTAGGGGTAGCCGCGAGCATTTTTCGAAACTCCTCCGTGCCAACTTGAGGTTCCCTTGTAAGCCGAAGTCCGGCTAAGAATCAGCTAATTCTAAGCTAAACCTAAGCCTAAGCCTAAGCTAAGCCTAGCTAAGCCAGTTAAGCTAAACCTAAGCTAAGCCTAAACCTAATTTGCATGTGCTTGACTTTAAGTGTCTTATTTTAACTTTGACCAGGGTTGAAAAGCCGCTTCGCGACTTTTCAACCCTGGCCCCGTCTGATCCCAGGATATTCTGCACTTTGCATAATTTTCGCGATTTTTGACGATAAAAAATGAGAAACGCTACCTCTCCTCCCTTATATAGGCAACCACAACTTCCGGCGCATGCTAATTGTTTCCTAACAAAGAGGGTCCTCCTTTTTTCAACAAAAACTTAATTTTAACGTCGAAAACAGTAAGTTTTTGAAAATTTTATTAGTGTGCAGTCATCCCAAGGCCATTACGCACCTAGTGACGTATAATACATGCTCCTAACTGACCCCCTTATTGAGATACTACTGGAACACGCTGACGGAAGTTGCATGCAAAGTGGCACGGACACACACACAGACACTATTTTTTTATATATAGTAGGATAGGACGTTAAAGTGTTTCTTACTTCCATATTTTCTTACTTTTACCTCCTTATCTTACGTTTTATGGTTGTCTGGTCCCTGCAAAAACCACATCAAATCCACCTTAATTTCCTAGATTAATTTCCTTGCGTAATCTTCCAGAATTTCCCTAAATCGAGCCCTTCTCCGGAAATTATACAGCCATCCTCGCCTAATCCCGGAAACGTTAAATAAGATGAATCGCGTCGCCCGGAATTTTGTACCAAATTTGAATCCAGCTTTCCCGGAAACTCGAATGATTGTGTTAACAAAAAAGTTGGTGGGCCCTCACTAGGGCCAAAAGTCAACCCCAAGATTAGGGTGGGCCCTTAGCTGGGCCCTTAGGGCCCCAGGCAAGGGCCACTAGAAGGGATGAGCCGCGGTTAGAGGTTTTTTCCGAATTGAATCCGCTGTTTTGCAAACCGTAGTCTTCTGGGATTTCTCTCTCTCTCTCTCTCTCTCTCTCTCTCTCTCTCGCTCATTCCCTTTCATTTTAAGACATTGAAGACATCTTGATGGCGTTTCGAATATTTGACCTCGCAAATCCGAAAATCACCTAATTCCGCCCCCAAAACCGTGGAAAAACTCTTTTAAAAATCGTATCAAGTCTTAGGACATCTTATTTTCTTGTAGCCTCGATCGTTGTTTTAAAAATCAGGAAAAAGCCAGATGGACGTTTCAAATTTCGCCCACATATTATTTTCACTCGACCCCTAATGGAACGGGAAGTGATGATGGGGCAGGGGGAAAAGCCGCAAAAACAGAAGTCACACCCCCAAGCAAAAATACAGAATATTTTCTGTAATATAGAGCTTCTTACGACGACAAAATCCCTCTTAAAAATTTTGTAATTCGTATTTAAAAGCTTTTTTGATACCACTTGAGCCAATCATAATATTTTTGACGTGCGTGTGTTTTGCCATTTTGAGATTTTTTTAGTCGGGGGAAGCCCTTGAGAAGAAACTGAAATATTATCGAAGCGGGTGAGCGGGAGAGAGAGAGAGAGAGAGAGAGAGAGAGAGAGAGAGAGAGAGGGAGAGCGAGAGATGATCAACAAAGCACTTGACGCACCGGGACGATTCATACAATATGCATATACCGTTTTTACGCACCGGGCGGGGGTTCTTCAAAGAAGGTCGGCTTGCGGAGGTGTTTTGCATCGTCTATTTTAAGGGTTCCGGCCAGTTTTTTTTAAGAATTCCATTAATGCTTGAAAATATGTCATTTTTAGAAAACTACCATTAATGCATACTACAGATATTTTGTTAAGGACCTCAAAAACTTCCCGTTTTCCCCTCCGAAAGACCTTCGTGTGGCCAGGAAAAGGCACTGTTCTGTTAGCGGGGGGGGGCAGCAAATTTCATTTTTTCGCCTACGCCAACTTGTTCATAGTATAAAGTGTATTTTTTAGTTTTTAATGGGTTTTGACCACCAGAAAGTCGCAAAAAATTTATTTACAGATTGAAATTTTGAATTTTTCGCAGTTTATTGGCTTTTTTAAGCGAAAAACTGTGAAAAATGCTATGAATTGTTTATATTTTGCTATAGACCGTACGGGATACTGTAACCCCCCCGCTAAGAGCCCAGTGCCTCCATTAACTAACATTTTTGTTCCCTGCCTGAACTTTGCCCTTTCACCCAATTTCTTTTCACAAATTTCGATCCCAAATTTCCGTTCTGTATGCCCCGGAACTTGGATGGTCTCGTAGTCGGGTAGGGGTGTAAAGCGGGACTCTCGCGTACTCCTCCAAATATCTATATATCGAAATATTTGCACCCGGCCCTTTTTCGGGCTCCCCCTCTGCTGTATCGCCCCCCTATTGTGCGCCCCTTTTCTATGGTAGTGGGGTCCCGAATTTCCGCTATGAATCGCGTGGATGAACGCTGTATTCTGGCGGAGTTTTGGCAGATTTTATAACCATTTTATTTCCATTAAATAATTTAGTTACATAACTTTATTTAATTTTCTTATTTCGGTTTTTCGAAAAACGCTATATCCCGCTCTAGGAAAGTCGAATTTTGATAATTATTACAGCATTGAAAAGCCCGAAAAATGCCAAATTTTAAGAGTTAAAATTTTTCGAAATTTTCTCAAAATTAACTGATTTTTAGGGCCAATTTCTGAATTGTGAAAAAACAATTCTTGATTTTTTAAATTTTTTTTGTGTAAAACCGAAATAATTATTTAGATTTTTATTTTATAAAATTTGCCATTTTTCGGGCTTTCCAATGGTATAAAATTACGAACGGACTTTCCTACGGTGAGATAAGCATTTTTTTAGCTTTTTGGTATTTTTAGACGAGTTTCCAATTTTATAAAAACAAATTTTGGCTTGAATTATTTTGTAAAGATACCATTATTTAGTACTATTTTTATTGAGCCATTTTTTATTATATACGTTTCGATTTACATATATTCTCGCCCCTGCCAGGGGCTGTTTATTATTCCGCACCCCTCCAATACCGTATCGAATTTATTTGGCTTTCTATTAATTTTGATTCATTGAAATTCGTTGAATAAATTCAGCTGAATATGGTTGGGTGGTAAAGCTGTACAAACCCCGATTGGGGGGGGGCAGAGAAAGTGGCGATGCCGGGGCTTCAGCCTTATCTGTGTATACATTCCCTGAAAGGGGGACCTCGATTCCCCAATTCAGAATCGATGGCCGAACGTGGCACCTCTTCTTCGTTCCAAAACATCGATTATTTCTGACAAAACGGATATTTACGAGGGGAAATTGTAGTTTTATATCTCATTCTCACTCTCGCTCGGTCTCTCGCTCTCGTTCACTCTCTTTCTCTCTTCGCTCGGTTTCTCGCTCTCGCTCACTCACACACACTCTCTCTCTCTCTCTCTCGCTCAGTCTCCCGTTGTCGCTTACACACTCTCTCTCTATCTATCTATATAACTCTCTCGCTTTCTGTCTCTCTCACTCGCTCTCCCTCTCTCTCTCGCTCTCTCTCACTCACTCACTCTCACTCTCTCTCTCGCTCTCGCTCTCTCTCTCCTGTTTCGCTCTTTCACTCGTTTGCTACAAAGCCAAATAGTGTATTTTTTATCTTTAGTGATTGCACTTTTGCTAAAGATATTGGGACACCCTTGACTTGGATCTTTTGCATCATCGGGGGGACCCTTTTGGACATATTTCGATGCTTATTGGAAAGGAACCTAGCTTCGACTTTTATCAAGATAACCCGAAATTTAGCTTGAATTTTTTTTGGTCTTTGTGATCTAATCAAAAGCACCCCTGTAAACCTGAGAGTTAGCCAAAATCGTTGGTCTTTATGGTCCCGCCGCGCTGATAATGAGCGGTTGCCACTTTCCCCCAATTTTCCGCAAATTTTAGTGGTCCACCCCGATGTGTGGTCGTTTTGCGAGTGGCCCGATTCGATAAACAGTTTTTGATTGGGGCGGCTTTTCACACCTCGGTCTCGTCGGCGGGGTCTAGCCCATTTTTTCGTCATAATTTCCGTCGAACTCTCTCTTATTATACGGCTACAGCTGATGCTTGTTCTTTTGATTTTAGCAGCTTTTTCATTAATTTTTTATTCAAGCTTTTTTCGTATTTTTTTACGGGTTTTTCTACGCTTTTTTATAGCTTTAACGGCACTAGCAAGGCATGAATGCAACGCGATACGCAACGCAGCACGTAACTCGACAAACATCGTGACACGTAACGCGACATTTAGTGCGATACTTAACGCCACACGCTACGCCACACGCAACGCCACACGCAACACGAGACGCGACGCGGCAAGTGGCGGAAAGCAACGCAGCACGCAACGCAGCACGCAACGCGACACGCAACAAGCCGCGTAGCGCGGCACGTAACTCAACACGCAACGCCACGCGCGATGCAACACGCAACTCAACACGCTACGCGACGCGCAACGCGCACGGTTTTTCTTCCACAGCGAAAGGCTGGACAGCCATTATGCAATGGAAACGGGCACCTGCATCGCGTGTCGCGTCGCGCACAATCCAGGGAATCCATAGCCGACGAAAGGCCAGGCCAGGCCTTGCGTAGCCCTTTAAAGGGACAGTGCCAGCACTGAAACACTGATTTTAACGGGCCTGGCAAGACTAAAATAGCGCCTGCCTTGCCTTGTTGGTACTGGACTATTAGCGGAGGGGGGGGGGTGCGTCTGAAGCTATACAAAGTTCATAGAATTTTTGATAGCGTTGATTTGCCAAAAAAATTTCACTTTTTGGTGTTACAAAAATGCCCCAACTTTTCAAATAAAATTTTACCCCCCCCCGCTAACAGCACAGTATCAATATTTTGCTTTTACCAATTTCCAGAGTTCAGCAACACCGCCCCCAATTTCCTATTCCACGCCCCAGTACCGTATCCCGAACTGAGTCTCATTCATTTCTTGTTTTCCGCGTTTTCCGGGTATTCCTTCCTTTTTCTTAGGCTTATTTCCGCCGGCTGGAGGCGCAGATTTTTCGTGAACATTTCCGCTCTGACAATTTCCCTATTTCCCGTCCCTTCTATTCCCCCCTTCCCACGCTATAAAAATCCATCGACCGGATATTAGAACGTCTTCGAGTCGGTGTGTCTGAGTTTTCCAGAACCAATAAAACATCAACATTCGGAATTTATTTATTTTTTGAATTGATTTTGTATGATTTTCATACCGTAATCGGTTCTTGTTCTTTTCGCGAAATCAATTTCCCCATTTTCGACCAAAATTCGCAATATTGCCATGGCGTAATCGATTCCGGGTTCTTTTGCAATATCAGGGGGGCTGCTCGGGCATCAAATTATACGAAAACGAATTTATATGTTACGAAAAAAATAGAAATATATCGATTTTTCGACCCAAATTTCCAGTTCTAAAATTTTTTTTAGATAGTTCTTCGACAGGAATATAGCTAAATGTTACCAAAAAGCTATTCAAATAGTTATTATTAAATTACTAGGCATTTCCAGACATATACAGAAAAAACTTTTGTGCGATTCAGCCGACTACAAGTACGCTTAATTACGTTTTTCGGGTTTTTTCGTTTTCTAGCCCTAGACATTTCCATGTAAATCATTTTTTTATCGAAGAGACTCCCACATCTCTCAACGAAGGCAGAAATTAGAGCCCCTTATGGGGACATCTACGGGCTATTCAAAAAACTTAATGAGACCTCCGCGACGCACCAAATTACAGCCTTCAACTCGCGAGTTCCGTGGTTTTCATGCCTCACCCAGTCTTATGCTTTTAAAGGGGCACAGAAGGCACGGCTCCGGATTTTATTTTACATGGTTTTGAGCTTCTTTTCCATTATCGGGGGGGGGGAAGGAGTCTATCACGGGAAACCAAAATTTTTGCTAAAATTCGGAAATGCATAATAACAAGTGTTTTAACAGCGTTTTTAGTGGATTTTTAACTAGCTTGGAAGCGGAAAATGATCCAGCAAATTCGAAATTATTTAAAACCGGCATTTTATAGTTATTTTAATCGTGTTTTGTTAATTTATAGTATACCAGGGTTGAAAAACCGCTTCGCGGCTTTTCAACCCTGGCCCCGTCCAGGACCTGTGAAAGTCCTTAATTTGCATGTTTCTTCCTGAATTCTAGCAAGAAAAAAGTAAAAAACGGCCCCCTCTGTCCCTTTATATAGGCTCTTCCTACTTCCGGCGTATGCTAATTTCCCCTAACAAACAGGGTTTTACAAAAACCTATTTTTAATAGCGAAAACCACAATTTTTCAAAATTTTTATGTGTGTGCAGTCGATTCCGGACCATTCTAAACCAATTGTCGTTTCTTCCCTATCCAAAAAACCCTTCCCCGAGGCTGTAGGAGCGGAACATCCTAACGGAAGTGCATGCAAATATACACACACACACACACACAGACACTATTTTTTTATATTTAGAGTATATTTAACTGTATTCAAAGTGAAAAAACTATCGAAAACCTTCAAATCAAAAGAAATTACGACTTTTTTGGTCAAAAATCGCATTTTTTTTGGTATTGTTAAGTCAACATTTGCAACGTTATTCAGTTTAAGAATAGTAAAAGCCTTTTCTCCAGATATAAAAGATAAAGCCCCCCCGATAATGCCATAGCACCACAATCACTAAAATCCGGTAATTTTTGGAGGCCGCTTTTTTCGCTTTCCTTTTTGGCCATGCATAGCCCCCGACGACTCGATTTTCCAAAGAAAATGCCGAGCTTCTCTACCGGCTTTTCCACCTTTCCACCGGGCGGAAATGAATATTCGAGGAGAAGCCTTTCCAGCCCTCCTTCCAGCCCTCCTTCTTCTACCCCCTTCACCCCCTCACAATGAAGCCATAAACATTGTGCGTTGATTAAAATCCGCACGAGGCGGACCGTGAAAACAGCATTTCCACCACCTGATCCATGTCTCACATTTTGACGCCCAAAAAACTTTAAACTACAACGAATTTTAGTGATTTTTAATTGATTTTAATCCTTCGGGGAACTTAAAAAATCTTTTGTGAAATTAATTCGAGGATTTCAAGGTTGATCAGGACTACGAAAGACGCCTATTTACGGCTTTCTGGGTGGCCTTTTCTTAATTGGGAATTCCTCTCCAGGGACCCACTGAAAAAGTGCGCGTATTTGGGGCGGGATTTTTTATTAGTAGAATAAATACTGTACTTTCATTACGCTTTCAAATATCCATACCAATCTTCTAAAAAAATTTTTGCTTTTAGATATCGGCCAGTTTTATCGATATAATGGCCTAATAGGTTAATACCGAAATTTCTCGCTCTTTTCCTTGCTTTAATTCGATAGCTTTTAGTATTTTTAGGATTGTAAATTTTCAGGGGTTAGGACTACGAAAGACGCCTATTTCCGTCTTGCTTGATCCACTTTTCTTAATTGCGAATTCCTCCCCGGGTTTTTACGACTTTAAACCTGATTTTTCGTTCAAATAACTTGTGTAATCCGCTATTCCAGATTTACGTTTTTTTTTTGTATGCTCATAAATTTCTCATTCCCAGCCGTAATCGGTTAATTCCTATCGTAACCGGTAAAAACTGAAAGATTATAGTTTTTATGCGCAACTCCTTAAAGAATACCTTGCGTAATTGATTAATCCCGAAATTTTTATAACATTGGCTTTATACGAAATTTTCGGTAAAATAAAATGGCGTAATCGGTTAATCCCGAATTCCATATCGTAACACGTTTCGTTGGCCACCCCAAAAAGTGGGGCTTTATCTGTGGTCCCGCCGGCGTTGTTTCATCCCATACTCCCCAAGAGACCATCGCCTAGCGACAGTGTTTGGCTTGCGTTTTTTTGTCTTTTTTTGCCCTCAGCCGTTGTCCTGGACTCGATTAGCCTCCTGAAAAAATTCTAATTAATTTCTAAGCGTTTTCATTGGCATTTTTTTGCTAACCAAACCTTAAAACCTCCAGAAATCGCATTTTTATGTAATTTTCTTGCCAAAAAAATTTTTTTTGTGCCTTGACGTTCAAATTTGACTTACCTGCTCCTTTGAAAATTAATTTAATTTTTCCAGGCGATGCGCGGCGGCCTGCGCGCGGCAATGACACGGTGGTGGCGCGGGCCGTTCGTGTTGTGCCTCGTCGTGTACGCATTCATCGCGTACGCCCCGTACGCGACGCGGCAGGCAACGCAGGTGGGGTGGATTCACCGCTGAATTTCCGTGTTTTTAAACGGCTCCAACTCGTTTTTAGGGCCAACACCTGCCAGATGCAGAGCCCGATCACGTCGACATTGATCACCAGCTGTTCCGAGATATTCCAAATGACGTTCCGAACGTTCCGGTGATCGATCCATCCGAAAAGAGGGACGTGCAGAAGGAGTGGAATCAAGCGTTAAAAGGTATGTTTGTGTCTCTCTCTCTCTCTCTCTCTCTCTCTCTCTCTCGCTCTCTCTCTCTCCAGAAAATGATTTTTTAGAAGCAAAAGATCGGATCGAGGTCCGACGGAATGAGCAGCGACCAAAACCGATCCGGATAGACCGGAAAGACCCGGCGGAAGGTAAGCTTTCACTTTTCTCTCCCTCTCTCGCTCTCTCACCCTCTTTCACTTTCTGTCTCTTTCTCTCTCTCTCTCTCTCTCTCTCTCTCTCTCTCTCTCTCTCTATCTCTCTCTCTTTCCTCGCTCTCTCGCATTGAAAAATTTTCAGTAGTTCCCCCCGTCATGCCAAAACCAAAATCAGAAAACCTGGTGGCAGTGGAATCAAGCGCCGGGAAAGCTTCCGGATCAGGTATGCGTAAAAAATCGTAGAATCAAGCGAAAAGTAAAAGTTCAACATAAAGCCCTAAAACGTGCAATTTCAGGCTCCTCCTTTAAATTCGAGTTCCGACCCGCCGGGGGCCAGCCATTCGTCGTTGAGAATGTGATGACAGCGCCGGGGATCAGCTTTGAAGAGCGTATGGTGGCCAAGGTTGATCCGAAAGGTGCGTGGATTGAGGAGAGAGAGAGTGAGAGAGAGAGAACGATAGATAGGGAAGTCGAGGAAGCTAGAGAAATAGTACGGAAGAGAATAAAGAACTCATAACCTTATAAAATCCATAGAAGCGCCCTGCAGGTCCCTTTAAAAAGCTTAGAAAATTAGACAATCAAATAGCTTTGATAATTACGCTAATTTTTCCATTTTCAGCCCCGCCAAAGCTGATCGTCACCTGGCACTCGGGGTTGAACCAAGAAAACATGGGCGGATGCCCGGAGTGGAACTGCAAAGTCGCGAATGATCGGGGAAGGGTACGTTACAGTACTCTTTACATCAAATATACACTTTTAGGCTGCTGAGGCCGACGCCGTGATTCTGATGCACGATGAGCAGGGCCTGAAGCGGAACCCTGATCAGTACTACATATATTTTAGTCAGGTAAGTAAAAACCTAACTGTACGTTAAGTTACGGAATTACGTGACGTAACGCGTCTCGTGGAAAAAGAAAAAATAAAGAATCATGCCTTTAAGGCTATAAAAGACTTGTCAAGTCGTATCAAAAACCAAAGCTACGCTACGCTACGGCCATTAATTACGTAGTCTGTACCTCTGCGCGTCTAATAAAAACGAAAAACTGAGAAATAAACCGGCCAAATCCATATGAAAAATTTAGGAATCTCCTGCCCATGCTGGAGCTGGACTCAAACAGTCCGACTTCTTCAACATGTCCTTTGGATATCGCCATGATACGGCCGGAGCATCACCTTATGGGTATACCGTGAAGCTGGCCCCGGAAAGTTATCAAGAAGCACCGGTGGGTCATCTGCAAATCGTCCCAAAAACCTAAAAAATTGTTTTTGGAATTTTTGCTAGGCGTTTGAATCATTTCGACGTCGAAATGGTTTGAAAAACAAAAAGAGCACGCTTTTTCTAAATGCGGAATTTTACGCTTTACAAAAAACATCGATTAGATCGAATTTTCATCACTTTTTATCTACAAAATCATCTCTGGTGGGCAGAAGTGGGAACAAGCTGAATTTCTTTATTTTCTAATAATAAACTGATTAGCTAAATACGTTTAAAATTTCTAAACTTATTACCCTTTTTAGTTCATCAACGAGACGCGGGTAAAGGGCAAAACAAAGACGGCGGCGTGGTTCGTGTCCCACTGCGGGACGGCCAGCCAACGGGAGAGGCTTGTGGAAAAGATGAAGGTGACCTGATTACCTCACTTAATGCATCATATAAATAAGCTAAAATTAAGCTTTCTAACCCACGATTTCTAGGAAACGCTCGAGGTGGACATCTACGGGGCCTGCGGGACGAAAAGCTGCCCACGAGGCGGTGCTTGTGAAGATATGCTGGATAATGAGTAAGTGGCAATATCTATAATATCATTAAAAAAAGATTATAACAATGTAAATAGGTATTACTAAATAGAAAACAATATAGATAAATATTCTAGCTACTACTTCTACATCACGTTCGAGAACTCGATCTGCAAGGATTACATAACGGAAAAAGCGTGGAACCAGGGTTATGGCCGTGACTTAATACCGGTTGTTTTAAAGGTTGGTTTAGAACGAAAAACGTATTTGATTAGTCTACAAAGTATAGGTTAAAAATAGTAAGAATAAATAAAAACAATCAAACTCAGAGAAAAGAGGGCGAAAAGTTAAAACTAAAGCCAAAAAATGCATAGGATTTTAGCGCTCCCTCGCCGAGCCCTACCTCCCACCCGGCTCTTTCATCGCCGCCGACGACTTCGAGACGGTCAGCGGGCTGACGGCACACATGCGCTATTTGATGGCAAACACGACCGCCTATACGTAAGTTGCAGAAACAGATTGTTACGGAGATCTGCATGCAAGATACCCTTCAAAACCATACCGATTTCTAGCGAATACTTCAACTGGCGCCGCGACTACAAGGTGGTGTTCCTGAACGGGCGGACGCACGACGTGCTCGAGCGCCCCTGGGGAATGTGCCAGATTTGTCGGCTGTTGTGGCTGCAGCCAAGGCCAAAGCACTCGATTCCAGGTAAGGGCAAATTTCGCAAAAAAAAATAAACTTTAAAAAAACTGAAGAAAATGCGACAAGCGAAAGGTGTAAAAAGTAGCACAGTAGCGCATCGTAGTTGACCATTGAAAACGCCGCGCTCCTTTGTACATTCTCGCTTCAGCTTGCCTTTTGCACTTTTGCACGCGTTAGTGCAATTGAAACAGCAACATTTACCCAGCAAGCTTTTTAAATTAGGTTTAATTAATTCAGTAGATTGATACAATTTACCCCCAAAAATAATCCTCTTTTCCAGATTTCTCCCAATGGTGGGACAAATCGTGTGAGCCGCAGGGAGACCTCGTCGGCAAATTGCTGCGTGCCAGCGCCCAGAAAACGCCGTAGTTTTTTTGTTATGTATATTTCCGCCCCGTTTTAATTTTGTTAATTTCGCTACACATTCCTAGTCGTATTTCTCCACCGTCACAAAAACCGGGTCCACCTAAATATGGGTATTAAAAATGAAATATCGGTTACCAAGCGCCCAGTCCTAATCACAAAAATCAATTTTCAAAATTTGGGTAATCTTCGTGATGGCAGTTTAATGTCTGTGATACACCAATGTGCCTTATATACCTCCTTGCCTCGAGAAATAGGGGAGAAAATCCGTTGTATTTTCTTGATCGTTGATTTGTTTTTTCTTGTAATAAAAATTTATTATTCACCGAGTAGAATACCCATGAAATGTGATCACAGTACAAGAAAGAAAGGGAAAATAAAATTAAAAGTAATCGATTAAAAAAATGTTGTAGTTGATCGATCACTTGTAGAGTTGTGGAGCCGACACCTAGAGCAATTTTCATTTTAAAGGGACAGACAAGGCAAAAATCTGGATATTTTGGCTATGGATTAGATTTTCCACGCCGCGACACGCAACGCATGACCATCGTGCAAGGGCTTAATGGATTACGCGATGAAAAACGGGTGGTCGGTTGCGTTGCGTGTAACGAGCGCGGCAAAAGCCATAAGCAGTCGATTGTTGACTTGCTGGTCCCGTTAATAAACTTTAATTTTCTATACCTTGACTTTCCCGGGGACATTTCTTGGGGCAGCTTCATCTCCGACCAACGCCTTGATCAGGGTCAATTCGCGTTGGGTAGCGGCGGTGGAACGCTGAAAAAACAAAAATTATTATATTAAACCAATCAAGAATTTCTAAAAGACTGAGCAGCGCGAAAATATATCCCAGCCGACGACCAGATCTCGACATTTTTCAGAAAAAGTAACGACAAAAATTAAAATTTTATAGAATTCGTTTTTGAGTGTCACCTAGCTGTCGAGACCGAGCCCCACGGAGGGGTCAATTCTCACGCTTTCTATCCCCTTTAAAAGACAACCAGAGCAAGTACATACCATAAACAACTCGAGCGCCGTCTTCACGGCTTTTCCTCGCTTTCCAGTGCCCGGCGTCAGCTTCACCTAAAACAAATTTGCATTTAAAAAAGTGCAATTCAACGCCGACCTTGTATTTGTACGTAGTAAGCGTTTGATACGGTGCAACAACCGGGACAGCAAACAGCAAAGTATCCTCCTCGACCGGCTTTCCGGTCAATGATTGCAAAGTTCCATCTTCTACGGCATCGTCAAAGGTCACGATGTCATCGGCTTCCTCCTCGTTATTTGCTTGGGCTTCCGCTTTTGGTTTGGGCTCTCGTTTGGGGGGTCGCTGGAAACAGATTCAGCTTCAAATACAAGCCTTACCTCGACCACCGGCTGCTTCGGCTTCTCCACCGGCTTCTCCGGCTGCTTTCCCCTGCTGGCCAAGATCGTCAGGCGCAGCTCCCTTTCCTCTTCGTCCTGATCCCCGTACTTTTTCTTGATGAGCTTCTGCTTATTTCGCTGCCGTTGGGCCTGCTGCTGCTCGCGTTTTTGTCTGAAAAAGGGTAAAAACGATCCAAGCCGCGCCTACTTTGTCGCGGCATCTTCTTGCTTCTCCTTTTCCTCGAGGTACTTTTTCGTCTCGGGCTTGACCTGCGGGGCCCTGCCGGCTTTTGATCCAATCTGAAAAAAAAGAATTTTTTTTAATAAAGAGCAGAAATCACCTCAATAATTGAATATTCCTCGCCGGCTTCTGCCACTTTCAGCGAGCTAATTGGGACGCTGACATCAGGGAATTCCTAAAAAATCTAGTATTTTATTTCAAAAACTACAATCCTCTTTTTAATTATTTCGGCTTTGATTTAAGTAATTCCGTTTTTGTTGCGAAATTTGGCGAGTAATCAGAATGAATAAATATATACCTCTTCATCCTCTTTCTTCTCCTCATCTGCTCCATCATCATCACTTCCGTCAGCCACCGCCTCTTCAGCCACATTGGCGGAAGCTTCTTCGTTTTGGGCCGCTTCTTCGGCCTCTTCTTTCGTAAATGGCTTCCGTTCACCTTTAGAAAAAAATGAAAAAATCAAGTAAATCAATCCCCACCTTGATGACGTGGAACACTGTCCTCATCCACCTTGAACAAAAGTGCAAAACCGAGCACTAATTGACTCTGGGGCATGAAATTCTTCTTTCCGCGGATCATAAAGGAACCGGAAGGGAGGTATTCTCCAGTTGGCGCGGTTCGAGACACCTGAAAAAATTGGATTGGAAAAAAAGATAGTTTTTACCTGATCGTGGTGTACCCACCAGGCGTTGGCGATCACCTTCGAGTCCCAGGCATGGGAGCAACAGACAGCCATCTGCGAGGCTTCGACCAGCGTTTTTGGCGGGATCTCGTTCTTTGCTGAAAAATATGTCTAATTTTAAAAGCTTAAGTGCAACCTAAATTTTTTTATTAAAAAGTAAAATACACGAAACGTCCCTTTACTACAATGAAAAAAAATTACATCGTCTTTTAAAGGGAGCATGAGCTAATTACTCGACCATTTCTAAGACAGCTGAAAAACCAACCATTTTTGTTCCGCACAATCACCGACGCCGCTCCTCGCAGATCGGCGTGAACGTAGACATCACCTGGACGCAAGTACCGCTTTACCAACAGCTCGTTTTGCTGTGCGTCACGACCCGATACCTAAAGCCAAAGTTACAGAAAAATCTGACTCGCCCTTACCACAATGTAATTTTCAGACGAGATGAACCAGACGAACTTTTCGAACCAAAACGGTTTCCGGCTCTTCATGACGTCAGAACGGATTCGGACCTGAATTTGTATTTCCTCTAGACTCTAGGTATTCCCACCATTTCCAAAGTTTGGTTGGCCTTTTGTTGGGCATTCTTGATAGCGATCGCGGACGCTTGGATCGTTTTATTTTGTTTGACGGCGGCTGCCTAAAAATAGAAAATTTTTTTGTGATCATATCAAAATAAATGCTTAATTAACCAGGGTTGAAAAGCCGCCTCGCGACTTTTCAACCCTGGCCCCGTCTCGGACCCCATAATATTCTGCCCTTTGCATAATTGTCCTCCATTCAGAAAACAAAACAAAAATGAAATGAAAAGAACCCTTCCTGCCTCTTTATATACCCACTTCCGTTCTATGCTAATTATCCCTAACAAAGAGGTTTTTACAAAAACCTAAATTTAATGGCGAAAATGGACAATTTTTAAAAAGCTGATATGTGTGCAGTCATCCCTAGACCATTACGCCCCTAATGACGTATCATACGTAGCCTAATTCCCGTCCCTTCTTGAGATATCCTCCGGACAGACATACGGAAGTGGATGCAAAGTGGCACACACACACACACAGACACTATTTTTTTTATATACCAGGGTTGAAAAGCCGCTTCGCGACTTTTCAACCCTGGCCCCGTCTGATACCATCATTTCCTGCACTTGGCATAATTCTCGCGATTTTTGATGACAAAAAATGAGAAACGCTACCTCTCTTCCCTTACATAGGCAACCGCCACATCCGGCGCATGCTAATTGTTTCCTAACAAAGAGGGTCCTGGATTTTTCAACAAAAACCTAATTTTAACGTCGAAAACAGCTAATTTTTGAAAATTTTGTTAGTGTGCAGTCATCCCAAGGCCATTACGCACCTAATGACGTATAAAACATACCCCTAACTACTACCCTTATTGAGATACTGCTGGAACACGCTGACGGAAGTTGCATGCAAAGTGGCACACACACACACACAAACACTATTTTTTTATATATAGTAGGATAGTAGGATTTTAAAATGTACTTAAAATGTACCTTTTTATCCACAAAATATTTGCGCGAGTTTTGGTGGGCGTTGAGGGAGATGTCAATGCGGACTTCTACTGGTGGCGCTTCCTCATCGAAGGGGTCGCCAAGTCGCATCGCGAATTGGTTGTTCATCAAATCCAATTTGGTGATGCTCCCGGCGGTAGCGTCTCCTATAAAAAAAAGATTCGGTTATAAAATTAATTTTCAAACCCGAATCGACAGCCTGCTGCCACCACTGCTCAATGACCGCCCAGTCGCTTTGGGCGGCAATGAGGGTACGCATAACGACCAGCGCACGTTCGACCAATTTCTAAAAACAACTGGGGGTTTTTTTCTTGTAACAATTAAGACAATTAAGACGATTAGCAAAAATACGCTAAAAAACCGACATCATTAAGTACAATCCGTTCGCCCATCAATTCCTGTTGCTTCTTGGCCTCCTCGAGCCCCTGAATGCGCGTCTCTTGATCTTTTCGCACATTGTTCAACTTCTTGATCGCTTCTTTTTCCTTTGCCAGAGCTCTAAAATAGAAAAATTAAAAAGTGGACTGGGTTCTGACCTCTGATCCACCTTCTGCGTCTCGATCATCGCATAAAACTCATCGATGGCCAGGCTAAACGTGGGGAAGTCGAGGTGGGGCGCTTGCGTGGTTTGAGCGAATGGGTAGGGCTGATACTCCTACAACAAAATTCGGAAAAATCATTTTGCGCACCTGGTAGGCCTTTACAGACGTGCCATCAGCCCTCGTCTCTTCGGTATACGTCAAAAAGCCGGTTGGCGTCGAATTTTGGATTTGTTCCAAGATCTAAAAAATATAAATATGCTACGCCTAGCTACTCTTACCGTTTTTCCGCTCTCGAGCGCTGCGTAAATTTTCGAAATTGTTTCCGGATCCCTCTTGACATTCACATCAACTTTTGCGTTCGCGGCAATGCTGTAATGGGAGTAAAAATGTATGAAAACCCGTATAACTACCCGGCTCCGGCCAAAACGTGATCAATCAGCGAGCCGCCAAACAGGACATGAGGTGTCAGAAGCCGTCGCAAATTATCCCCCTTCTTGGCTTTCTCGAAACTCGCCGTAATTTCTTCGAGGGAAGGGAAAGGAAAGTCCTGGAACCAAAAAATAACGTATCTTCAGCTAATTTTACCTGTCGCGCCGACTCGATAGGGTATTTCTCTTTCACGCTCAACTTCACATCCTTATCCTTGTCCGTACGTGGCCGCAAAATGTTCAGAATGGTGTATTGGGCGTCGGTGAGTAGGATGTTACCCCTAAACTGAACCTGGCATCATAGAAACTGGCTTACTGATCGTAGAGTTCGATAATCACGTGAAGACTGCCTTCTTTGTCGGTGAATTCGAGGTCGACCACGCGATCGACGCCGAGCTAAAGCCGTCAATTACGATTTTGTAGAATCAACGAAACCTGACGAACGGCCTCGAGACGAGAATTTTTGACGTGTTTTCTCAGCTTCATGCTAAATCAAAACGTTATTTAAAAGTAAAAATGGCGGACCTGAAACTGGACGGCATCTGATTTTTCGGCCATTCACGGTCAGTCAGGTGAATCCGAATACCGGACTCGAATAATACAGCGGCTTTACGGTCTTTTCTAAATAAAAAATATATCAATCTTCTTGATAACTCACTCCTTGAAACGGATCAAATACGTTTTTGAATTGATATCATAGATGTTGTGCACGCGCATGCCGACGATGCTCTAAAATATAGGAAAGTCATAAAAATGTTAATATCAACCTGCAGCTCGCGGACAGCAGCAATAACATCGATAGTCGTGAAAAAGTTCTTCATTTTACAGTTGTTGAAACCCAAATGTTTCCTAGAAAAATTTTTCACAGCCGGCTGGTTTCCCAATATTGTGCAACAGACACGCCCTTATCTTGAAAGAGGCCCCCAAAAAGCCCAACAATACATCCAATAAGACGGAACGCAACGATTCATTGTATTGTAAAGCTATAGATAAATATTTTATCCATCTTAAATAAGCAAAAACAATAGAATAATTATACATCAACGAAAATCTAGGCTTCGCGGTCAATGCGTTTTGTCCAGTCGAACTCGTCCCATTGTTCTTTCATCTTGTCGGCTCTGAAAAGTGAGATTTTAGCAGAAGAAGATCTGCCAATTTTTACTACTTATTATAGAACGACAATATATTTTTACCGTGCTTTCTGTTTGTCGAACGACAGCGGGGCCGTATTTCGCCAACTCGACGGCGGCAGCTCCAAAATTCCGCCCAAAATTTCCTAAAACAAAAAATTCACTATCCACTTCCAAAAACCCACATGAGCAAAATTTTTCGGGAAAGCCTCGCGGTCCTCGATCACATGCGCGTACCCGTTCTGCAGCCCGAAATCAACGGCAAAGTAGTCGAATCCGCGCGGGATCTGCTTTCTCAGGTCCTGCGTCTTGATGAGCTTCTTGTTGTCGCTCCACTCCGACTCGCATTCCTCGATCGCTTTCTAAACCAGAAAATTGGAGATACGCCAAAAAAAAACTGACGTGGAAATAGATGGGCATGCTGTCGCCAGCTTCAAAGGGGACCGGAATGGCCTCGACGACGCAATGTTGGTTGCCTTTGACATCGTAGGCCATCTCGAGGAAAACACAGTCCATGTCTTCTTTCTAAAGAAAATAATAAATAGATAAATTATGTTATAGTAATGGAATTTGTGATGCGATAAAATCGCTAAGAGTATTGCTATTCATAACGCACCTTCCACATTGCTACAAGCCCTTTCCGCCAGATCCGCATCTCGTCCCAGACATTTTCATCAAGCTGAATCGTAGATGCCGTGTGCGGCATTGGTATTATCAACAAGTGCTCGTCGCCCATCCCTTCCCACTCGGCCACCGCCAAATATGTCTGAAAAAGAAGAATCGGTATTAAAAACCAAAAATAAATACTTACATTAATCCCAACCGCGATCACACAATGCTTGGCCAATCTTTTGCCCTCAAAACAACGCGTACACGCATCAAAGGCGCCCTCAAGCCGTTTATGCTCTAGAATCACCTTCTAGAAACTTTTAAACACCCTCACCTTTGACTTCCTTTTGCCTCTTCTTACGCGCATCCTTTTCTTCATGCTTTCTTCTACCCTTCTGCATCTCCGCAATATCGTCCACGCTCTCGTCATCGCCACGACGAATTTTTGCGCTACTCTAAAAGCGAAACTAATATTTTTAGTGATGACTTACGATCAGACTCCTTTCAAACAATCTCAATTGATCCTCAGAGGTGCCGGCTTTCTCTTCACGAATCATGTCGTCCAAGCTCTGGTCCTTCTCTAGTTCCTTACGAATGCCAGATGAGCTCTGAATCACGTTTACCCCCGTAAAATGTCATAGCAAACCTTTGATGAAGTGCCATGTTCTTGCCTTGACGCTACTGGAATCAAGTTGCCAGACTTATCCTGCTTCATCAGTACCTAAAACTATATGAAAAACAAGTTTAAGTGTACTACCTTGACTTTATGACTGGATGAAGGCTCGTCATCTTCGTATCCGGATTCGAGCTTTCTCTTTAGCCTTTTTACCAATTCCTACCAAAATATTTCAAGTGGTAAGAATCTTCCCTACTGTGTCACCCTTCATCTCGGCCTTCATAATCTTGGCGTTGATACGGTTGCGCTCATCTGTATCCAGCGGCTTCGGCGCGCCTCCACCTTGATTCACATCCTGCTTGCCGTAGAAGTCTTGCTGCGATCTGTCCGAGGCCTTGACAAAGTCCTTGCCTAAAAAGGGTCTAAACTAAGGAAAATGAGCTGAAGCAAACCGGTGATTCCCAACTTTTTCGAGTATTTCGGGTCCATCGGCTTGGCTCGCACGATTTCCGGTTCATCGTCATCGCTGTCTTCATTTGGGCGTCGAAACATTCTGAAAAAATACTTTATTAATAAAACAAAGATGTCGTTCTATGAAAGGAACGATTGTGAATTAAATTTTTTTTTTACGCAAGCATTTTTCAAAATTTTGTTGGCGATTCGGATGGCAAGGCGCCTAAAGCATGCGCTCGGTCAAGTACGACAGCCCTGCAAACTACAAAAATAGTAAACTTGATTCGAAGATCCTCTTCTAATGTAAAAGTTTTCTATGATTATAAGATTATAAATTTAACTAAATTAATCTTGCTTTTCAGGATGCCGGCCCCGAAGAGAACGGCTTCTACAGAAGGGAATAGCAGCACCAGCCCGGTGAAGCGCACCCGGCAGAATTCGCGCGAGGACTCGGACTCTGCGAAAGAACGAAAGCCTGAAGCAACGCCGAAAAAGGAGGCCAAGGTCGAGCCGAAAACCGTCGAAAAGCCGACCCCGACGAAGGAAGTGCCGAAAACTAGCCCGCGTAAAGAAGTACAGAGCGGAGGGACCCCCGTCATCGCGCCGGCTTCTCCAGTGAAAGAGCCAGAAGCGGCAAAACGGAGGCAAATTGAGGCCCCGACGCCGGAAGCTGACGCAAAGAAGCCAGCAGCTGCGGCAGCAAGGCCACAGGTCAAACGAGCGCCCATCAGTGCGGGGACTATCGAACAGAAGCCAGCTACGGGCGTGAAGGTCCCAGCCAAGAAGCCGGTCGTTGAGCCCAAGAAAGTGCGTGATTTTGATGTGGGTTTTTCAAATCATGGAAATTAATAGATTTTAGGAGTTCTATGCCCTTGAAGATAAATTGGCGACAGATTTGGGGGCTGATGCCATTCTCGCGAACTTTACAACGGCTGCCGAGAAAATGAATACTATGCTTGAGGCAGCGCGAAAAGTCAAGGTAAACTTATTGTAGTGTCCGTTAAAAAGAATTTTTAAGGATCCTGTACCATTTTCCGCGCTCGCTACAGTGGCCGCGCTACGGCGTTGCATGCGACAGATGATGGTCAACAATCGTCAAATTAAGGAGGTAAGTATTCGATAGAGCAATTTTATCTTTTTTTTACAGGAGATTAGCGCAAGCTTGAAATCGGTAGAGCAACGCGATCTTGACTTGCAAAACACGCGGTCGGAAATCCAGCACGTTCAGAAGGAGATTGCGAGATGCCTCGAATTCCGGTTCGCAAAGCTGTTTATTTTTACGCCGAGGTTTTAGGTCAATCGACGAGGAGATAGAGCTCGATCCTGTAGAGCTTTTCTACGCCAATGCGCCGGAAGCCGTTTCTAATCCCGAGGTGATTTCTAGAATTAATAAATCTTAATCAGCTTCTGTTTAGGTAACTAAGGATAACGAGCACGAGCAGCGGCTGGCCAGGCTGCGTTGGGAGATGCAACAACGAGAAGAGTACTGTTTTAAAACCGATTATTTTTTATGGTATTTAGGTTGACAGACACGCTCAGCGAGCTCGAGGTCCGCCGAAATGTGCTCGTTTCGCAGATTGGCAAGAAAGAGGCCCGGCTCAAGTCGATGAGGCCAAAAATAAAATCCGTCGGAAAGGTGCGTTTAGTAGTATTTTGTTTCAAGAATTGCTTATTTCAGACCGTGCGACACCTGCGTGATTCCTTCGGCGCCGTGGCTAGTAATTCCGAGGAGATCAGCCGTGCTCCGTCCAGCTAGTCCGTTTTCTGCTCGCCATTGTGATCTCAGTGCCCGGAACGTGTAATTTCGTTGTAAGCCTGTTTTTGTATATCAAATTTTTATTGGAATACACTCATCTAATAAGCTCTAATAATGTGGTGATCACAGCGCGAAGATCGTTTCTAAGTAAATGGCAATTGGGAAAGTCGTATTATAATAGACCCGCAAGGAATGGCACTAGGAAAGCCAGGTAGAAGCTGAAGTGAGTTGGGAAAGAGGAAGATAATAGGCTTTCGAAGATCCATCGACTGCATTGTTCTGAAAAATTATATAAGAAGACGTTTCCGCTTTTAGGCTTCTTTTACGCGCGTTAATTTTTGCCTGATTTATTGACGTTGACATTTTTCGGCAACGGGCATTTAAATTATTTAAATTTAGTTTTTTCGACATTTAGGTGACCAAGGCAGAAAACAGAATAGAAAATTTAGAGAAACTAAAGGAATTCTTTTACGATTCTAACATACCGGAATGTGTAGTTATAAAATCCAGCGCTGGATGCGAATATTGCGTTGACTCCCGGTCACAAGAAGTCGCTGGATAGGCTTTCACCCGAGAATCGTGCAAAACCTAGAGTACCTTTTCATCTAATAACTTTATTTATCCCTTACAAAACACTGCAATCCGTGCTGATGGTGGTGTTTTGCCAAAAAGTATTCATTTTCATCGTCTGCCCATGAAGCCAGGCAAATTATTTCTTCTGGAAAATTCGGTTTTATAAGTTGTCTTTTTTTTCTACTGACCATAATCTTTTGTACAGCTTTTCCGTAGGTGGAAATGGTGTGGGTTAGAGCAGCCGGATTCGACGATAGCATGCTTGCAGGTTGGAATATAGTGGCGCCCGATTGATGGGCATTGGGTCTAGATTTTTAGGAGGTTTTCATTAGGATTTTTAAGCTTACCCTGGCGCCTACTTCTACCAATGTTTCTCTCTGCATTACAACCATCGCATCGTCGCATGGCTCATACTCGTTGGGGGAGATAATGCCGAATTCGAGTTGTACGACTGTTCGGGAAATTTGTTTTATCTGAAAAAACAGTGTGTTTTGGGTGCTTTAGTATTTTCAGGGGTATCAAACTTTTTTTTTCTTAGCGTCCAGTGCTTCTAATTTAATTTGAGCGTTTCTACGCTATTTAACACTTCATAATTTTTTATAGAAATTACTAAGAATAAGGTTTTTTTGCACAAAATTGAAGATTATAAGCATTTTTCATCGTTTTACAAGGCTTCGCACTTGGAATACAGCTGAATTTTTCTAGAAAAAGAAAATGAAAATCCTTTCAATTACTATTTAGGTCTGGACTTGTATGAAAAAATTACCCCCCCCCCCCCGCAAATAGAAAAGGACCTTTTTACGAACGACGAGTTTTTTTTTTAACCAAGAACTTACTCGAACACACTGGAACCCAACGGAACACCCCTCGGTTGTATGTGTCCGGTAGAATCGGATTGGATCCTTTTCTCTGCTTCTGGATTCCTCCGTAGACAGCGCAGCATCGATCACTATTTCCCCGATGCACAATCGATTTGAAAATCGTGTGGCCGAGTGGCTGGAGTGCCAGGTTCCTGAATTCTTCGTTTTACTGTTAGTCGAATCAAATTACCCGCTTTAAAACGATGGCTATGCGCTGTGGTAGCGGCTTTCCAATGGATCTCTTGCAAATAATCCGGGTACTCGCAGCCGGCGGTGATTTTTGTATCTAAATTAACAATCAAAAACGGAAAATATGATTTACCAAGCTTGTAAGCGAGCAGCTTGGAGGCGGCGCTGAGGTGGGTGAGCTCTTGGCAGGAGGAATCGGCGGAGATGCCGAGGTTTCCGTGTCTTCGACCGCCTTCCACGATCTGTAGTTGATGGTCGAGTTTTTAAGTTTTCTTTGGGCTTTTTTACAAACTTACTAGGCATCGATGGGATGGGCGCTTGCCATGGGCCGAAATTCGGGCGGCGATGAAGTGGGCGCCCATGCTTTGCCATGAGCCAAGACATTCTAGCTCGGAGCCTGAAGGTTTTTGGGTTTTAACAATTTATACGCCGTTTTACGATAGGGAATGATGTCGTAATACCGTAAGCAATGGTCAGGGCCTGCTTTTCCCTACGATTTTTTAAGGAATTTTCAAAAAGTTCTTAATTTCAACGGTACTGGACCGTGGCAGGGGGTCTGATTTTCCCAGTAATCCTCTGCGGTTCTATTAACCAAATATAAGCTGTTTTTCATAGCATTTTACACAATTTTAAATTACAAAAAGCTCATCAAAAACTTCTAAAAAATTTTCGGCTTTTTGGGCAAAAATTTATGAGGTCAAAATTTTCGTATTTTTTAGCCACTAAAAACGACTAAAAACACTATGAAAATACAGGATTTATTGTCAACAGGTCATAGGCAAAAAAAATTAGTTTTTCCCTGATATAAGTCCAGTACCGTTTTATAAATAACCCCCGAATACGAAGGCCTTTTACCCAATTTTCTCGTGAGCCCTCTCGCCAAATAGCGTACCCTCCAAAAAAAAGTGCAATCCATCCACGAACGCCAACCCGGCTCGTACCCTAGACAAATCTACGTCTCCCCCCGGCCTGCCACCTCGCGAAATGTCAACCAAAATTTATGCACACACGGGGTATCGAGGGTTCTTTCCCCGCGCAAAAGAGGGGCCCCCACCCGGGGATGGGTTCTCGAATTGGCAGGCCCAATCTGTTTAGCATACTGGGGCTACGGAGGGCTACGGCCGAAAAGGCTAGATTCGGAATTGGCAGTCCTTTTAGTGCTGGAATAAAATTTAAATTGAGTTATACCTGAAGCTTCAACCGTCGGCAATTCTGGGCAAGCCTTGTAGTCGAGCTTCAGCTTCTTCTCGTTGACGCATGGCTGGATGCCTAGAGAATGATTAGAGCACGCTGGGGTGTTAATTTACTGGAGATCCGTGAGTGACACGTCCCCTGGGCGGTGGAATAGGTGAAGTTGAGCGGGGTCTCTAGGGGGCACTTCTCAGGTTTGGCTTCGGCTGAAAAGTTGAGAGTTCTTGATTGGAGCAGAGATATCTCTTAGGGAGTATTAAGGCATCTTCATAGACCTTCAAATAGCGTAATAATTTATTTTATGCCTTCGAATAGAGTTTAGAGATTTTTAAATAGCGTAAAAATATAATTTAGATGCTTTGGCATTATCGTGGAGGGGGCGGATGCCAGCTGTGTTCCGTGAGGCCCAATTTTACTACTATAGGTTTTTACAATTTCCAAACGTAAAAACCTTACAACTTTTGATTTACAAAATGCAAAATTTTCGATTTTCCGACCAAAATTTCAACTTTTTTTCTAGATTTTTAGATAGTTTTTGCACCTGTAGTTTCACCTACTAAAAAACTATGAAAAACTGCTATTACGCTCCTCAGGATGTCTGGATGAATAGGGAAACTGCCAGTTCCCACCCCCGATAATGCAAAAACCCCCATCAATTTTATGTTATTTATATGCCTTTAGGATGCAAATTTTATACCTTTAAATAGCGTAATCATCGGCGCATCCCCACGAAATTCATTTCTGCAGCTGTGCAACGTCAGCCCAGGGTCTCGCAGGCAGCTAGCTAAAGGATCATTTTCCAAAATGTTTTCCTCCAGTCACTTATCCCTTTAAAACAAAAGCCCGCGCGCCCTCTACTTTTCGGCTCAATGTCTTTTCCGCTAGCCCAAAAAGGAGCCGGCCGATAAAAAAAAGGAGGGAATTGAGTTTGGGCCCCGGGCGGTTCAGAGTCGCTCAGTGCCACCGCCGAAATTGGACGCCACACGCTCGGGATAACGGCACTAAAGCCTCGTCCTTTGTCCCCCAAAGCTTTCAGATGGAGCTAAGGAAATCGAGCCGCCCAGAAATTACGAAATTCGAAAGTGGACTCGCGGGGATTAGAGCCAAAAATTGCTCTGGCACACGCCAAGAGCATGGACAATTTTAAAACGTACTTGCTTTGAACTGGACGACATTCTCATGGACCGGAAACGCGATAACGCACCGGAAGCAGAGGGTGCGGGAACTGAAAATGTTTTTAGGCTTAAAATACCTAAAACGATTGTGACCTATAAATCTAGACTGCCTATAGCGTAAAAGAAGCTATTTTAATAGTTTTTAGCAAATTTGGCCTTAGTTTAAATATAAAAATATATCTAGGAGACTTCACAAATATTGAGAAAATAGATGTGTTCGAAAAAAGTAAAGAAATTTTTTAATAAGAATTGCAATTTTTTAACCTTTTGACCATTCAACAAGAAGAATTTTAAATTTATCTGATCCTTGTAATAAATAAAATAGCTTACATATTGCTTTTCAGCAAAAAGTGATGGTCGTTATTCTTGTTCAAACATTCGCCATAGTTTCCCCAGTGATGGTCAGAGATAAGGACCTAAAAGAAAACAGTTTATGGAAAAGTTTTCTTTTACCTGACGCTCTCCTTGCCACCAAAGTCCTTTGAAAGGGATGTGGCATGGAGCTGAAAAACAGAGTAATTTATAATTTTTGAAGTATTTTTAACGTTTCTGAGGTATCAAGCGTCAGACTTGATCTTTCCAAATCTTTTTTCTCTCCAGAGCTGTCCAACCCAAAGCCTGAGCGCTTATCTCAAAAGCAGAAGCAGAATGGCCTCGTTTCCGGCGCCGGCTCAAATGGGAAAACGTGACCGCTTGAGCTTTATACCCCAGAATGGACTTACTAGAGCTGCTCACAAGCTGCACCAATAAAACGTGCAGCACCACGATGCGAAGACCGCCGCTCCGGGTGATATTTGGGGCAATTAACGATTCGGATCTGGGCATCCCGTCCACATCACTCAAAAAGGAACAGATATGGCCGAGGGAGGGGAGAATGAGAGGGGTATGGCTGAACGCGAGATCCGAAAGTGGAAATAGATAGCACTTGAATGTGCTGGGGAAAATGATAAGGAAAGTTTGCTAAAAAGAGAGAAGGGTGAAAACGAGAAAAGGTTGTTATTTTTATACGGTTTCCGGCCTGGCAACTTTGGAACAAAAAAAAGTGTCGTTTTCTTTTTGGTATTTTGGATTGGAAATACAGTGAAACCAAGCCCGAAAATTGTTTTGGAAGCCGGGGCAAGTTGCGAATTGAATGGGATTTTGGGGCTCCTCTTCGAAAAGTCCTTTGTCTTCCCCGGGCAGAAGCAGCAGAAGATCCCTAGGGAAGGCCCCGGCCCGCCCCGCCCCGCCCACCACCCTGACCCAGCTCGCTCCACGATACCCCCTAGATGGCTCCGAATTGGGCACCTAGAAAGGGGAATTTTTAAGGGACAAACGAAATTAGGAAAATACGGCGAGCTCAAATAAATGGCGAGTTTTAGTAGCACCTCGTACTCGGTTTTCGAAAACGCTACATTCCACTGTACGGACTATGTGTATTTTGGAGCGATACGTAGCCATCTCGTCGTCGAAATTTCCGCTTTTTCTCGTTGAGCTGATCTGGTTTTGCTTTTTGCTCCCGTACTTGCTCTACCGATAAAGCGAGAATCGACCCCTGCGACCCACTAGGTGTAGACATCTACGCACCATGCCAATTTACGCGCGTTATTGCAATTGCCTTTTGGAACGTTTTGTTGCCACGAGTTGTAACTCTCTAGTCCTCTAATCGGGTCGGGTTGCTATTGCGCTTTTTTGACAATTTATACAACTCTGGAAAAAAGTTTTAAAATATTTCTAAATTCATTTCCGGTGGTTTGCTTATATTTGTAAAATCGACGTGAAACATTTATTCCGAATCGTTCGCACAAGCACAGTGAGAAAGAGAGGAAAGAGATAGGCAGGAGAGAGAGAGAGCTGAATGTATAATGATTGACAATAGAGACAAGCGCGTTAAAAATAATCCTTTCGTCTTTTCGCGGGGGCTATTCAAGCGGCTTCACGATTGTCGTGGCCATGAAGCCGTCGTTGGGGAGCGGGACGCGATGGACGATGTATTCTCTAAGCATCGAAATATTAAAAGCGACCTTGAAGCTTACGCTCGAGGCACGGTGCCGACAGCCTGCCAGCCGTTGCGCTTGGCCACCTTGAGGACGGCCTTGGTGACGCTCACGCCCTTCATACCGCCGATGCCTTCTTGCTAAAATAAAGGTAGTAGTATAAGGGTTTAGGTAAAAGTAAGCTAAATGGTATTTTAATACTTACTTTAAGCTTGGCGACATCAAGCCCGGTGGTGCTGATGTGGCGCGAGAGGGAGTGGTTGCCGCGGTAGTCTGGCGCGATCCAGGCAATGTTATAGCTCAGCCACTAAATAAAATGTGTAGAATGACGTGATTAGCTAGAAAATGGCTTAAGCAAGACTATATTTAAAAATATGGTCTTTAATCTTCTTTTTCCTGGTAAAGTGGGCGTTCCTACCTTATTCCATTTCCCCTCGGCCGCATTCCACTCATCAAAAATCGCGTTGCACTTGCTGTAGATGTTGACTAAAACGTTCGTTGCGCGAAATTTGTAAAAATATGAAGTTTAAAGTTTACTGTCTCATGTAGAGATCTAAACCTAAATATTCTAAATCCATTTGAGGCAAGTAATGTTTTTTTTTAGGCTTACACAACGGCAGGAAAGCATCATGCAGTGCGGCCTGGTCGATTTTCTTGGTGGTCGGCTCGACTAAAAAGGTAAATTCAGCTATTTAAACTTAATTTAACTCACCAGAACACAGCGCGAACCCGACGTGCTTCCCCGACTTCAGATCCGTGGCCTAAACGGAAATCTAGCCGTTAAGAAGCCCAACCTTGAAGCTGTAACCATCGGCGATCGCCGCCCGGACCACGTAATCGACATAGCCGGCCGTTTTGTCGGGCCCGAGCCCGAGAGCCTGAATTATGGGGTAAGAATAAAAAAAAGGCTAAACTCCAGATAACCCCCCCCCCCCCAGCCGACCCCCACCTACCGTATCTCGGCTCCCTGTTCATCTACAGGTGTGTAAAGTATACCAAAATACTCGCCACAGCAAGACGAACATTTTGGTATACTTTACACACCTGTAGATAAACAGGGAGCCGAGATACAAAAGTTGGGTGCCGGCTGGGGGGGTTATCTGGAGTCTTACCAAAAAAAATTCAATTTTACCCTGGCCATCGGCTCAGCGCCAGCATAGTCATAGTTGCACGCGTTGAAGGCGACGTCGTAGTCGTCCGCCGTCAGCGGCGAGAATTTCAGGTCGACCGGGTCTAGAGAAACTAAAAAAATTGCAGCGCCACAAACCGGCTTTCGACTTCGTGTGAACTGCCCGCAGGAGGCCGACGGGTCGAACCGAACGAAGCATGGCTCTTCGGAAATGGTTCATTTTTGGCCGGGAATGACGGTTTGAGTAAATTATTCTAATTTTAGGACTGAAAATCTTCGTAGTCAAAGTTTTTGAAGGCTCTAAGATCGCTCCGTAAAAGCTCTTGAACTAACGCAAACGAATATAAAATTTAATGCTGTATTAAGTATGAATCAAACGATAAAGATGAGAAAAATCTAGGCAAAAAGGTTATTTTTTATTAAAAACTGCTCTAGATCCAATAAACCTTTTTATACCTGTTTTTTAGTTTTATTTCTAAGCGCATCTAATTCGATACAAAGAAGATTTTTATAATACTTTTCCACCCTTTCTATGAAAATTAAATAAAGATATTCTTAAACGCTTGCATAGCCCTCGTTGCCGATTCTATTTGCTAACGCTTGAAAATCCCATTAAAAATGACTTTAAATTGTAGGCTTTACAAAATCCGGGCTCTCCTTCCTGTTACCATGGATAATCTGGTCGTTCTTTGCCTCTTCCGGAAGCCGTTTTCAATCCCCCCTGGCTTCGAATGGAGCTGATTTTCGCTCGTCTAGCCCGGGCGTGAGAGGGCTGTTCTCTTCCGCCAATATTCTCGAGCTGTCTGGGTCCTCTGCACTGACCAGCCAATATCTATCCCTCGGCACTCCCATTTCTAGTAGTTGTGTTCTTTTTGACCCTCTATTTCACTCAACGTTTTACTAAAAAGAATTTATTTATTTCCAGGTAAAAATGGTCACCACAAAAGGCCCGTTCTTCTACTACTTTGCTTTTGGCAGCAATCTACTGCAGGAGCGAATTCGAATTATGGTGGGTAAAAATTGTGAACTTTAGTTTATAATTAAGTTTTTTTTAGAACAAAGGCGCCGTTTTTCATCACATTGGATTGCTGGAAGGGTACCGGCTGACCTTTGTCGAATATGGCAAGCGCTGGAAGGGCGGCGTGGCTTCTGTGATTCAATCTGCTGAAGATCATGTAAGATTTTCTCATTTTTATTCAATGTTTTCCAGGTCTGGGGATGTGTCTGGAAGGTGCCTGAAGAATTTTCGACAACCCTGGACATTCAAGAAGCTGGCTACCATCGATTGGAGGGTATTTTCGACGTATTCTTATGAATTCTCGATTTTTAGTGCCCGTACTCTCTGATGGTGAAACGATTACCTGCCGAACGTATCAATATTCGGGCGATCACGAGCATTTCCATGTAAAATTTTTTTCTGAGTTTCCTTTATACGATGATATTTAGGCTCCATCACCTCACTACAAAACTGTCATCGTGACTGGGGCTAAAGAACATAGCCTACCCTCCGATTACCTCAAGAAATTGGAAACGATGCCGGATAATGGGTAAATTGAACTAAAAAAATATTGCTAAATCAAATATAGTTTTGTCGGCCGCGTTGATGTCGAAGTTGAGGCGATCAAGCACATGCAAGTCGACGTGCAGCCAAATTGAGCAGCTTCGAGGCAAAGTAAATTCTTTTTACTAGCGTACTAGCCTATAAAATTGTGAGTAGTTGTGATGATAAGTGATCTTGAGACTGTGATTAGCATCTTTTTGAATAAATTATTACCATCTGTATTTCGTGCTTTGCATAGAAATACACATTCAAAATGCTGCTCTAGTTGCATCTCCAACACTCGTCTACTCGTCGGGATTTCAGATGGCGGATCCGCCCGAGGTTTGATTTAGATCTTTCTGAAGGTATTAACGTTTTTGTTTAGGCCAAGGCCGACGGGCCCAAGGATGCCAAGCCAGAGGAGAAAAAGGAAAAGACGGAAGACGTCGATTTGAAAAAGGCGGATAAGGTTAATTTTTGAAGTTTTTTTTATTTATTTCCTTTCAGGGAGATGCGCCGCCAGCCAAAAAGAAGGATTCGAAGGTCGACGTGAAGAAGGATTCGGTGACCCGGGAAGATAAGAAGAAAGAAAATCCCGACAAGACGAAGGACGAAAAGCCGGAGAAGACGAAGGATGAACAACCTGAGCCCGCCAAGGGTACGCCGACCAAGGACGAGAAAAAGAAGGACTCCCAGAACCGAGAAGACAAGAAGAAGGAGAGAACGAAGGAAGGACCAGAAGAGAAGAAGCAGGAGAAATCTAGTGATGAGCGTAAGGATCGTGATAAGAGGAAGTCTGCGAAGAAAGCGAGGAAGGTTGACGCTACGCAGGATACGCACGGTATTTTTTTCGAAAATTCTGTTACATATCCATTTTAGAAAGTGTGATGCAAAATCCGGATGAAAAGAAGAGCGACGATAAGAAGGAAAAGAAGGGAGACGACAAGAAGGAAAAGAAGCCCGATGATGAGAAGGACAAGGAGAAAGAAAAAGACAAAGACAAGGAGAAGAAAAGTGATGAGCAAAAGAAGAGCAAAGGTAATTTTTTACCGCGTTTCTGCTATTTTACTGATTTTAGACAAGAAGGAAACGACCCCGAACAGGAAGGACAAGGTCGATTTGCAAGAGAAGAAGAGCGAGTCGCCGGAGATGGCCAAAGATGCAGCTCTTCCGCCACCGCCACCTCCACTCCGTAGCATCGCCCTCCCTCCGCCCACTCCTCCTCCACCAACACCGCTCAAACTTTTCGGAACTTGTGGTAACGTTTTTCTTCTTACGAAAACGGTATTTTAGACGAAGAAGTCCCGGACAAATGGGGTGAGACGAAGGCAGACAGAGACAAGAAGGCTGCTGCTGCGGCTGCTGCGGCGTCGACGCCTCCGGAAAAGAAGCGCAGTAAACGTAAGTTATTTGGCTCAATTCAGACCACCCACTTTAGTTTCCGCGCTGTTTCATCACAAGTCCAAAAAGGACGGCGAAAAGGAGAAGGACAAGGACAAGGCCGGTGCTTCGAAGGTATTTGCTTTTGCTCATAGCATTTTCAATCCAACAAATTTTTCAGATGGCCGCACCTGCCGTCCCGTCTTCCACTGCACTTGCCCCTGCCACGCCCGGCGACCCGAACAGGTCCAGGGCCAAGCGGAAGAAGCGCGTCTGCATCATCTCCTGATCGGCCACCCCATTAATTGAAACGAATAACCAGTTGAATGAAATGAATCTCATGAATCGATGCTTGCATGTTCTTTATGCCCTCGTGAATAAATGCTTGCCTTATTCTGTCTCTTTCTTCATTATTTCAGAACCGAGTTTTGAGAACTGTAAGGATCTTTGGGCATCGGATTGCTGCGGATTAGATTTTAGTTTTGAAGCCATTTTGTCAGGATGAAGACCGGGTGTATGATAAGAGGCCGGCGGATATTGTTGGTGCCCTATGAAAAGGAGCTTGTGAAGAAATATCACAACTGGATGGAGGTGTGTAATTCCGTGGAAGCGTGATTTTTAATCCAATTTTACTGTATTTCAAGTGGAAAACTATCTAACAAACTTTTAATAATATTTAAAAATGTTATATTGATAAATTAAATAAATTTTGGTCGAAAAATCGATCTTTCTATCGAAAAGTCTTTCTTTAGTATTGGTGCTTTTGCATCTGGGAATAGTAAAAAACCGTTTCGAAACCCCCCGCACTTTATATTAGAAAAATGATAATGCGTAAGAACCTGGCCTTTTTAGAATGAAGAATTGAGAGAACAAACCGCTTCAACTCGTTTGACGCTTGACGAAGAGTACGCGATGCAAGAGGAGTGGATGAGGGACGAAAATAAGGCCACTTTCATCATCCTCGAATCGGGCGATGTGCAAAAAACTTTTGTAATACTTTCTAATAATTTAGTATAAAAGCTTTAAAGGAGGATGCAATGATCGGCGACATCAATTTGTTCATCGACGAGGAAAACCGGTGTCGCGCCGAGCTGTCAGTGATGATTGCCGAGCCAACGGCACGTCGGAAGGCGAGTTAGAGAGCGCTTTGCCGAATTTTACAATTTTTTAGGGATACGCAAGTGAAGCCGTCAGACTGATGATCGCCTTCGGGGCACGCCGACTTAATTTAACTGAAGTTTTCGTCAAAATCGGCGATGAGAACAAGGATTCGATCGCGATGTTCAAGAGGCTTGGCTTCGAAGTCGTGCAGCATTCTGACGTGTTTCAAGAAACCGAACTGGCCGCTCCTGAAAGTATAGTGAAGGATTTCGGTGAATTTTTTGATGCTAATGCTACCGTGTCGGACGTATAAATTTCTACTAATCAGGGATGAAAAACGCACGATTTTCAATTTTTGGGCTTGTTGACTCTTCGGTTCTCCACTTTTAGCGGGGGCGGGGGTCGAGGGGGATCTAACTTTGTCCTATTGCCCCCGTAGGATCGGAATAATTAAAAACACAAAAATTAGGTAACTTTTTACAGTTTTTATGTACAAACATTATTAAAATCCGGAATTTTGGAATGTTGGATTGGGATTTAAAATCTTCTAGCAATTTTTCTGACTTTGTTTTGTAATCAAGGGCCTTGAAAAACGCTTAAAAACTATAAAAGTTCAAAGAATTTGTCAACGTCATGAAATAAGTAAAAATTTCGAAGTTTTAAAATCTTCTAAAAATTTTGATGAATTTTTGATTAAAAAAGCTACGAGAAACAGCGTGAAGCGACTATAAAATGCGAAAAATGTGTGGAAGTCATGAAGAATCTTTTCAGCGCCGCTAACCCCCCTCCCCCGCTAACAGTCCAGTACCAACACTTCCTACAAAGCCTGAGTTTTCCATGGGATCCCGATTATCTGAGAGATGATCCCCCGGGGGGCTAAAGCCGTCTCATCTACACCGGCAGGGGCCTCCTCCTCCTCCTCCTCCTTGGTTGCTATGAAAACGAACCCTGCCCTCGGATGGGAAGGGATCTTCTTCATTTAAGTGGCCCAGTCATCGCATGGGATGCTGAATATTTTATCTATCCACCGCCCGGGTTATGGCCTTCAAACGCTCGACAAATAGGTTTTTGGATGGGATCGTGGAAATATGGGGTGCTGCAATAGCTGGGGGTAATTCGATTTTGAGGTCTGACGTTTTTGACCGTTTAACAGGAATTTTGTGTGCTGTTTTATGAAACAAGAGCATCGTTTCTGGTGAAAATCGGAAAAGAAACACCTCTGTTTTTGATTCATAGTGAATTTCTGAGCACCAATTGGTCATGCTTGTACTTTAGCATTTCGTTAGTTGGACATTTATTGCCCTCCTACTGTTTCTACACTATTTTTATGACTATTTTTAATCGTAAAAACTCCACATTTTTATGGAAAGATACAAAATTTCGTGATAAGGTACTGTCGCATTATCGGGGGTTGGGGGCAAGCATCGTCCGTATGCGATTGTTTTAACATAAATAGAAGCAGTGCTCCACATCGTGAAAAGAGGGTAAAAACTTTTTAATTTAAGCTTTTTAAGCAGACAAAAAACACTGAAAAATGTAGATTTTTTACCAAAAACGGCCGATTTCGACGCAAATGTCAGCGTTTAAACAAGTAGGTTTTCTAGATTCTTTCGGTACTTGAAAACATGGCCAAATTTTGTGAAAAACACTTTAAAAATACCTTTTATTACCCTATTACACGTTTCTGCGCTTCTAGAAGAAGCCCCCCGATAATGCCAAAGATCGCTTTTCCCTTTCTCAGTCCCGGGTTATGGTACTTGTGGCAGAACGTGCAAGAACAATTTTTTCCAATTTTTCTACCTCAAAGTTAGCTGAATTGTTTTAAAAGCATTATTAAAATATTTTGCTAGAAAAGCTCGGTCCCCCCGTTACTGCCAGAGAACCCTTTTTCCTTTCTCAGCGCCCAGGTTTCCAGGTTATGGTAGGTGTGGCCAAAGGGGCATGGTGGGTGGGCCATTGGGCCCATGTCAACATGGCCATACCCACCCACAGCCAATCACACTCTCCACCCCCAAAAACCGATACCGGCACCCGAAAAGAAGCTCTTTTTTCCAGCGTGCCACTCATAATTGGGCGCGTTGTGTTGCGTCGTTGGTCTTCCCCGCCTTGCTCTCGAGTTTGTCGACCAATCATCAGCCGTGACTTTTGAAGAACAGTGAAGTTAGGCTGAGCGCTCAGCCAAGGGAATGGCCCCCGATAAAGGGAACAATCTGGCCGATTTTGATGAGGAGCCCATCTACGAGCCGAGCACCTTCGAGAAGGCCGTCAGCATCTTGTTGTGCCGGTGGGTTTTTAACTTTGGGAAAAGAGTATTTTCTAGCTTTTGAAAGTTCTAAAAAATTAGCTATCTCAAAGAAGGAGAACCGTGGCAGAATCATTTTTAGACTATTTGAAACCTCAGAAAATGACGAATTTTCGGTTCTTTTGCGTTATCGCGACGGGCCGTATTTTCTTTGTTAAACTCCGAAAACAAACATTCTCATAACGTTTTTCGTACAATTTAGCGGGTCGAGCGAGATTTCAAGCTGAAAAAGAACCAGTAAACTTGGAAAAACATGCGAAATTTCAAATTTCTTTTCGAAATTTCTCATTCAAAATCTGTATTTTCAGTTATCTAGGAAAAAACTGTACCCCCCTCCGATAATGCCAAAGAACCTAATTTTGACGAAACGCAAAAAACCTGATTGTTAGTTACGAAACATGAGCCAAAGCCAAAAATTATTTATTTTTAATAATTTTTAATAGCACAAAAGTTTTTTTTGGTTTTCACGAGATAACGTTTTAGATCATATTTTCTTAATTAATCCTTTTATACCATTTTTAGCGGCGATCTCGCCAAACAGCGTCTCGACGTCCGGCCAGTACCAGTGCTTGAATTGGTGAGTTTGAGAAAAGTGCTTGAATCGGTGCTTGTAAACAGTAGCGGGGGGGAAGGAGGGCCGTAACTTACTTTTTTCCTGGTAATTACGTACGGCTATAGCAATAAAAACTACTAAAACACTACAAAAAAAGCTAAATTGTGTTATTTTAATAGGTAGAGGCGGAAAAATACAATCAGCCCCCCCGGTAATCGAAAAGTACCAAGAATACACCGAAATCGATTTTCCAAGAATTTTTGCTAGTTTTTATCTGGCTTCTTGAACCCAACAGGCCGTCGTGGGTCCTTTTCTCGGGTCAAATACGCGGGTTCGCGCGAATTTCGGGGGGAACGGTGTATGTGTATTTGTATGAATTGACACTTTTTTCTGAATGCCGTGTGGGTAACCTTACCTGGGTGGCCGCTTTCGGACCGTCGGGTTTGGACTCGGGAGGAGGAAGGTGGAACACAGTGCCCCGTTACCTACACAAAACCCCGGGCAAATAGATGCCGAACGAAAGTCTAGGAATGGTCTCGGCAATGGGGTACACCTAAAATGCCATATTTGATCTTATGAAGTGGGTTATTGGCAGCAGAGTTCGGTAGAAAAGAGCAGAAAAACTATATAGGAAATTTTTAAATATTAGAAAACTTGTTGTTCTGCAATAAAGGCCTGGAATAGAACGCATTTTCAAAAAAAAACTTTCTAAACATTTACATTTTTTAAAAATTAGAACTATGATGATCAAAAAATCTATATTTATGGATTTTTTTGTGTATGATCTTAAGTTACAATTAGTAAAAAACTACAAAAATTTTGTTCTGTTTTAGATGTAAAAAAGTAGGTTCCTAAAGAAAACCTTTAGTCCCTCCCCCCCCCGATAATGCGAAAGAACCGAAAACTTTAGAGAAAATCTACATAATTATTGGCGCGGATCAACTAGAGGTAGAAAAGTCACAGGATTATCGCATCAATAGGTGCATCGCGTAGCCCACCTCGCGCCTACATTGGGTTCCTTTTTACGGGTTGTTATTGTGCGCACGTTACAACAACCGTCTAACCAATCATTTTGGTGTAATTTAAATTGATCATGGGAGACGAGAGGATACTACTTTAAAATTTTAGTACCGCTACGCAACCGGCTGGGATCGTTTCCTGCTGGTTTTCGGGGTTTTGTGCGCCGTTATAAATGGTAAGTAAATAACAATACTTTTTATGCCTTAAAAAAATTCCTCCAGGCGTCTCCCAGCCGATCTTGGCGCTATTTGCGGGCCGGGTGACGAACGTGCTCCTCAGCTACGAGGGGAATTCGACCGAATTTCGGGATCGCGGCTACGAGAATGTGTATGTGATGCTGGGGCTTGGCGGGCTTACGACGCTCGCCAATTTGGGACAGGTACTGCTCTTTTTGTAAGATTGTAAAACGTAGATTTTAGTGCCTTGGACTGTCGATTGTTTGTACGCGCGTGGTGGCCCGCTTCCGGACGCAGTACATCGGGGCGATCGTGGGGCAAAACGCCGCCTGGCTGGATGCCAACCATTCTGGGGTGCTGACGACGAGGCTTTCCGAGTTGGTTTAATTTTGGGATAGAAAAAAACGTTAAATTTTACCATAACAACTGTATTTAGAAATTGAGTTTTACAGTTTACCGATAGTATCAAAAAAAAAGCATCAAAAAACCATATTTTCGAAGTTTAAAAAAGTCTAAAATACTCAATTCTAAAGATTTCTGTCAAATTAGATAAAAAGTGCTCTATTCAAATACAAAAACTATTTAGAAACCAGATGGTTCCAGTCGCTTCGCGACTGCAACCATCTGGCCTTCGGGCTACCCTACATGTCCTACTCCACCACATCCTTCTCTACTTCCATCAATACCCACGCTAACCGCTTCAGATACCCCCCCCCATGGCTGAAATCCCCCTTCAAAAACGACCTAAATACCTTCCTGATGGCTTCAGATACCCCCCATAGCCGAAATCCCGTTCAAAAAGCACCTAAATACCTTCCTGATGGCTTCAGATACCCCCCATAGCCGAAATCCCGTTCAAAAACTACCTAAATACCTTCCTGATGGCTTCAGATACCCCCATAGCCGAAATCCCGTTCAAAAAGCACCTAAATACCTTCCTGATGGCTTCAGATACCCCCATAGCCGAAATCCCGTTCAAAAAGCACCTAAATACCTTCCTGATGGCTTCAGATACCCCCCATAGCCGAAATCCCGTTCAAAAAGCACCTAAATACCTTCCTGATGGCTTCAGATACCCCCTATAGCCGAAATCCCGTTCAAAAACTACCTAAATACCTTCCTGATGGCTTCAGATACCCCCCATAGCCGAAATCCCGTTCAAAAACTACCTAAATACCTTCCTGATGGCTTCAGATACCCCCCATAGCCGAAATCCCGTTCAAAAACTACCTAAATACCTTCCTGATGGCTTCAGATACCCCCCATAGCCGAAATCCCGTTCAAAAACTACCTAAATACCTTCCTGATGGCTTCAGATACCCCCATAGCCGAAATCCCGTTCAAAAACTACCTAAATACCTTCCTAATGGCTTCAGATACCCCCCATAGCCGAAATCCCCTTCAAAAACTACCTAAATACCTTCCTGATGGCTTCAGATACCCCCCATAGCCGAAATCCCGTTCAAAAAGCACCTAAATACCTTCCTGATGGCTTCAGATACCCCCATAGCCGAAATCCCGTCCAAAAACTACCTAAATACCTTCCTGATGGCTTCAGATACCCCCCATAGCCGAAATCCCCTTCAAAAACTACCTAAATACCTTCCTGATGGCTTCAGATACCCCCCATAGCCGAAATCCCGTTCAAAAAGCACCTAAATACCTTCCTGATGGCTTCAGATACCCCCCATAGCCGAAATCCCGTTCAAAAACTACCTAAATACCTTCCTGATGGCTTCAGATACCCCCCCATAGCCGAAATCCCGTTCAAAAACTACCTAAATACCTTCCTGATGGCTTCAGATACCCCCCATAGCCGAAATCCCGTTCAAAAACTACCTAAATACCTTCCTGATGGCTTCAGATACCCCCCATAGCCGAAATCCCGTTCAAAAACTACCTAAATACCTTCCTGATGGCTTCAGATACCCCCATAGCCGAAATCCCGTTCAAAAACTACCTAAATACCTTCCTGATGGCTTCAGATACCCCCCCATAGCCGAAATCCCGTTCAAAAACTACCTAAATACCTTCCTGATGGCTTCAGATACCCCCCATAGCCGAAATCCCGTTCAAAAACTACCTAAATACCTTCCTGATGGCTTCAGATACCCCCATAGCCGAAATCCCGTTCAAAAACTACCTAAATACCTTCCTGATGGCTTCAGATACCCCCCATAGCCGAAATCCCGTTCAAAAACTACCTAAATACCTTCCTGATGGCTTCAGATACCCCCCATAGCCGAAATCCCGTTCAAAAACTACCTAAATACCTTCCTGATGGCTTCAGATACCCCCATAGCCGAAATCCCGTTCAAAAACTACCTAAATACCTTCCTGATGGCTTCAGATACCCCCATAGCCGAAATCCCGTTCAAAAACTACCTAAATACCTTCCTGATGGCTTCAGATACCCCCATAGCCGAAATCCCGTTCAAAAACTACCTAAATACCTTCCTGATGGCTTCAGATACCCCCATAGCCGAAATCCCGTTCAAAAACTACCTAAATACCTTCCTGATGGCTTCAGATACCCCCATAGCCGAAATCCCGTTCAAAAACTACCTAAATACCTTCCTGATGGCTTCAGATACCCCCCATAGCCGAAATCCCGTTCAAAAACTACCTAAATACCTTCCTGATGGCTTCAGATACCCCCCATAGCCGAAATCCCGTTCAAAAACTACCTAAATACCTTCCTGATGGCTTCAGATACCCCCCATAGCCGAAATCCCGTTCAAAAACTACCTAAATACCTTCCTGATGGCTTCAGATACCCCCCATAGCCGAAATCCCGTTCAAAAACTACCTAAATACCTTCCTGATGGCTTCAGATACCCCCCATAGCTGAAATCCTTTTAAAAAACGAAAATAACGACCGACCGGATGGAATGAGAGAAAAAAAGAAATGAAATCCCCGTGAAAATTTTCATCCACGAAACGCGCGCCACCTGGCTCACTATGTCCAAAATCACCCCAACCTCCTTCCCCCACCCCTTTTACTAAGGAAAAAACTTTCAAAATTAATTTTAAGAATTTAAACTAAAACTTTTTCGTAATTTTTTCATCAGTTGGGGGGTTTCTGACCACGCTCTATCCGAATCCGAAGAGACCTAAGCTCTAGCTCCTTTCCCCTTCGAGTTGAATTCGGCTTCACACAGAGACCACAGCAAAATTATTATAGTAGAAGATCTCTAAAAACCCTTTAAAAATTTCAAATTTTGGGCGAAAAAATCCATATTTTTCTACGAGTTAGCACACACAAGTTTTTACGTGTAGCAATGGTAAAAAATATAGAAACAGCTCCAATTTATACAGGAAAGGTTCTATCCTTTCCAAAGGAAAAAGGCAGTCCCCCCTATAAGAGGAAAGAGCTCTGGAAACTCTAAAAAGTCAATTGTAAAGATACAAATTCCGGTTCAGTGATCTCGAGCGCGTTCGTGAGGGTATCGGCGACAAGCTGGGGCTACTCGTCCGCGGCGGGGCCATGTTCATCACCGGGCTGACCATCTCGTTCGCCTATGAGTGGCGGCTAGCCCTCGTCATCACCGGCGTCTGTCCAGCCATGTGTTTTTGCACTGCTCTAATGGCGAGGGTGGGTTTTTAATAAAACTCGGCAGGTTTTGATTTTTCAGAAGATGAACGCGGGGACGAGGCGTGAACTCGTTGGTGTCGGGCAGGCCGGTGCCACGGCGGAGGAGGCGATTATTGGCGTGCGAACTGTGCAGGCGTGCAATGGGCAAGAGGATATGGTCAAAAAGTGAGGGGAAACGGGCTACGTTTAATCCTGATGTTTAGATATGAAAATGCCTTAATTCGAGGCGAAACTCACGCAATTCGGAAGGGCATCTGGGCGGGCTTCTTCTCGGGGCTGTTCTTTTTGGTGTTGTTCTGCTTCTTGGCCATTGGATATTTGTAAGTAGTAGGAAATTCAATAAATAAAAAAGAAATTTAGGTACGGCGGCTACCTATTGACGGTTGGGATCATCCCGGACCCGGGCGTTGTTTTTATTGTTGTCGGCTCGATGCTAATGGGTGAGTTCTCACTGGTATAACTAGTTTAATGCATTCTTATAAAATTAATTTTAGTTTTAAGGTATAATTTAAGGAATAAAAAATACATTTAGGTGCCTATTTCCTTGGGATGATCTCCCCTCATCTGATGGTGCTCCTGAATGCCCGCGTCGCGGCGGCAAAGCTGTACGGCGTCATCGACAGGGTATTTGGTTTTTGATACGGCTTTTTAATGATATTTAAATTTTATGAATCTAATTAAAAATAAATAATAAATATATAATTTCATATTTTATCATATAATTGGTAAATTAAAAGTTATGGAACGATAAAATCTTAGGTTCCACCAATCGATTGTTCTGCTGAAGATGGCCGAAAATTAGAGAACATTCGAGGGCGGGTGGTCTTTGAAAATGTGAAATTCAGGTGGGGAGGTTTCTTTTTTTTGCAATTGTCATTTTTAGATACCCAAATCGCCCAAAAGAACTGGCGCTCGATGGGCTATCATTAACGGTAGAACCCGGTGAAACAGTGGCACTTGTTGGGCATAGGTATATTTTAAACTAAACCGGGTATTTTGCCTTATTCTATTTTTCTAGCGGAAGCGGAAAGTCAACAACTGTTTCCCTGATTCCGCGACTGTACGACGTGGAAGAGGGCGAGATTTTGGTGGACGACTGTCCGATTCGGGATTTGAATATTCGGCATTTACGGCAGATTGTCGGGATTGTGCAACAGGTTAGGTTAAGCTCTCTCTCTCTCTCTCTCTCTCTCTCTCTCTCTCTCTCTCCTTCTATCTGTTCCTATTTTCAGGAACCATTACTCTTCAACGCCACCGTAGCAGAAAACCTAAAAGTTGGAGCTCCGGAGTTGAGCGAAGAGGAGATGATCAGCTGTTGCAAACAAGCCAATGCGCATGATTTTATTATGAAGTTACCTCAGGTTTAACTTTTTAAAAAGTTCTAGATCTTTTTAGGGCTACGATACGCTACTCGGGCACGGCGGCATTCAGTTGTCTGGCGGACAAAAGCAGCGTGTCGCCATCGCAAGAACGCTGGCAAAAAAGCCGAAGGTTTTGAGACTAAAGAAGTTGTTAATCAACTATATTTTTCTAGATTTTAATACTTGATGAAGCTACCTCAGCTCTTGATACTAGGAGTGAGAGGATAGTCCAGGTAGGGCTGTAGCTTACGGTGTATAGGGCAACTTTTAGAGCGCGCTAGCGGATTCTAGCGGGCGTTCTACCTTGATAATTGCGCATAGATTATCAACGGTAAAAATGGCTGATAGGATTATTGTGATGGATGCGGGACGGGCGGTTGAACAGGTAGGAGAGGGAGAGAGCGAGAGAGAGAGATAGTGAGATTGATAGAGAGAAAGCGAGAGAGTGTGTGAGAGAGTGAGAGAGAAAGAGAAAACTTTTAGGGAACGCACGAAAGCCTGATGAACCTTGGCGGAAAATACTATCGCCTTGTCGTGGCTCAAGGCCTTGCCGATGAAGCTGAACGAGAAGAGGAAGACGTTGACCTCGATGAGAGGGATGAGGATGACTTTGAGTTTATCGAGGACAATCGAACCGAGCACGAGCTGCCCTTTTCGGCTAGGTAGAGCTTAGACCGAATCCAGTAATTTGTTCATTTTAGATCCGCCAAGCACCGCCTTATTTCGCAGATGACCATCGACAGCGTGGCGTCGGGTCGGGAGGCTTTTCAGAGGTTTTTGCGCTTTTTCTTGTCTTGGCTTTATCCGGGTTTTCAGAGGATCGATGGCTACAGAATCATTTGGGCTGAGCGCCCGCGAGAGCACGCGTTTCCGGCCGGATGAAATTGAGGCTGAACTGCTTGAAGAGCTCGAGGTGAGTGGCTTTTGTCGGTAGTCTGCTGATATTTAAAAATAGCCCTATAATTTGTTAAATACGAATGTAAAAATTCCAGAATTTCCCCGCTTCTCCGTCTGGTCAATCTGCCGGCCTGGCGGATATTTTCTCACGGCTTCGAGGGCTTCGTGGACACATTTCGCTGGGCCTTCTTTTTGCCCTGATCCGAGGTGCCGAACTTCCGGCCATGACGTTGGCTTACGGATATATATTCCAGGTAGGGTTTTTTTACAAGATTTCCTAAAGAATCTCTGCTAGCTTGCCTGAAATTTAGATCAGGTAAAAACGGTTCTTTCGCATTATCGGGGGGGGGGGGGCTTAATTCTTTTCCGATCATTCCATAAATGCCTAATAAAGTAATAATAGGCGTTTTAATAGTGGAAAAACTATCTAAAACTTCGAAAATTTTTAATCGAAAATTGGCCATATTTGTCGATAAATCGGTATTTTCGGATTTTGTCATGAAATTTTGTAAAGCTTTATGTTTAGGAATAGTAAAATTGGTTTATAATCTTCCTCGTGTTATATTCTTTTTTAAGGCAAAAGTTGCTACCCCCAATAATTCACAAGCACCAAAAAAACTTCATTTCCAGGGCTTCCAATTCTCTAACTACGAAGATGGTCGGCTGATGCATCGATTGGCCCTAGGTGTCGTTGTTTTTTCAGCGATCGGCGTCGGCTGCATGATTTTTCAGCTTTTGGCCGTACGTCCAAAGTAGCATTTCGGAATTGTCCTTCTTTTAGAGCTTCTTCTTCTCGTCCGTCTCGGAGAGAGCGGCTCGGCAGTTCCGGGTATCCGCTTTTCAGCAGATTCTCGACCAGGACGCCGCCTATTTTGACGAGGCTGCTCATGCTCCCGGGAAACTTATCTCACGTCTCGCCGCTGATGCTCCAAATATAAAAGCAGTACGTTACGCTCCTCTACCGTATATCGTGTCAATAGGTACTCGACGGTCGTATGTACCAGGTGGTCGTCGGGGTTTGCGGGCTTTTTGGGTGTATCGCCGTCGGATTTGTGTTTTCGTGGGAGGTGGCGACGGTGGGGGCAGGTGAGCAAGACATCCGTAGTATTAAAAATATTTTTTTTTGTATTGGTTTTAAAGGCCTGAGCGGAATCATTTGTTCTTTGTAGCCATCGTACTCGTCGTCTGGCTGTTCATGATCGTGATGGGGATTTTGGTGATGAGGCTCAACATGAAGCTGGTTAAGGAGGATGAGGCGGCTAAGGTAAGCGCTTTAAGGGTATTGAAAAAATTTCTCACCGCAGTCTAGCCTCTAAATCATCGATTTCTAGCTAGCCATCGAGATCGTGGAGAGCGTCAAGACCATCCAACTCCTCAACGGCGAGCGCGTTTTCGAGGAGAAATTTGGGCAAGCTGTTGCTGCTCAACAGCGCCGGGAATTCGGGAGATGTCAGTTTTTTTCTAAAAATCCAATGATTTTTCCAGGCTGTCTAGAAGCCGTTAGCTTTGCCGTGTCGCAGAGCAGCAGCTACTTTCTCACGGCTGCCGTATTTGCTGTCGGGATTCGGGTCATCTACACCGGGCGTCGAGGGCCATCCTCAGTTTTTAAGTTGGTCATCTTTAAACCGTCTCATTACGCGATTAGATTAAAGCGTTAATAATTATTATCCTCTCTCTCTCTCTCTCTCTCTCTCTCTCTCTCTCTCTCTGTCTCTCTGTCTCTCTCTCTTTCTCTCTCACGTTCTCTCTCTCTCTCTCTACCGGTAAACGTCTCTGTAGTTTCAAGGGAAAAAGCACCAAACTTGAAAACTCAAACGACCGAACGCAACTTCAAAAAAACTTGAAGATTCAATTCTCACGAAAAGGCCATTTGGGTTTAAAAAAAAAATCGATATTTTGTATTGCTTTGCCAAAAATTGTAAAGTTTTTACGCCTTGAAGTAGTAAAAATGCTTTATAAAAACTTGCTCTATTTTTCATAGAGAAATTGGACACTACAGAAAGCGTTTCTACCCCCCCCCCCCCGAAAATGCGAAAGCTCCTGCCTTACTCGTCCCGTTAAGTCATTAATTCACCTTCAGATAATGTAGACCGCAAGCTACCAATTCCTTTTTAGTGCCATCACGGCGATGACTTCCGGGATTCTCGGCGCCATCAACTCTTACCCGTACTTTCCGGAATTTATCAAAGCACAAACTGCCGCAAAAATGCTGTTCTCAATTATCGATCGAGAGCCGACAAATTTAAGCATTGAAGCTAGCGATGAGAAAATGGTAAGAACTTGAAATCACGCCTAGAAGCCATGATTTTTTTAGAAGCCACTCGATGGTTCCTTGCTTTTTGAAGATGTCTACTTCCGGTATCCTCATAGATCACGGCATAATGTTCTCAATGGGCTACAGTTCGCTGTGAGACCAGGTATATATAAAAAATCAGAAGCAATTAATAACATCAATAAAAATAATAAAAAAAAAATTGAAAATTATTTGTAGGCCAAACAGTGGCTCTTGTCGGCCCTTCGGGATGCGGAAAATCGACTTGTCTTCATTTGCTTGAGAGATTTTACGAGCCGCTGGCTGGAAAAGTGGTAGGCCAGAGAGGGAGAAAGAGAGAGAGAGAGAGAGAGAGAGAGAGAGAGAGAACAAGTAGGCTATAGACTTCGAAACACCTTTCAGCGTCTGGACGGCCAAGACATTCGTCAACTCCCACTCCGCCATCTTCGCCGTCAAATTGGACATGTAGGGCAGGAGCCGGTGCTGTTCAGGTGGGCGACAATTTGCCTTCAATGGCCCTTTAAATGTCAAAATCACTGTATGAAAAATGAAATTGCAAACAATTTATAGTGGCACGATCCGGGACAATATTTGTCTCGGTTTGGACGATGTCCCGCTTTCTGATGTGCTTTTTGCGCTCGAGCAGGCAAATGCAAAGAGTTTTGTGTCGAACTTTCCAATGGGAGTTGATACGCAGGTGATTTTGCTTCTTTTTATGATAATTTTATCAATCCGTCTCTTGCTCACTCTTTCTCTCTCTCTCTCTCTCTCTCTCTCTCTCTCTCTCGCTGTCTCTCTATCCGATTTTTAGGTCGGCGAAAAGGGTTCCCAGCTTTCCGGAGGCCAAAAGCAACGCGTGGCCATCGCCCGGGCCCTGATTCGACGTCCTAAAATCTTGCTCCTGGATGAAGCGACGTCGGCGTTGGATTCAGAATCCGAAAAGGTACGCTTTTTACCTATCAACGTTAATCAACGGATTTCAGGCAGTGCAAGAAGCGCTAGAAACGGCGCGCCGCGGTCGCACCTGCGTTACGATAGCCCATCGACTATCCACGATTCAGCACGCGGATACGATCTGCTATGTGGCTGGGGGAAGGGTGGGTGAAGCCATTCCTAAACGATCTCTGCTAGTTTGCCTTCAAAAACCTCTATTATATTTCAGATCCTCGAAACGGGTTCTCACCAAGAATTGATCGCTCGCCGCGGGCATTACTATCGGCTCGTCAAGGAGCAGATGATCACCTCGTGACCTATGAAATCGCTATAAAATAGAAAAAAAACACATCTAGCAATATTCCAAAGCAGAAACGGGTCCATCTCCCATTCTCACCATATTCGCCGAGTATTATTTTATTTTTTAAAGAATAAATTTGTATTTTTTTTGTTTTATAAGCATCTTCTGAGACACAAATCACAAATATTAAAAACAGCGAGAAAAACAGATTTTAGTGATTTTAAAAACTTTTTTAGCTAGATTCCCGAGCCACATGACGCCACTCCGTACGCGCAAAATTACGTGCGCACTAGAAAACCGGTTACCGCATGTAAATAAGAGTGTGCGAAATTCTTAATCTTTTTATCACATATATTATCCCTTATTTTTTCTGGAATAAAACCTAACAATTTGCCATTTTTAGCTCAAACTGCGAAATTTTAGGTGCTTTCGCATTATCGGGGGGGTGGAGGGAGGCACGAATTTTTCTTATTAACCATTTTCTCTAATATAAATAGAGTATTTGCTACTAAAGTGTTAAACGTAAAATGTAAAAACTTTACAAATTTTTCACAAAAAACATCGCAAAAATCGATTTTCGATCAAAATTTCGATTTTTAAAATTTTTACAAGTTTGTAGGTATTTTTTCGACTTTAAATAAAGTTAAATTTTAGTCAAACCTTGCTAAAATACTTGCAATTCCGCTATTAACGATTTATAGACCTTGAAAAAATTATACTTATTCGTAAAGTTGTATCATAAAAAGTGTAAAAAGAGCCAGTGCCGAAATTGGGTTTTTCATTTTTTTCTTTCTTTCGTGCTTTATTACTCTTAGAATAGATGAGAATATGGAAAAACTATGTAGATATCTTTAAAAGTACGTAATGTTAGAAAGAACCGTCCCAAGACGCTCGATTACGTGTGTTCCAAAGTACACAATACCCCCCCCAACCCTCACCTTACACTCTCGATTATCCAGTTTTTATTGGCCCCCTTGGCTTCTTGTTGGCTTTGCCACGGCTTCCTTATGTACTTGACGAAGAAGCCGTGGTGCTGTCTATGTTGTGTATATGGTGTATGTGAGGGGTGTTCTTCTCCTTCTCGTCTCGCGCGCGCCGGACCCTATTTGCGCACCCATTTCTGACGCCGAGGACCCCCGCGCCACCGCCCGTGGCTCGTCCTGACGGCTAGTAGAAGAAGAAGAAGAAGAAGAGGAACAACAAGAAGAAGAAGGAGAGGGACACGGATCCCATTTCTACAGCCCGATGCACCAACACCCCCAACCAACGCCACTACCACCACCACCACCACCGGCACCATCCAATTCGACGCGCCGGAAGAGGGCTTTTACGAAAATGGTTTCTTGGATGTTTCAGATGCCTCTTTTTCATACCTTCTTTTTAACTATTTCTTTAGTTTAAACAGAGCTATAATTCCTAGAAAACAAGCGTTTTTCGTTTTCAAAAAAAATTTAGACTGCGCTCGTTTTTACGCGCTTTCTTAAAAACGTAAGACCAGCATCGTCCTTCATCGTCTAGCAAGCATTGAACATACGGATTTTGCACAAAATATCCTGTTTTCATGGATTTTGGCCCTAAATTTAGTGCCAAAAGATGCATATATTAAGAACAGTGTTTTTTGCAGAATTTTTCTTGCGTCTTATAAAAATAAATTGCTTTTAACTAGTTTTGAAGAAAAACTTTCAAAAACGTTAGAAAAATTTGAAATCCCATTTTTTGTATTGTTGTATTTTCTTTATTTCCACAGCACCATGTCCCGATATTGGGAAGTGATGCCGTGCGTCCACCATTTTTCTGCCTGTTTGTATGTCCATTTCTGCTGTCTGGCCCTCGGCCGATCCGCGCGCCGCGAGGACCAGTCCTTCACCGGCCAGGGCTCTGAATCCGCGCGGGCTCCGCGTCGTCGTGTCCCCGCGCGTCAGGGCCACGCGTTTGTTTTTCTCGTGGAAATCGATTGTTTTCGGTTATTCTAGCGCATGTATTTGTAAGATTTATCCGTAGATTTTTCTCACGCTCGCTAGCGAGGAGCACGAGGTGACGCCCGGCTTTGTGCTTCAGCATTTCGGCATAGTCGCTTTTTCGGTTTTTCTCTTTCAGTTTTCCGGATCTGTTTTCCGGTAGTTTCGCAAAACTAAATTTTGGCCGGACCTTTGGTGTTTTTTAAGCTTTAGCCGCGTAGGCTTAGGCTTAGCCATAGACTTTGCTTAGGCTTGACTGGGTCTTGCGTAAGCTTAGGCTCAGACTTAGGCTTGGGCTTCGGATTTGCGTAGGCTTAGAATTCCTAAGCCCTCGTGTTTCGTTAATTTCACACTCCAGACACGACAAGCATTTCCTCATCGTCCCAGTCCCCTAAAAGCTGCCCCCCCCCCCTCGGAAAACCGTCTAAAAGGCTCGATTGTTCAGGAGGGGAGTGGTGGTCGTGTGCATTGTTTGTATTCCTGTTGTTCGGGTGTTGATTTGGCTTTAACGAGACATCGGGGCTTAAAGGGGAGCACTTACAAGACGAGGGAGAGCGAGAGAGAAAGAGAGCGCGAGAGACAGAGAGCGCGAGAGACAGAGAGCGAGAGAGAGAGAGAGAGAGAGCGAGAGAACTACAGAAGGGCCCAGTCATTGTTGGGCCCTTTAACCTTGGCCGCTTCCCGGTTAGGCGGGCCATCGGAAACCGGCTTCTTGAGTCATCATTTACAGTGGCTGGATCAGCTAGTAGAAGCTTCTGACTCATCTCTCTCTCTCTCTCTCTCTCTCTCTCTCTCTCTCTCTCGCTTTCTCTCTCTCTCTCTCTCGCTCTCTCTCTCAAATTTTCTGCCATTTCACGAGTATATAGGAGCGTTTCGTAGCTAGATTCGTTAGTTAAGTTCCAAGTTTCGCTTCGGCTTGGCTAATTGGTAACCTTCTAGCTTTATGGGCGTAGGGCCCGAGTTCGATCCCGGCCGGTGTTAAGCTTTTTGCTTTTTGCACGGAAAACCAGTTTTTCAATTTTTTACTTTTAAAATTGTTTTTTCTCTGATACCGTATCGCCTCTCATTCTCTACCCTCTCTCCCTCTCGTCCACTCTCTCGCCCCCGTATATTGTGAAATCGTGGGCCCTCTTTTGGCGGTGGATGTGTGATTGTTTGTACAGTGCTCTAGTGTCCCTTCCTTCCCCCTTCTCCATTGTCCATTCGGCGGATTAGTGTATTCGCCTGCTCTCTCTCTCTCTCTCTCTCTCTCTCTCTCTCTCTCTCTCTCTCTCTATCCCCTTGTTTTTGGGCGATACCCCGGAAGACGATGGAGTCAGTGCGGACGTGGACACGGACGGACGCTTTCCCCTATCATTGTGTGTGTTCCACGCTTTTTTTTGTGGGGCAGCTACCGTAACCCCGGGCCGAGTACCGTAGTAACCTTGCGTTATGCAGTGTTTCCCCGGAATTCAGAATTTTTGGGATTTCCGGAATACTACTCTGTACTCACCTTAGGCTACGGTCAGGGTATCGTTATGGAATTTCAGGCTTTAGCGTTTCCCAAATGGGCAAAAATTTTTAGACGGCCAAAGATAACGAGATTTGTCGGTATTTTTCGCTATTTTCGACGTTTTCGAGATTTTTTGGTATTTCTTAACGGAAGTGAAAGGTTATTTTCGACATTTTTCAGCATAATTCCGAAATTTTTGTCACGATTCGATATAACAGCAGAATCCATAGAACAATCGTCCATTCCAGTCCCTTTAACCCCAAATTTTTCAAGACTACGCGACGCGCCTCTGTCCGGTCCAGATACATGTAAATTGGGTCCAATCGGAATCCCCCATCAGGCCCCCTAGGGCCCAGTTGAGTGTCTTTCTTGTATGATGGATATGGCAGCTGGTGGATCTCTCTCTCTCTCTCTCTCTCTCTCTCTCAAGCCCCGCCTCTCTTTATCTCTGTCCCTCCTCTTTCTACCCCACTCTCTCTCCTCCCTCTACAAACCCGTTCCTTCAATTTACCCGTCCTAATGCCCCACCCCTTTTCTGGGATTTCCCCCCTCTGGTCGTGCACGCGAGGATTTTCGGCTTAGCACCATTTTCGCCCCAGGGGGCAGCTTCCGCTATGCTACTATGGGGGTATGAGTCGAGTTTGGCGTACCGCCGCGTAGTCGAGAGAAAATTAGGGTAGAATTTTATTTAGGGCATTTGTGGTTTCCTCAAGGTTTTCTGCTAGCTGTCACCTGGCCGAATTTCAGCTTACCGAGTTTTCAACTCACCGAAAAATTTATTTATGGCTTAGTCTTCCTGTGATTTCCATTTCGCACCCCATTTTTTCTGGGTTACGGTAACCATTTTTGGCGCGTTGCCAAGGACCAACTTTTGTCCGCTTTAGTATCGGAAGCCCTCAAGCCGAGGCGGCGGGCAACCTGCAGTCAAGGAGGGGGAAATTACCGGCGGCTTGCCGGTAGTTAGCTCTTTTTTCTCTCTCTGTCTCTCTCTCTCTCTCTCTCTCTCTCCTCTCTTAAAGGTTCAACAAGTTGTGAGTTGGGTTATGGATGGAGCGTATCGTTGCGTGGTCTCGACTGTCATTCGGGGTAGAATTTTGATTTTGGGGTAGGATTCCTCAAGAATCTTTGCTAGTTTTCTCTCTTTCTCTATCTCTCTCTCTCTTTCTCTCTCTGTCCCCTCTCTCTCATCTAACGCATACCATCGCAATCTTTCGTTAAAACCAGGGCCAGCTAGCAGAGATCTTTTACATCCCAAACCCAATCCCTAACCAGGCGAGCTAGCAGAGACAAGAGGGTCTCTGCTAGCTCGCCTGGTTTTTCGCCTGGTTCGGCCTTTCCCTTCCCTTCTGAATTCCATTGGATATATCTGAAATATCCGTTCAGTCCTTCCCCCTCCCCTTCCCGATCCATCCATTCCCAATCTTGAGGGCCTTCCGAGAGACGGGCTGCGCAAATAGAGCCCTCGGGGCACACGAAATTTGGGCCCCAAGGCCACCGAGTCCGCTGTTTCGGGCCCTCGCAGGTCCTATCTGTAAAAAGGACTGTTCGTAATGTTAGGATGAACGTTGGGATTTCGTGGATTTAGAGGTTTCCGGAAGTCTCTCTCTCTCTCTCTCTCTCTCGCTCTCTCTCTCTATCTCGCAGTCATAGAGGTCGTTTTAAAGGGATTGGCAAACATACGTAAAGCACTACATTGCGCTCGACAACCGCGGCTTTTTTCATAGATTTACGACGACTAGAGCTTTGCCAAACGTAATTAGGAACGTATCGTAGCTTTCGACTTCTAGTCTACAATTTCTCCCGCATTTTCTTCGCTTCCCGACCCCTTTAATGCCCCAAAACTCTCATAGGGATCATCGCGTAGCCGTCCGCTGCTTCAACGGCTGCCATGTATGTCAATGACTTGGTTCCAATACTGCTGCCTCACTCTCTCTCTCTCTCTCTCTCTCTCTCTCCCCTCTCTCGCTCAAAACTGGTCTCCCCGCCCCCTTTTTCCGGGGGAAACGAAACTTTGAATATTTGTGTGCCCCCGCCGCAGGCCATGCCAATAGCTTATGCGCCCTCATTTCCATATTTGGAATTCAGGCTTAGTTTTGGGCTTGGGCTTAGGCTTAGCTTGGGTTTAGACTTAGGTTCAGGCATAAGCTTGGGCTTAGCTATGCTAATTTCAAGTTTTTCTTTATTAATTTTTGTCGCTTTTCATTTTCTCTTTTAATTTCTTTTTTTCGCAATTTACCCGTTTTCCAAACCGTTCCCCTTTCCAGCCATGCTACTACGGTATACGCTAGCGCTGGCCACGGCCCTGCTGGCCCCCGTTTTCGCCCAAGAAGAAGCGTCCGAGGTAGGCAAAATCGACAACCAAAATATATACAGAAATGAAGGCTTCCAAAATCGAGAAAATGCGTTAAAACTACTGTAAAATGGCTTTTTTTAGTCTTGCAAAGCGGCGATGCAGGCCTGCGAAGACGATCTGGACTGCAACAACTTGTTGGGGCCGCTGGCTTCGGCTTGGTGAGTCGAAAATTTACATCTGGTTTGTTTGCAACCTAAAACCTTGAAAAACACGCTTCTTAAGCTATTTCAATGTTTTTTTACAATTTTTCTTTGTCTTAGAAGTCGTCTAAAAGGTCAGACAACGCGATAAAATCCATTTTCTGATTCTTTCTTATGGATTTTGCCTTGCCGATCCCTTTAAAGACCTAACCCTAGCTCTCATGCTCCCCTATCAGCTATCATCTGATTAGATCCGGCTCCCCGTTTGCGGAGCTGGATCTCCACTTTCCATTTCTCGCTCCCCCAATTCCGCCCAGAGCCAATTGGCAGAATTGGCAGATCGCCCATCCCATCCATCCAATATATCGCGTCCTCCTTACCCAACCTCTAAAAAGGGTTTATTTGCTGTGTAGGTGGGATTGACAGTCCAGCTGGCTGTCTCTCTCTCTCTCACTCTCACTCTCTCTCTCTCTCTCTCATTCTCTCCTATTCATTATTCAAAAGTGCCCCGGGCCATTCGGAGCAAATATTGATTTGTTTGGCCGGGCCCAGGTGTCGGCACCCACCTTTTTGTGTTGTGTAATCGATTTGCATACGGGGCGAGTGGGGTCAAAATATGGAAAAATGCGCATAAAATTATGTAAAACATTTAAGAACATTTTTCTGACGCTTTTCTAGCTGTCACGCTGCCCTTAAACATTTGTACGCTTTTTCGACGCCTTCACTAGGCCTAAAAACCTATTTTAAAGTTTTTAATGATTTTTTAGCTGTCACGCTCACTTTAAGCATTTCTAAAATTTTACGGCGTTTTATTTAACGCAAAAAATATACTTTAAAGCGTTTAATGATTTTCTAGATGTCATGCTCACTGTCATGCTCACTTTAAACCCAAAAATTCCTGCCTCCTACGGCCCTTTAACCCCCAGAGAGAGCTGGCCTCGTTTTTCCACACGGCCGCCGCTATTCCATAGAAATATGGGTGAATGTTTTGACTGCAGCCCCCCTCATCCGCTCGCCCGTTTTGATTCGCCTCTAAAGGGGACGGGAACTCTCGATTTCGCCGTCTCTCTCTCTCTAGCTCTCTTTCCTCAAGTGTGTGTGAAAGGCCCCCCCGGTCGGGCGTCAAGAGCCGTCCCGCGCGCAGCGCCTTCGGCAATTTCCGCGCGCATCCACAAAACGCACCCACTCGGCGATGCGGGGGGATTGCTCTTTTTCTCTCGCCTCGCTCTCTCTCCAGCCCGGGGATAGAAAGAAAAAGTTGGTGGTATTAGATTGGCACTTGAGGGGGTACATCCAATGGCAACCGGATGCTTATGAGGGGGATTTGGGGGGGGTTTAGCGTCCAGCTGCTCTTGCCTACAGTAAAGAGAAAGCTATATAAACATTAATCCATATAGTATAGGCCTATACGAAACTTTTGGGCAAAAAGCAAAACGCTGCGCGATGGGCGGGGTTCGAACCAGGGTGCTGCAGACCAAAACGTAACGCAATACCATCGTACCAAAGGGCTAGCCTGGTGCGTGGCAGCAACATCCCTCTTCCCTTTTTGGGATAGCAGAGGCTGACCGTGCCAACAGTAGTGCTAGGGTTGGCATTTGAGGAAACCGGTTTCCGATCTCTTGGATTTGAATCAATGTTTGGATTGACCGGATTGTATTGAAATCGATTTTTCAATTGCATCCGATCGATCGATTCTGCATAAAAACCGATTTGAATAGGATCCGATTTGATCGGTTCTCGAAAAACCGGTTTTTGATTCGAAACCGATCGATCGGTTTCGGAAAAAAATCGGATTCTAGGCGAGAAACCGAGCGGAAATGAACCGATTTATGCAGAATTTTGGATGCAAATCATTTTTTTGGTGCTTGGCAGGCAGTGGTCCTACGATTTTTTGAAACTAAGCCGTTCTTAGCCTCCAAAAAATGGATATGTTCCTTCCAGACATGATGGCTCTGGAAGTTACGAGCTGACCCCCAATTTCCGCACAAAAAATGAGGCAAATCGTGATTTGCATCCAAAATTCTGCATAAATCGGTTCATTTCCGCTCGGTTTCTCGCCTGGAATCCGATTTTTTTTCCGAAACCGATCGATCGGTTTCGAATCAAAAACCGGTTTTTCGAGAACCGATCAAATCGGATCCTATTCAAATCGGTTTTTATGCAGAATCGATCGATCGGATGCAATTGAAAAATCGATTTCAATACAATCCGGTCAATCCAAACATTGATTCAAATCCAAGAGATCGGAAACCGGTTTCCTCAAATGCCAACCCTAAGTAGTGCCACCAATTTTTACCAAACAAAAACGTGTAAGATACCATCCGGTTACGGTACTGTCCCACCCTTTAGCAAAGCAGTAGCGCCCGTCAACGCTTAGAAATTGGCCCAATCCAAGGAATAGAAAGACGACGACGGCATCCCAAATGACGATCATAAAAAGAGAGGAAGGAGGGGGAACAGGTCCCGCCACGAACGCACAAACACACACATCCATCCATACCACGACGATTGGCCATTGTTTCTATTCACGACATCGCGACGGGCAAGCGGAGGAATACCCGTTTTGATCACGGCGATATTGCCTCGCACCTTACGTGGGCACGAGGGAGGGATTGATACGGAGAGGGGCAACTTTTAGGGATCTAAACGCTTTTTTTAAAAAGCAAGAAATCAAGAAAAGGAAGAATTTAAAAAGAATCAAGAAAAGCTTTAAAAAGCTTTTCTTGGCTAGAAATTATATTTTTAAAGGTTCAAAGGACAATTTTCACACTCCGTTTGGGTTTTTAGCAAATTTTCGCGACTTTTTGGTTTTACGGCTTTAAATTAAACTCATAAACTTTGAATAAAAATTCTTGCGGTGGCGACAAGCCTTTTTTGCAACACAACAAATTTTACGCTTGGTCGTTTTTATAGCGCATTTTTAGAGGTTTACTAAGCGTCTAACCAGCCTTAAAAATGGGTTTTAGGTTCAGCTCACGCTTTCGGCTTTAGTTTAATCTTTTTAGTTGTCGAAACTGCGCAAACTCTCCCTTTTCCATTTCTCTACTGACCTGGGCGAGTGACAGTAATAAATACCGGTTGCCCTCCGGCCGTTTCCTGAAGGATTTGGCGCATCTAAACCCCCCAGCCAGGGCCATTTCAAGCCCGTTTTATAGAGAGCGGGGACGATTATGGGATGAACCGCCCGGGGTTGTCATATGGATGGAAATGGAACGGACTGTCGGTCAGGGCATATGTTTTGAGCAAAAAAAAACTATTGAAACTCCTATTAAAAGCAATAAAAATACTTAAAAAAATTTTTTCTTCGATAAAAATTGTTTTTTTTTTAATCCAAATTCCACGCGAAACTCATTACACGATACGGCCGTTGATCGGTCACACCACATTTTCTAGTTCCTCAATTTCTTGCGGGGGTTCGTTCCGCCATGCTCCTCCGCTCTCTCTCTCTCTCTCTCTCTCTCTCTCTCTCTCTCTCTCTCTCTCTCTCTCTTCCCTTCACATCAATCATGCCAATCGAGGGTCATATCGGCAGATTGCAAAGATTTTTCGGAAAACGGTGCCTCCCTCGGCTCATTGTTTTAATGACTTTAATGGCTCTCTTTCCGCCAGGCTCCAATTTACGGCCCTAGAAAACTTATTTGCACTTGCAAAACTGTTTAACGCTATAGCCATCAAGATCTTTGTCCGCTCGTTGCTTCTGGAAGGCTAAAACGGCCCCTTCTGTGCTTTCTGATCCGCTAGAATGGGAACCGTAGCGTAGCGGAACAGGTTATCGATTTTTTTACAATATTTTAGGCTCAATATTACTGTAAAACCTTCGAAAACGACAAGATAGAAACTTTTTTTCAGCTCCACCCTCACCTGCCAACCCCAGTGCCGTGCTGCCGTGATGAACCTGTATCAAAATAAACTCGGACGAGTGTTGCTTAAGTGAGTATTTTTTGAGCGTACCTTAAAAGTATGATTCCAAAATAATGTCTATGGAAAGTTTTCCCTCCTCGTCCCCGACCCGCCATCGCGAAATGTTGCCCTGCCAAGTGCCCGCCACCCGTTCCCCACCCCAACCCCTATCAGCCCCTGCCCGCCTCACCCGCCAGTGCTTCCGTAGCGCAGTAGGCAGCGCGTCAGTCTCATAATCTGAAGGTCGTGAGTTCGAGCCTCACCGGGAGCAATTCTTTTGCTTTTTGGGCAGGGATCCGAGATAGGGTTCCAGATTGGTTTTAGAGTGATTTTTCAGAACTGACGGCTCATGCGTGCACGGGCGGGACGAGTTGAGGCAGTGTAATTTTATGCCGAATGGGAAGGTGGTGCATTGCGGAATTGCGAAGCTGGCTTGCGAGGGGGATATGCAGGTTGGTATAAGCATCTGGTAATTGAGGAAGAGTAGTGGTCTGGTGGCCGAATTGGGCGAAAGTATGACAGAGGGAGTGGCCAAGGATATGGGTCTCAATGGACACCTTTGAGGGCCTCTTTGCGAGTTGACAAATATGGGTTGGGGAGAGAGCGCGAGCGAGCGAGAGAGAGCGAGAGCGAGCGAGAGAGAGAGAGAGAGAGAGAGAGAGAGAGACGCAAATGAGTGCATGTCGCCCCTCAAAACAATTGACCCGTCCCTTCTGGCCCATACCAGACAAATGGGGTCCCTGAAAGGAACCTCGTCCTCGCGGGACCCAACGAACAAAAAACCCCTGAAAAATGCCCGGAAATGGCTTTTAGCTGTACGAGAGGCTTCAGAAGCTACAAAACCGGAAAAACTTTGTCTAGCACAAAACTTTAGGGGCCAAAATCTGAACTAGAAAATTTAAAAATACCTGGAAAATGAGCTGCCTGAAAAATAAAGACAGATAAAGATCACCGATAATTGTCCCACCGTGTTTAGCAAGATTCACCATTATCTTTCGCTCTCTCTCTTTCTCTCTCTCTCTCTCGCTCTTTCGCTCTCTCACTCTCTCTCTCTTTCTCCCTCTCTCTCCCCCTCTCTCGATCTTTCGCTCTCTGTTTCTCTCCCTCTCTCTCTCGTTCTTTCGCTCTCTCATTCTCTCTCCCTCCCTCCCTCCCTCTCTCTCTCTCTCTCTCTCTCTCTCTCTCCCTCTCTCTCTCTCTGATATGCATTGAGATTTGATGGGTTCATCCTTGAATGATCCCTCCATTCTCAATGTCCAATCCGAGCCCATCCGCCATGGGTCAGAAATGGGCCCCAAGTGTGTGGCCCTTAGATGGATGGGCCCCAGGGGGGCATTTTTAGCTGCGAGATTGGCACGGGCGAGTACGCGACTTGTCAATCCACGGCAGACACAATCCCTTTACTCGAGTGGGGAGCGCTGGAAATAAGCAAGAACTTTGAGCAACAGCGGGTCAATAAAGCTAACAAATTTAAAGCCGATTAAAATCACGTTATATAACGGCGAATTTGATTACGACATGTAATCCAACAGCCTAAGCGATTACGCGGTAAAAACGTTGCCTTCAGGCTTACCGGCTTACTTCAGAATACGCTATGTAAATAAATAATATAATTTGGTGCTTTAATAACGCAATGAAAATGGTGGTTTAAAAATTTAAACGATTACGCGATTTATATAAAAATTAGTACGTGATGAAATTACGGAAGATGCTTCCGATGTTTAAACGATTACGCCATGTAATACAAATTACGATTACGCTACGTAATTACCCCATTTAATCCCTAATTTCCAGTGCCAATCCAAACTCCAAGTGTACATGTCGGAGTGTGAGGCGGAAACGGCACGCGGGGAGTGCTCGGGCAAATGCCAGGGATTCTTGAAACAGGTATATTTGTTGGCTGTAAATTAGCGTTAAATAAAGGTATATTTAATACATTAAGCGCAAAAAATTACATTAAATTAAATTTCCAGCTGACCAGCGTCCCGCACGGAAAACTCTTCGAGACGTGCACGTGCACCGAAAAGGAGGACCAGCTGTGCCGAAAAATGCGCGATGAAGTGCTGCAGCCGTGTGTTAATGTGAGTTTGAGAGTACGGAAATTTGGGTCAAGCGCAGCCGCTAGAGCGTTTGTCTCTTAGTCTTAGGGTCCTGGTTCGATTCCTGGCCAGGGCTGCCTTTTTGCTTTTTGCTCCAAGACTCGACTGTAGTTTTTAATAGCAATTTAACTCATTCTTTTCGACCAGAAATGTTAAAAATAAGGAGATTTTTGCACCAAAAGCCCTAGCGCAGTCGATAGCGCGTTGGCCTTTCAATCTGAAGGCGAGGGTTCAAATCCCGCCGCTGTCAAATACTTTGCTTTTTCCTCCAAAACTCGACTGTGGTTTTTGATACAAGCTTAACCCATGTTTTTCAGCCAAAACCCACTCCTGGTCCGGAGGCGTCCACGCGAGCCCCTACTCGCCCAGTGCCAGCCCGAGCCAAGCCCGACGAGCCGTCATCGGCTCCATTTGTCCTCCCATCTCTCCTCCTGGCCGCTCTGCTGGTTTACAGGGCCCTGTCGGCCATCACCGAATTCTAAGGCCCAGAAATACCGAAATACCGGCGAGTAATTTGTTGTAGAACGTACAGGGTATCCCTCCTCGCCCCCACCCCACACCCATATAAAATCGCCATAACACAACGAATGCCTCGAAATTTAGATAGAAGTGGCGACTTGGCGGGCTTGGCTAGCTTAAGTTTTGGGCTTTGTGTTGGTTGTAGTTTGTAGTTTGACTTAATTGATCATCTTAGACCCTGGAAAAGCCCGCGTAAAATCATTTGGCTTGTGAAGCTTCGCCGGGCTAGTTTCTCGGCTTCAAATTGTCTGTAGTTTGTAGTCGACTCTTTCGATAAGTTGATATTTATTGATTGAATATTAGGATCGATTTAGACTACGAAATACAAGCGTTTTCTGTAGTTTTTACTCCATTCGAAGCTACAAAAAGCAACAAGTCCCAAGCCCTACAGGTCGCTCCTCTTTACACCCCCGTCTCACAACAACAATACGGTGCTTACCTCCACTATTTAGAATTTTGGCTCTTTTCGAAAAACATACCCGGTAATGCATTTTCACTCTTCTCTCTCGCTCTCGCTCTCTCTCTTTCTCTGTCTCTCTCTCTCTCTCTCTCTCTCTCTGTTTCTCTCTCTCTCTCCAGCCTGATATCTCCTCTAGTCTGTACATATAGTGAACACCTTCTGGTCCCCGTTTTGTACTTTGTAGTGTCCGCCCCGATTCCGATGTGATCCTGCAGACGATTCGCTTCTCCCTAAAAACTGGAAATTCGCTTATAACGAAAATTGATAATCCTTGCTGGCCTGTTGTGACGAGTGTTGCTCATTTGCTTCTTCTTTTCTCCATATGAATTTTTATATTTTGTGAATTATTTTGGCTTTTCTATAAGAATAAATATTTATTTGGATGGATGAATTATCGGTTTTTGAGAATTTATACTTAGAAATGATACTTAGAAAATTTGGAACTTACATAAAATAGCCGAAGTAAATTGATAGGCCCAAAAATGCTAAAAAATCTTTGGGGATTTGACTTTTTTTTCATTTTCGTGGAGACAAAAAATTTGGTACTGGACCGTTAGCGGAGGGGGATAGTTATATTTTTCGGCCTATAATTAGCTGTTAATAACATATAGTGCTTTTTATGTTGGTTTTTAGTAGTTTTTGTTTGTTAAAGATTTATAACGCAAGTTTTAAACTTTTAAGCATTTTAGCCGTTCGAATCGCCCCGCCCCCGCTAACAGAACAATACCTTAAATTTTAGATACCTTTTAAAGCTGTGACAAAAATAAGAAATTGTTAGATAATAGATCAGCTGGGCTATTGAGATTGAGGTATCTGTGATCGGCGTGATGTAGCAGGAGAATGAGGTTGTTAAAGTTCATAGAAAATTGAGGATAACCTTCAGAAAACTTATTAAAACGTAACAACCAAGTCGGGTGGGTGGGTCGGTGAGGCTTTTGGTTCGACGGTTGGGGCCGAGAAGCCGCAATTGCTCATCTGAATCTGCACCTCCTCTGGGGTGACGATTTCAGAGAAGGAGAGGACCTTAAAAATCGGCTTAAACAGCTTAACTTAAAAACGTAAGTGAGCCCTAGACTTAATCATAACAAAAAGCTCATTAAAAAGCCTTGTTTTAACTTTGACTTAGTTTAAACACTTTTAGATACCTTGCATTCTGTAGCTCCCGTAGGACGACACGTCAGCATCGCGTAGAACTTGGTGCTGAAAGTACTATTTATGTATTGGTTTTCCGGTTCTTTGGAATTACCGGGGGGGGGAGAGATTTTCCTGAGTCCAGAAATGCCTTACAACGTAATAGAAAATGTTTTCATGCTGTTTTTAGCAAAAATTCAAGTGGAAAACTGGCTAAAAAATTGGAGAAATTCGAAACTTTTGTCGAAAACCGATTTTTTTAAAATGTTTTAAGACCATCAGCTGTTTAGAAATATTGACTCTATTTTTATTAAAAATATGGACGTGGAAAAAGTGGAAAAAAAGTTGGTCATCCCCGCTAACGCAAAAGATCCTTAAAAAGGAAAAATAATAGGATAAACAATATATTTATGAAAATAGTATAAAAACATAAAATACCGAATCTGTCCACACGTCAGCATCGCAAGTAGAAACGCGACATTCGTAGCAAGCCGGATGAGAGAGAAAATCGGGTCGGCCAGGTAGGCTTAAAATTTTCAAAAACGCCATTAAAGTTCCAATTTTTCTTATTCAATTTTTATATTACTTTTTAACCTTCAAATTTCTATTACACTTATTTTAATAAATAATAGCAAATTAATATATCCATTTTCTAGTGCAAAATAGAAGCCTACAAGGCGTCTGACGCGCGTGGATCAGCCATTTTCCAGCGTTTCCGACAGTCATAATCACCCAGGAGGGCATGATTATATTTTGAAGCAGCGTGGCTTCCATCTAAAAATGAAAAATTAAAATTTTTGGGGTATTTTGCTCACTTTGTATGCATTCAGGATAATGATCTCCCAGCGCTCCAACACCTTGAATTTTCGCCAGAACTTGATGTCTTCGCTGATGCAAAGGTGGAGGCGAAGAGAGCCCTAAATAAGCTTCATTTTTTGGTTCTTTTGCATTAACGGGGGGGTCCCATAATTGCTAGTTTTTCTAATAAAAAGGCGGCAGTTTTCTAAGCTGTTTTTTTCTAGTATTCTTAAACGCAAAAACCTTACAGATTAACAAAAAAAAGACAAAACTATAGATTTTTCGATTAAAAATAGCCAATTTCTATCAAAATCTCATACTTTTTAATTTGTGAAAGTTTTTTGAAAATCTAAAGTAAAATGGTATTTCCTTCTGCCATATTCCTTGAATGAATAACTCACAAAAAGGACGATAAATTGGAAAACCGATCCCGTGATGTACGGCCAATCGATCAATCTGGCGTACTCGAGCAGTCCAACTTTATGCCCTCCTTGCACGAGATTTACTATCATAACGATAGTCAGCGTGAACGGGATGAAATACTAAAAATTATGCAACGTGAGACTAAAGCAAAAATTGATCGACGAAAGAAACGTCAAAATCAGGCATTTTCCAATTTCCTGACCATATTCATGACGTTGAGTACCGCCATCTCGAAGGAGCCCTCATCTCTGATGCGTTGGCACTGGCGGTAGATGACCGACAGGGTCAACAGGGACACGGTGTACATCATCTGCTGGTTTTCCGTGAAAAGCTGAAGGGCCGAGGCGAGGCGGTAGACGGGCACTGGGACGTCATGGTGGAACAGACCGGCTGAAAGGTGGTATTTAAGTACTGGACTGTTAGCGGGGGGGGGGGCGTCGAAGTTTGAAGTCCAGAAATGTCGTTTTACGTAATAGTAACTGTTTTAATAGATTTTTAGAAAAATTTCTCTATGTTTCAATGGCAACACTATCTGAAAACTTAGAAAATAATTTTTAAATCGAAAATAACGGACCAAAAACGCGGAAAAATAATTGTTTCGTAATAAAAACGACTCACAATCAAAAAACCTCCTAAAGTAAAGCTACAAAACACACCTGTGAACACGCCATCGACGACGATGCCGAGCCCAATCCCATAAATGGGCACCATCATCACCTCGCGGCTCATCCATGGGATCACCTTGGCTTGGCCGATCACCCTGCGCATGACCTCGACCGGATACAGCAGCGCCAGCTGGAGGACCAGGCTAAAAACAGTAGGTTTTTAGAACTTCACGTATTTCCTTACCATGCCGGATAGACGAAAAAGTGCCAAGGGAGCGTCGATTTCGGCCCGATCCACTCCACGTCAACCAGGCTGGCGTTGAACATCTCCGACGCGATGGGGGCCATTTTTATCTTACCTAAGGTCCTCAACCCGTCCTATCTAAAAAGTGTAAACCTTTTTCAAAATTCGAAATTTTGGTCGAAAAATCGCTTTTTCAATGGAAATTTGTAAGTTTTTGTGTTCATGAATGGTAAAAACATTGTAAAACCGTTCCTCTGTTTCTATTAGAAAAATCGGATAGTACAGAAGAACATTGGATCCCTAGTTCTCCAATAATTTTCCCCATCCTTTATCATCCCCGCCACCCCGATGCTGCAAAAGAACCTCGAATTTTCGTAACGCGGAAACGTCCTAATCGCGACTCTATTTCCACAATAATAGTCGATATTTTAACTTTTCAGCAGTATAAATCGGCAAAATTTGGTACAATTTGGCTATTAGAAAAATTGTACTACAAACGTAATGGTGTGATTGGTGCGTCTACCGAGCCAATTGGTGCCAGCTGGTATTCCAAGTTCGGCGTCGGCAGGTGCATTCCCCTATATGGTGCTAGAAGTCACACTAGTGCGCCGTAGAAATGGAGACTATACGATTTCAATACGTGAGAAGCCGGAAACGGGAGTGGCCGAAGGTCCAAAAAACACCTAAAAATTATATTTCAGGTCACAAAATTTGTTTTAGTTTACAGCATATCACCTAAAAATTTATTTTATATTAAAATCACTTCTTTTTTATCTTTTACTTTTACAGTTCCAGGCTGTATAAAAGCGTATTTTTCTTCTTCTGAAAGCTAGAACGTTGTATTCTCGATCTCCCACAGACTTCAGTTTTTTGGGCTTTTTTAACGACGTTTTCCTTCTTTTGAAAGCTAGGCTGTATTCCGAATCACAGAAAAAAACAAAAAAAAAATGCCTGATAGGCTGAATGCAAAGAAAAAAGGAAAATAAACACGCAAGTACCCGATAAAAAAGAATCCAAATTTTTAGCGCGGGGACACAGATATCACAGGTGAGCGCGAAAGCAAGAAAAATCATTTGCACACGAGTAGAAAAATCACATCTGATATGCAAGTAGACTTCTATTAAGGTCGGGGAAATCTCACAGCAAACGAATCTACTTTTTTAGAAAAGACGGGTACAAAATCACAGGTCCCTTTTGATTTGCTACGAACCAAGAAATAAATAACAGTCAAAAACTCAAGAAAACACCCGTGGCGGTGTAAAAAAAAGGGAAAAAATCAGGTGGAATTATAAATTACGGGAAACTAGGCGAATTTGCCGCTTCTCCTGTCTCTATTGTGGAAGTTGAAATCGTCGACGTTACGCTCGCGAAGCTCTGAAGCAGCATTCCAGTCCAGCTCGGCAGCCAGTCGAGACCCGCTGGTGATGGCCGGCTCCCGCCTGAAATTGCGAAAAACAAATCAGTGCATAGAACAGAGGTCCCGTTATTCAGCCGATTTCCCACTGATGTTTGTGTAAGCTAGAAGTTGAACCAGGAAATGAAGGTAAAGGTTGCTTAGCGGGGGGGGGGTAAAGTTTTTATCACTGTTTATATGACGACGAGCGTCGTTTTTCCGGGGTTTTCGGCGTTTTCGGCATTTTTCGAATTCTAGACGCTAGAGAATCGAAATTATACTAAAAGATAACTTAATTCCAACTTGAAACACCTTAATTTAATTATCAATTCCTTATATAGTTTTTTAATTAAAAATAAAAATAAATTTGGTTTCCGGGTCTCCTAGCCCAACTTCGACGCTCTATCTACAGGAAAATGGAAAAATGATGCCTTCAACCCCCGTTATTTACAACTGCCCCCCGCCGCCCCCCCGTTAGCAACCTTTACCGAAATAAAGTTATCCTCCAGAAAGCAAAGAAGGAGTGTGAGAAGCGGAAGGACACCCAATACGCCAAAAAGATACCCAATTTTGGTAAGCTTACCGTTGACAAGAAACGATCTAATATCTAAAAAAACCAGGTTTACAAAATTAAATGACTAACCAAGGCTTTGCCGGTTTGTACCCATTCATCGATTTCGTGTCCATCGCCACGAGACAAGCGTCGCTGAGCGTCGTGTGGGTCCTTGTCATCGGCAACGTGTGCTTCTCTTCTTTGTGGCCTTGTTTGGCCTAAAAATTTGATTTTTAAAAAGATTCGATGAAAGAGGCTTACCCTATTATACGCAAATACGCCCACGATGGCCAACGACATTCCAAAAATGTTGGGGCCCGTCACCGGGTTGTGTAGCGTCAATAGGGAAGCCGTGATGACCTGAAAAAATATATGATTTTTATACGTGCAAACATCTTGGTTTTTCCACCAATTTCAAAAAATAAACGTGACTTTAAAACTTTACTTAAACTCTATTTTCAAAAATAAATTGCTCTTTTAAAACTAAAAATAATGACATTTCGAGAAAAATGGCCGATTTTCTAACAAAATTTTAAATCCTTTAAATTTTCCTAAGTTTGTAAATAATTTTTTTAGCTTGCAATATAGTTAAGTTCTTATTACAAAATTTAACTACTATATCGAAACTTCAAGGAATCAGCAAAATTCCTTTAATTACCCACCGTTATCCGCTTGGCCGTGTTGCAAACCGCGTAGCTCAACGCCGTCAGCTCGTGGATGAGCGTGTAGGAGCAGACGCTTTGCGCGAAAGCCAGGACTCCAGACAGGAACAGGAGGTAGAGCATTTTCAGATCGGGTACTGGTACTGTAGACGGGCCCTGAAAATCGAGGTCACGTAAAATTCACTGATTTTTGTAAGCAATGGATGAATCTACTCACTTCCGACATCATGGCCGATATCATGGAGAGCGCATCTTCATAGAACCAGCCCGGGAAATAGAACAGCGCTGCCAGCTGGGAATTGAGCGATAGGAGGCGGATTGGGTGGATCTCGGTTTCGCGGAGAATCTAAGAAAAATGTACTCAAAATTTAACCCAGAAAATACCTTTTTAACGAGAATGTTCAACAGCGAATACATGAAAGTTGAGAATAACGCCGCCATCAGGCCGATTCCCGAAAATGATAGTTCGGTGGCAGAAGCTAGAAAAAAAGATTGACCAATTTTTTTTCAAGTAAGACCTACCTATTATAACACCAGCTACAATTGGAAGTAGAGAGCAGTACACCGCCATACTTTGTCGCTCCTTCAGGAAGACCCTTCCGAGAAAAACGGCAAATAACGGCATCGTTGCTTTTACTAAAAACAAGATATGTGGTTATCGAAACAAGATTTTCCACTATCTACCTGTGTGAGTGTAGGATACCGGCATTTTGTAGAGGCTAAAGTATGCCGACGCGACCGCTAATGCTCTACCTAAATTTTTGGTTTGATAAAAAGCATAAAACGATACCAAACGAGATCGGGACCAGCATTCGAGTGAAGTGGAAAGAGCCAAGTGTTACGCGTCGCTTTTCCCAAACTCTCAAAAGTGGCGCCGCGCAGATTGGTATGCACATCAAGGCCGACAACCCGACAGTCATTGGATAGGGGTATTCCTAGACGAGAATCCACAAAAAAAAGGCAAGAATTATACCTGGAGTAACATCTTATTAGTGATAGAGCTGGCCGAGCTGATCGAATACCATAAAAGACATAGCAGCACGATGCGCACTTTGAATAGACAGAGGAATTTCAGCATCTGAATGGAGTTTTTACTTGTTTTCTGGATTACAAACCTTGAAGCGAAGTAGTTTTGCGGCGACGATCAATCCATGTTCATTCGTCTAACAGGGTTACCCTGAAAAAAAATTTTTTTTGAAGAATTTTGGCCTAGGTTTTCAAGGAAATAGGAAATGTATCTGTAAGTATTTTCAGCGACTCCTGAACATTAAACTTTATAAATTCAATTTAAAAGCGAATTTTTAGGCCAAAAATGTATTTTTCGACCTAAACTCACCAAAATCACGGATTTTTCACGATTTTTTCTCATTTTAAAAGATCTTTCTACGGAGATATGCTAAATTTTACTACATATAAAAACCACGACTACTCGCTATTCGGGGCTTCCCTAGACTGCTAGAAAAAATTAATCCCCCCCCCCCCGATAATGCAGAAGACCCAAAGGTCAATTTTTATATCAAAAATTTGCATTTTTATAGCGTAAAAAGGGATAGCTGGTACTAGGAAAATTGCAAAAGCCTTGAATCCGTGCTTATGGGTCAACGAGAAGCTGTGGCGTGGCGCTTGCATGCTTCCATCGCCCGGCGACGAGAGAACGAGCGATCGGAGGAAGCGCAGAGTGAGTGGGCGGGCACGCAGCACAGTTTCCGCCCTCAATTTGCCTCCCCCCTCCCGCAGTGAACAGCTATAACGTTGGCGTGTGCCCCGGTGCTCCCAGTCATTTTGTGGTGGTCGAACAGCCTACATGTCATCAGCAACAAATTTCTGAAATATTTATTAGAATTCTGGGCAAAGACGAGATCACAGGCGGAAAATGGAAAATTCGGTATAAAAACATTACAAAATTAGACGAAACAAATCTAATAAAGAGAACTGAGCTTCGAAGCTGCCGCGTTGAAAGCGTTGTCCGCCCATACGGCTCGAGCCATGCGTAACCTAAAAATCAAAGGACATAAAGAGAAATAAGGAATACCATTGTTTTTCTGTCATCTTCGACTTGTCGCTGGTGAAGCTGTCGCGGCAGTACGCGGCAAGCTGGACTCGTAGTTTCTTGATCGTGTCATCGAAGTCCTCGGTCAGACAGCCATCTTCGTATTCGTCCAGTTGTACATTTTTATGATCTAAATAAAGATAAATCACTAAATAAAATTTATATACCGTCACGTCTTGGCTTGATGTCTGCAGTGCAAATGTAGGCAGCGTTATCGTCAGTGGGAACCTAAAAAATTTTTGTATTTTCAAATTTTCGTTAAGAACCTTGATTCGTGTCGAATCGGCAAAGCAGGCTCGAAGCAACCGGACACGCCGCTGCCGTTCTCCTCTCGAAAAATCCGCATCTTTTGCTCGAGCGTGCACCACAACTAAACCCATCATAAAAACAATACTATCAAAATTACCGAGATTCACTTGGCGCGTCATGCTCAGCCCGGGCACGCCGCATTGTGCAGCTACCTAAAAATGTATTGAAAATTCACGGTCACTGATTTACAAAAGCCATATTTGCACGCAGCGACTCGGCCAGTTTAATCGCGCGCAACAGCTCCAAGTCGATGAACCAGTCGACGCTGAGCAGCACCACGTGGCTGACGTGCATCAAGAAGGAGAGGAATTGAAGTGACTAAATCGTGATTCATCACACGCTGATAAAAAACTACCTCCATATTTCTTGAAACTTCCAGCCTTGAATCGATTTTAGCTCCCTTGGAAATGCGGATGCTCTCATCCAAAATAGAGCCACTATTAATCGCCTAAAAATCAATAAAATTGTAAACAGAAAAATCCTACCTGACAATCAATGTATATCATCCGGGTCCTTGTAACATAGATTTGCAGCCCGCTAGTCTGATGACGCGACCCTTCAACGGCTTCCCGAGAACCCGGCCGAAAGATGTATTCTCTAAAACAGACATCGAAAACATAGATCTGTAAAAACCTGTACATATCCTGCGAATTGTTACCGCCCAACATGCTCAACAAGGTCGACTTTCCCGTTCCCTGAGGCCCGATGCAGCTGACGACAGTGTAGGACGTGCTCGTGTCGGAGAGATACTCCTAAACAAAGCAAAATACCGAAAATTAAAGAATTCACAAACGTTGACAAGCTCGAAAAACGACAAATTGTCGCCGATCAGCTTCACGCCGTCCGCCATCGTATTCGACGTGATGGGAATTTTTGTGCTGGCCGTCGCAGCTGACGCCGCATTCTTTAGGATTTGGACTAAACATCGGTTGAATCAATACAAGATCTGAAAACCAGGTGGAGCCGGTTCATTGACCGGAGTGGCTGGGCGGTTTGGTCGAAGTAATAATGGTGGAAATTGAGTTGTGTCAGAGTTTGGTGACGGTTCAGCTGGGGCTAGAATTCAGAAATTGATAGTCGATTTATGAAATCCCACCGTCGGTTCGATCTCTCGGCGCTCGGGTGAGGATCTGTAAGCCGCTAAGGCTTTGGCTCAGCTCATCGGCCTCGTTTCGTTTGCCTCGGCCGCCTCGTCGTTGGCCCCGGGGCGCGTTGAAGAAGTCGCCTCGTCGGTAGGTGCCCCTCGATGATTCCGGCATCACGAAAAGGGCTTGAAAGGTTTAATTTTAAATATTTTTCTAGATATAGATAAATTTTGCAAACTTTCGCTCGCCATTTTTTGGGCGAAAAACTGATTGCAACAACCCGATACCTTACAACTGAGAGTAGTAGCCACACGTAGCGTTACGCAACCTCATTTTTTTTAAGAAAATTTTACGGGCGAGTTTTTAGCCCTCAGGCAGGTTGATTCCTGGGGCGCGCAATAGCAGTGACAGTCCCCAACCCAGGCTTTATCATGTCGTAATGTATTTCGCTATCCCTTTTGCAACACAAACACTCATTTGCTTTTATCTTTTATTTTTGTTTATAAATAGAAGTATTTCTGAAGTTTTTTTGTGGAAGCGAAGATGATTGGCATGTGCACGCCATGTGAAAATTTATCGACATGGGATAACAATAAGGTAACAAGTAACAAAGTAACAAATTTGTAACAAAACTACTTCATTGAGCCTTCCGCTTTGCAGCCGTTGTTCTATTATGCTCAGTGCGACGTTCTAGACGTTCGTGTTGGAATCGGGCCGCTGCTTCGCGGATCGGGCCGTCTCGTTCGTCTCGAAGAGCCAGCCGCGAGCTAGAGGCCATATCATTTTTGAACTTCTGAGTAAGCTTCTCAATCTCTTCGTTGACATTTTGGAGGAGTTCTAAGTCTTGTTCAGCCTGACCCTGGTACGCTAGAACATCAAACCGAAGTCCGGCGAGGTTCTAAAAAAGTTTATACCTTATGTATACTAACTTACGTTGCGTAGTTTCTCCTTGGCGTACTTAATTTCAGCAGCGAGTGTGGTTTGCTTATTCGGATTCTCCTTTGGCGCAGCGTTTTCTTTATCGTTCCTTATTTATTGATATTTTGTTGCTATAATATTACAAACTCTTGATTCCTGTTTTGTTCAACGAGATTCTCGGCATGTTCGACATCATCGAAGGCGGCAATTTCGATATGATCCAACCCCGGACCTCCGTCAGTGATGTCCAAAGAATTATTATCGGGCGCAACTAAACAGCTAAGTTTTTTGAGTTCACAATTACATTTGAGGTGGACCATATGCACGTGCTTACAGCACACTCCCGACATGGTGCTGGAGGGACAGCCACATTTCCATGAATACGGGCACGCCGCACATTGAGAGCAGTGCATATTTAACTCCTTAATTTGATTTAGAAAAAATAGCCAGCTCGATACTGCACAACGGAGTAGATTTGAGTCGACTGCAGATCGGATGAAGGGACTTTGTAGGTGTTTTGACTTTCTTTGATTATATTCGCAGGGCACTCTTCAACGGCACGCTTGTGTCTACGCTTGGTCTCTGCTTGACGTTTAGTGGTGGTTGAGTAGCGAACATCTTGCACTGCTAGATGAGCTCTGTACTTGATAGGGTATTCCATTAGCCGGTGTACGAGTGTGTCGAGTCGTCCGTTTGTTTTCCCCGAAAGTATTTCTCCCTTTAGCCGACGGTGGAATGTCTCTGAAGCCATTGACGTAGAGAACGGAGCATCGATCCGAGCCCATGCAGCCCATTCTTCCTGGCGCGATAGATGCTTTTTCTATAAAAGATTTGGCTTTGAAAATTCTTTTTACTGTGAAGTATGCGAGAAAATCGTGTTCTTCGTGCACCTCCAGCCAGCTGTAGAGGTCAGAAATTCGGTGTGAAAACTCATCGAGATCAGTTAGATTAAAAATCAACTTCAGTCGATCCATCAGCTCCTGCTTTAGCTTTCCCTGAAGAAGATATAATTGTTTTTTATCCAAATCGAACGTCGTTTAGTTTTACGCTGTTGCGGAGCAGCGTCCTCAATTGATGCCACTTGCACAGTGACTTTCTGGTGCGTGCATGCGGGAAGACGGCTTTGAAAGCATTCCAGAAAACGCTGTCATCGTCGCTCATTAGAAACTCCGGGTGAAATTCCGGGAAAAAAGAACTAAAAGTTTTAGAATATTAATCTTTCCAGATTTAACTTACAGAATGCTTTCAAAGAGGACTCGGACGTCAGCTTCTCGGACCTGAGCACTGAGCAGGAAGGCGACCGGCAGGCCACGATCGTGGTGGTCAATTACGAGCATTGTAGTAAGTCTCATTGTATAAGTGGTCACTGCATGGGTATCATCCAGCACCACGCCCCGCGCACCATATTTCATTAGCCATTGTTTTTGAAGTGGAGTCATGAAATCTATGAGAGATAATTTTAATTTTGAAGGTTTACTCAGTAGAAAGCCATTTGCCGACGGAGGGGCGTGTGCTGGCTGGTAGTAGACCACCATATCATCACTGCACTGTTCCAGCAACATTTGGAGCGAAATCACGTCTTCTTGATGGGCTCTACCAGGAATAAGCTGGAAGCGTTCTTTGACGCGCCGCACATCTTCTAGTGTGACGTAAAAGTCATGGCAAAGTGGGCGTTCTTCGTGAAGGTACGGGGCTTGTAATTCATTAATGATGGTCTTGTTCTCGACTCCTGAAACTTGTTTTATTTATTTTATTGGCTGGATTGTACCGAGTTCAAGTAAGCTGACAATTTTGTCTTCAACGGCACTGCCTTCCATATTTAGCAATCGCGGATCAAAGTCATGCGAATGCTTGTCACAATACTTCACCGTAAGCTCTCCAGTATCATGAGTAGTTGTCTGCAGAATTTGGACGTAAGTCATTAACAATCAGTTATAGGAAAACCTGAATAAACGCTGTGCAGCTCGGAGAAACACCATCATCACGTCCTCTGTTTACATAATTGCAGCGATAATACTTATTTTGGCCCGAAGTGCGACGAAGGTAGAAGGATGAGCAAGATTGATTCTCCGTAAGCTTTAGCCACTGCTTGAAAACGTCAACATTCTCCACCGATGTCACGGAGAGCTCATAACTAGATTTTCCATATTATAATCAAGCTTCAAATAAACCATACGTTTTGTCATGTTTTTCTTGAAAATGTTGAGTTAAGGATTGCTGTGTGGCAGCTGAGTATTCGCAAATCTCGCATGTGATCTTGGAAGCTCTCTGAACGCCTTCGTGATTACGCTGCGTGTGTTGCTTCAGCGCACGCGCCGTGGAGAATTTGCTTGGGCAAGAAAGGCATGGGTGGATTTGCGCAGCTTCCCGTCGCGAGGGCCCACTCGTGATGCCATGCTCGTTGATCTCATGCCGTTTGAAATTTCCATAGAGTGAGGTCTCGTAATCACAGTTCGGCGCCGAACAAATGTAGACTGTCTTACGCATTTATATACCTGGAAAAACTTTACTTTAACACGGAGATAATGTATTATTGCAGATATATCGATTTTTTATTTATAAACTTCAGAAATACTTCTATTTATAAACAAAAATAAAAGATAAAAGCAAATGAGTGTTTGTGTTGCAAAAGGGATAGCGAAATACATTACGACATGATAAAGCCTGGGTTGGGGACTGTCACTGCTATTGCGCGCCCCAGGAATCAACCTGCCTGAGGGCTAAAAACTCGCCCGTGAAAATTTTAACTTTTGCGGGTTCTATAGGAATGAAGTGCCATTATGAAGTGCTGGAAGTGGAGCGAGATGCCGATGATGACACCATCAAGAAGGCCTATAAGAAGATGGCGCTCAAATGGCACCCCGACAAGAACCCGGAAAAGATTGAGGAGTGCACCCAAGTTTTTGCCCTCCTTCAGCAGGCTTATGAGGTTTTTCGGGATAGTAATGGATGGGATAGTGTGGTTTTAGGTGCTGAGTGATCGCCACGAGCGTGAATGGTATGATCGACATCGGGAAAGTATTTTGCGAGGAGGTAAAAATTAAAAAAAAAACGAATTATCCCCGTATTACTTTTCAGGGTTCGACGAGCATTACAAGGACGAAAGCTTGAACCTGTTCCCCTACTTTACAAGCAGCTGCTACAAGGGCTTCGGGAAGGATGCAAAGGTAACCAGATCAAGCGCGGCAAGCCCATTCTTTAGGGATTCTACACCACCTACTCACACGTCTTTGAAACGCTGGCGCAAGAGGACTACGATTTTCTTGACGATCAAGGGGTGCAATACCCGCGATTTGGCGATGAATGTAGTGACTACGAATCTGTGAGGAACTTTTGAGTGCTATGAACTGGTTCAGATCGTCGGGCCGTTTTACGGGTTTTGGACTTCATTCTCGACGGCGCGTTCGTTTGCTTGGCTCGATGAGTACGACATTAGACAAGCGCCGAATCGGCCTACTATGCGAGCTATGGTACGGAAAATGCATATTTTGTACCGCAAAATCCAGGAAAAAGAGAACAAGAAGCTGCGAGAAGCCGGCAGGAAGCAGCGTAGCGAACAAATCCGGGTATAAATTTGTTCGTTCCAGGTTTATAGACTCTCGCTAGGAACTCGCGGCTTTTGTACGCAAACGAGACCCTCGTGTCGCTAAGTACAAGACGGTGTTGGAGGAAAAGAAGAAGGAGAGTGAACTGAAAGCCGAGGAAAACCGGAGGAATCAAATCAAGAAACAGCTGGCGTACGGATTTCTTCAGTAAAAATACATGTTGGATCTAGTGAAGCCAATAACTACGTGGAGAGTGACGAAGCAAGGACTGCACGTCTAGCCCATCTCGAGGAAATTGAGCAACAGCTAAATGAGGTTCGTTAAAAATTTTTTCGTATAAAATCGATGTTCAGCAATTCGGTGGCGAAAGTTCGCTGAGCGACGAGGATGCCGAAGATAATGGTCTCTATTGTGTTGTTTGTGAAAAATCCTTCAAAACAAGGTAATAACTTTGAAATCTTAAAATTATATGTTTTTAGAAACGCGAAACAAAACCACGAAAAATCAAAGAACCATCGACAAGCGTTGGCGGAATTGAAGAAATACATGAAGGTATTGGCTCGCTGATTTTGTGAATATTTTTTTGTCAGGAAGAAGACTCCAAACTCTTTGCTGATGACGACGAGGTTGAGCGAAATTCCGATTCTGAAGGTCCCAATTCTTAATTGTCTGAGAAAAAATATTTTAGGCGAACCAGCCGAACTCTCGCAGCAGGCCAGCGGCAAGAAGAGTAAGCGCAGCAAAAAGAATGCGAGAAGGGCCCGGAAGGAGCAAGCAGCTGAAGAGGATAGTGAGAATGAGGACTCGGCGGAGAAGCCTGTGGGGTTGGTTTAGGTTCATTTTATCTTTTAAAATTAGTCTAGAGAATCTGTCGAAAAAGTGGCTGAAGAAATGGAAACGTTGATAATCGTTGACGAGCCCGAGCCGCTCGATCGAAAGAAAGCGGCGAAAGCTGGTTCGTTAGTACTAGAAGTTTTAGTTCTTTAGTACTTCCGGGTGCCGGGGAAGTCCGAATTTTGCTGTAATTAATCCGAATTTAATAGCCAGTATTTACTAGATCTTTGCATAAAAGTGAGCTATTTTTCAAGGGAAAAACTTTTAGAAGCTTTAAAAAATTATTCTAACAAAACCACTTTAAAAAGAAAAACATTTTTAATTAATAATAGATTTTGTGAAGTTTTTCCGTTTAGAAAAAACATAGGAAAAGTATCCCTAACTCTATTTTTTATCAAAAAGGATGCGAAGAAGATAAAATCGGCTCCCACCACGGAAATACAAAAGAACGGGACTTTTTATTGATGTTTTTTTAGAAAAGAAAGCAGCCGCCAAGAATAAGCAAATTCCGGCCCAACCCGAAGCCGAAGCTGGCGGCCCGATCGATCCGAAGCCGGCGAAGTGCGACAAGTAAGAAAGGCTGATTTCGAAGATATTTTTCATTTTCAGATGCGGCGAATGGTTCGAATCACGTTCCCGGCTCTTCGCGCATCTGAAGGAGACCGGCCACGCCACGCTCAAGATGCCCGGACAAGCAGCAGGGCAGAAAAATAAGAAGGGAAAGCGCTAGGGAGCCATTACGTTTTATTTTTATCGTTTGCTTTGTTGGGTTTTATTCGTTGATTTTATAGAGCTGTGGATAATAAAGGGTTATATCTTTGGCACGTTAATACACGCCATTCAGTTGTACTTTACCAGCGGAACCATTTATGCGAATTTGGCGAGGACAATGATGGAGGTGATGAAAGCGGCGAGGCAGACGAGAAATGTTACCGGGATCAGTATGATCTCTGCCATGGCCAGCATTTTATCGGTTTTACTGAATTATGTATTTTTGAGCTTTCGCTTTATCGGGGGGTGGGGTCTAATTTGTTCTTTACCATCCGATTTTTTGTTTTTACTATTAGAACGTTACAAATTTTGTGAAAAACTGCAAAGAAAATCGATTTTCCGATAAATAAAAATTTCAACGTTTCCCAAGTTTTTTTAAAGATAGTTTTTGCACTTCAAATATAGTTAAATTGACGACAACATTATTAGAATACAGGCATTTCTGGACTCATAGGAAAAGTAGCCCTCCCGATAATGCTTAAGGTCCCGTATTTTTTGAAGTTTAGGTTTAAAACTTACTCAGGCCGGCCACGAACCACATCATATCCGAAAATATCCGCACAACCCATCTGTTTAGCGTGAAATAGATACGGGCGATTTCTAGTGGTTAACTGGGGCGAGGGTTGAAGCTTATCAAGCTTTGGAGGGGCTAACCGGGTGGTGAGGCATACCACATAAAAAGACCCGCGTAAATACTGCGCCCACAGAATTTAGAGGGAGTGATGCCCCCTATAAAAGCGCATGGTTTCTGTTGTGATCCTCGAAATGAGTAGTCGAACGATGTAGAATGCGCTTGGACGTACAGTTATCGAACAACTGTTTATCTACATAAATGGTGGCAGGAGGATCGGCAACGCCGATCCTCCTGCCACCATTTATGTAGATAAACAGTTGCCGATAAGTGGACCCGCAACGAGATAATAGCCGATAAGTGGACCCGCAACGAGATAATACAATCTAGTCTTAGGCGGGAAGTGGCGCACGCGACGCGACCGCAGGGGGGCGCGCGCCGGTGGCTTACCCACTGGATAGGAGGGACAGCCGGGAAAGAGGATCTATTGTGGTCTAGCAAGCTAGCACCACAACACCTCCCCTTGTACAACAACAAAGTACAAGTTCCTAGGAGAAATTGGGACAGGAGAGACAAATAAGGCTTAGCCGGATTTACAGTATATGGAAATACACACCAAAAAATAAGATGACACTTATTTTTGCTTATTTTCTTCTTACGACGCACACGAACACGACGTGGCAATCATCCTTCCCTCAACCTTGAACACGCGCGCGAACACGACGTGGCCATCATCCTTCTTTCCTTCTTCGGCTTCACTTGTAGACGCGGCCTTGGGCTTGACACGCGCACCTCCTTCGGTCCATGGCAGCGGCAGCGGCCCTTCATTCATCAATGATCCGCCAGCATCAGCACGCTCCTTCGGTCCATGGCAGCGCCAGCGGCCCTTCATCCATCGATGATCCGCCAGCTTCAGCACGCTCCTTCGGTCCTTTCGTGGGTGAGGACTAACCAACTTCTTTCTTCTTCTGCAACCTTCGCGGCTTCTGGGCGGTCCTTGGGGCAAAACGGCGGCCGGACGCCGGGCACTTCTTTTTGCGCTTGCACCCTCCTCCTTCATCGACAACGGCAGCGCGCCCTCCACCCGAAAATGTGGGGGCAAAAAGGGGAACAAAACACCTCCCTTTCAACTGATCCTGCACGAGCGGCCACCGGCACATCATCCATCGATGGCCATCATCTGCACGCTCTGCTTCTTGATCTTCTCGCCATGCCTTCTTCCTTGTCGCTTGCCAACCATGTAGATGTCCCTGACCTCGACCTTGTCGCTCTCCTTGACCTTGTCGCTTTCTTGGTCCTTGTCTCGTCGGCGTGACTTGACTTCTCGCGCTTCTTCACCTTCTTCCTTCATCCTTGATCACGTTCCTCGGGCACGAGTGGCTTCTTGGCTTGGAATTCCTTGTTCTTGCGTGAGTTCTTGATGATCCTGCTCGCCAGTGTTGTGTTCTTGGTATGAAGTAGAATGCGCACGGACGTACAGTTAGCACCACAACAGTTTCTTTACTCTATTAGTTCGGTTCCTATATTGACGTCATTTTTTGTCATTGGAATTCGGGTAAAGATATGCACAGTGAAGTCTGTGATGTCTCCTAGACGGGGCCACCTCTTCGCGGCTTTTCAACCCTGGTGTTTCTTCAATTTTGATAGTATTTTACACAGTTTTTAGTTCTGAAAATCGCTTAAAATACCTATAAAATTTTTCGCAAATTTCCGACTTTCTGGTTAAAATGTATGAAAATGGCCAAAAAGATCAAAACTTTCGAATTTTCAAATTTTTAAAAATATTTGTTAACTTAATACTAGAGTTGTTATTCGACCCGGATCGAAATGGTCGAAACTTTTGTAGGCTCCCGCAGCGAACACTTTGTAAAATTCATAACTTTTTTCTATAGTAGAATTCCGCGATTTCGTCTTCATTTTTGATTCAGTGAGATCATTTCCTATATTTTGAGTCCTTAAATATAAGTTTTCATGCTAGAATCACAAAGAACGGCACACCATGGCAGGGGGAAGTGGTTCCGAGAAATGGCCGCGCGCGGAACAAGGCAAGCAGGCCGTTCTTGATGATTCTAGCATGAAAACTTATAGTTTAAGGACTCAAAATGTAGGAAATGATCTCACAGAATCAAAAATGAAGACGAAATAGCGGATTTCTACTTTAGAAAAAAGTTATGAATTTTACAAAGTTTTCGCTGCGGGAGCCTACAAAAGTTTCGAACATTTCGACTCGGGTCGCACGCCCATTCAAATGCATGGATTTTCGGCAATTTGAGGCGGAAGGCTACGGGGCGTTACACGGCACGTACGTACCACAACGGCAAGCAACATTGGGTTCGAATCTTTTAGTTGGGTAATCGGATAGGCAAATGTAAAAGATAAATGAAATAAAATATAATTTGGCGATAGAATCACTACCAGGCGTTTCCTTTTACTTTCTTACTACAGTTTGTGACAAAGGATAGGTGGCTCGACTTTTTTCGTAATTTTCTCAGCTATTTGGCATGTAGGCATCCTGACCGGTCGTTCGTTTTGCAGCCCGAAAAAAGGAGAATTTTTTGGTATACTGGACATGTCTTAACAATGAAGCAGCAGATTTTTATAAGCATTTTAAGTTTTCAATAGGCTATCTCATTCCCAGGGCCGTTCGCTACACACTATACTTCGCCAACCACCCCGGGTGGTACCACCCCTAGGGGTGGTTGGAGGGTGGGGCGGGGGGTGGTTGGGGGGTGGTCGTGGGGGGTGGTTGGGGGGTGGTCAGAGGGGTGGTTGGGGGGGTGGTTGGGGGGTGGTCAATGCATTAGCCACCCCACCCCACCCCTTACAAAATTTTTTCATGATTTGGCAATAAAACTTTTTGGTCTTCCGGCTACAGGGTGCGTCAAAAAAAAAAAGCCAAGTTTGCACCAAAATATCTCGCTTATCTTTGAGAATCGAAGGTACGTTACCATGCCAGAATGCTTAAATATGCTGGGTATGAAGATTTAACACAACTTGATTTTTTCGATTTTTGAGTACGCAAATGTCCTATTGACGCTGGTTACGACCGAAAATTGTGCGTTCTTGAACGGGTGGTGGGAAAATTCTGATTTTTGGCCTATAAATAGGTGACATTTGTAGAAAAATAATAGCAAAGTCTTAGAATTTTTGAAGGTTTAGTTCTTTTTTTACAGGCAAAACAAATTTCCCTATTTTGCTTATTTTTACTTTTTAATTCGCAACTCGCTTCAAATACGCTGCCCATGGCTGATATTTTGCAATTAGTGTCTCCGAATGATAATCTTTAGCACAACACCAAATTTTACCTGATTCTATGGTATTTTAATATTGCTTGCTAAAACGTGCCCCAGAGGGATACTGTAGTTTTAGTTTTCCGCGTTTTTCTTTTTATTGTAAGCTGCGATTTCGCTCAAAATTTTATCATTGGTAAACACCAATAAGATTCACCTATCGGCTAAATATCGCGAAGTTCTAGCCATACACCTTCCCAAAATATGCAAAAAACTTATTTTTGAATTTAGCCACGGAAATTTGTAAATATTTTGATGCATCGGACTGAAAACTACTATTATTTGTTTTCCTGGAAGATCAAAACGTTTCTATGGTGAAAAGAGCGAGAAAAGAGCGATTTTCTGTTTTCTACCGTAACCCGCCTGGAGCGCGTTTTAGCATGCCAAGACAAAATTCCATAAAGTGCCAATTTTTCAACTTTAGAATGTTCTCTGGGTGATTATAAGAATGCACGCAAAAAATGACTTAATTTCTGTGGTAAATGACAAAGTTATGAGGGAAAGTGGAAAACCCTCCTCGGAGCCCGATTTTGGACCCGAGGCCCCGGGCCGAAAATCGAATTTTTGCAATGAAAAAGGCATCGGGGTTTGGTGGATACAATTAAAGTACGTATCGAACTGTGCATGAGAGCAAAATTCTGGAATGATCTGGCTGAAGTTAATGGTTGATTTTGATTTAAAACCCGAAAATAACGTTTTTGAAAAGCCGACTTTGGGGCGCTCTTCTAAATTCGTTTGCCATGAAAAGGTTTTGTATTTACGTGGGTTCTAGTTAACTACCCAAGCTTGGTATATGCCAGAAAAGTCGGGGCTACTAAACCCTCAAGAATTTTTTTACGTCGCCTCGAATTCGGGTATATTTGGACTCTTCATGAATTTCTTCTGAGAGATCAGATGGCCCAATAAATTTGTAAATATAATTTTAGAACGCGCCCATTAAGTATTATTAAATAAAATTACGACAATAATTCTAACCGCGCAAATGAATTTTATGGACTGGCACGAAGGTCTGCGAAATAGCACGAATCAACCGTTTTGGAGGCGCTAAAAGGCAACCTTCCAAAGGGGTACGGTAGCTAGAAATTTTTTTCTTGATAGATGGTCACTAGTCCTACACAACTAAGCAAAGCAAACACCGAAATTCTATCTGTAATTTTAGAAATATTTTTCCAAAGTTCAGTTTCGTGACCTCGAGAGAATCCATGACCAGGGGGTCGTCGAAAAACTCAAAAATCCGCGAATCTGAAAAATTTTTTTGATATTTTTGCGGGATTGTATCGAGCCTATAGACATGCTAAAAGAGCTTATTTTGAGGTTTCCACCACAGGTTTTTGTAATATTCGAAATTTACGAAATTTCTCCATATTAAATTTGAGCACGCTATAACTTGCCAACCTGACCTTCAAAAATTCTAAAATTCCGGATGTGCGTAGGGGCAGTCCTTAGGTACCCACATTGTAAAAATTGGACGTGGTCGACCACCAGCAATCCAAAAAAATGCAAACGAAGTTTTGCCAGAACGCACATTTTTCGGGTGTCATTTGTATTGATACGTCGCCAAAAATCGAAAAAATCAAGTTGTGTTAAATCTTCATACCCAGCATATTTAAGCATTCTGGCATGGTAACGTACCTTCGATTCTCAAAGATAAGCGAGATATTTTGGTGCAAACTTGACTTTTTTTTTTTGACGCACCCTGTACATTGTCTTTGAGGGACCATATCTGACTCAAAAAAGCTTTTATTGCCAAATCATGAAAAAATTTTGTAAGGGGTGGGGTGGGGTGGCTAATGCATTGACCACCCCCCAACCACCCCCCAACCACCCCTCTGACCACCCCCCAACCACCCCCCACGACCACCCCCAACCACCCCCCGCCCCACCCTCCAACCACCCCTAGGGGTGGTACCACCCGGGGTGGTTGGCGAAGTATACTACACACCAATACAAACGACCCTGCAAAGCCCGGCAAATCCCCCCAAATTCAAACGAAATAAAAATCGCCTTCGTTTCGATACTTTTTGAATTCAGTTTTCTTAGTTCTTGGTATCATTAGAATCGCCGTGTCCCATTCTACAAAGTTGGAAATCGACTTTTTTAAGATTCCCTTTAGTTTTGCAGTTATAAGGCTTCGAAATTTGGGCCCCATACATTTTCTTGACGAATGGAGCGTCGCGTTGCTTAGGCCCTTATTGCCGCTATTTCTGGGCGTGGTCGAATAACAACTCTACTTAAACCCGACTTGCTCCCCTGGACCTTCTGACGTCGTCGCGCTTCTAAGCGATTGGTAAGGCCAACGGCTCACTTCCGCACGAGCAGCCCAGGCATACGAGAACAGCCGCCTCCATCCCATTGTTTCGTGCCGGGCGAGAAGACAAAAATCACGCTAAAGGAGAGTAGAAAAGTTCTCAAATGTCAATTCAGCACATCTAATCTTTAGAAAACATTTCTTCTAGAAATTTTCAAATATGGCAATGAGAGTGAATTAATTATACCTCGCAGAGCTTTCTATTTTGTGCAGTTTAGGGTGTCTGGCTGTAGCGAGCGGAATCGCGAATATTGAGGCCCGCAGGGGGGTGGGTGCCAGAAGCCCGCAGGCAGAAGCCCGATAGTACCAAATGCCCGCAGGCAAAAGCCCGAAGGCAGATGCCCGAAGGCAAAAGCCCGAACGGTCAAAAGCCCGCACGGTCAAAAGCCCGAATGGACAAATGCCCGAACGGACAAATGCCCGAATGGTCAAAAGCCCGCACGGACAAATGCCCGAACGGTCAAAAGCCCGCCATACATTTCCGTCCGCCACAAACAACCATTTTTCCTGAGCGATGGAAAATCTCTCCAGGGTTCGTATGTCATTTGGAGTCGTTCCTGCCGCACTCGATAGTCAATTCCGTACCAAAAAGTCATCATCTTCTGCTGTTTTCCAGTCTAATTGTTTCAAAAAGCTAGAGATTGAGCAACAACGTTTTATCGGCAAATCAACACCTGACTGGAATAACGAAAGGATTGAAGTGTGGGCGAGAAAATATGGCAAAATGCGCCGAATGCAGGAAACAAAACTTGAAATGATCGACTACACGGCTCGTCAGACCTTACCAAAAACGCACTTGGGGGGGGATAGTGAGTTAACCTCCCAGGCGCACCGCCCACAGCCTCCGGGTTCGGTTCCGCTCCGGTGCAAGCCACCCAATTTCATGAAAATTATTTTGGTTTTTTGCTCCGAAAGTATTACTGTATCATAAAATCAAATAAAACTCGCGAAAAAGGCCCACGAAATAGCAAAAAGCAGCCAGATGTTTTAACAAAGTGACTCCAAAAACAGTCGCAATTTCGCTCCATAATCAGCTTCCAGGGTTGCTATTATCAAGCTCAACTCCTGAAATGCATGAAAGATTTAAGGTACCCAGTTCAGGGAACGATCAATGAAAGGTAAAGATAAAATTGTTGCTCAATCACTAGCTTTTTTGAAATAATTACACTTCAAAAAAGTGGACGTATCCACTTTTTGGTGATCTTTTTTTTGTGAGGACGGAAATGTATGGCGGGCTTTTGACCGTTCGGGCATTTGTCCGTGCGGGCTTTTGACCATTCGGGCATTTGACCGTTCGGGCATTTGTCCATTCGGGCTTTTGACCGTGCGGGCTTTTGACCGTTCGGGCTTTTGCCTTCGGGCATCTGCCTTCGGGCTTTTGCCTGCGGGCATTTGGTACTATCGGGCTTCTGTCACCCACCCCCGCAGGGATTCTTTAGGAAAGCGTGTTTTTTGTTCTAACATTAACCCTAGAGATGCAAAACTTCACCTAGATGTTCGCAAATTGTACCAGCTCAAACGCCCATTATGAAAATGAAGAAAACCTTTCAAATCTCATTTTTCTCCGCATCGGTCGGAATGCCGCGTTTTCGCGGTGTCGCACATCTCGAGTCATCAAAGAAGCCTAAAAAGCGGGCGGAGAAGTTGAAAAGTCGACGACTAACCGCTAGCAAGATTCCGCGAGCGGCTTAGTGCCACGCTTCTCCTTCTTCGGAAACCACCATGCGGCCGTAGCCATTCTGAAAACAAAGTAATACTCCAAAATAGAGCTAAAATAAATAAATGACAAAGATTATATAAACATCAGGTAAATTTGGTATTTAACCGGCCTAAAAATGGCATCAAAAGCGCGATAATTCTGTAATAACCATTTATCAAGCAGTGAAAGTAAAAAACGCGGGAAACCAGTGATTAATCGCTAAATTAAAAACGAGCAAAGAGCAGTAAATCGATGATTCTACTCAGAATTCGGGGGCCACCAAATGGCTGTCTTCGTCAAGCAAGAAGCACATGTTCGCCCCAGGAGCCTGTAGAATGATGTCCGTTTCTCGAGCTCTCATCTTCAGAACCTTTCCATCCTTTTTGCGTGTCAGTTGTCCTCGCACGATACCTAAATTGATATTAGCATGCCGAAAATGAAATGTCGAAATTACGACATTCTAATGTTCGAAAAACCAAACTCCGTTGTCTCGAAACTTTAAAAGCATAAAAACGTGCCTTCTGCATCAATTGTCAGCGCGTACTTATTGATGGTGTTTTGAAAGTCGGCGCGTAGGTCGTAAGGCACAGTCCCCAAATACAAAGAACCATCTAGGGGAAGATGCCATTCCGGGCGGATCCAGAGCGCCTCGACTTCGCGTTCGCAGGCCATCCATTCGTCGATATAATCCATGAGAAACTTCTGCAGCAAGCCGCCATCGTCATCATAGCCGAATCCGAGTCTTTTGACGCGCCATCCCTTCAACATATCCATCTCCAGCTCCTCGACAATGTGGATGGCCAGTGATCCTTTAATGCCGTCAAAAACCCGCTGGCAATGGATAGGATACTTCGTGTACGCATTTTCCGGCTTTAGGGTTTTGAACATCTCCTCGTATTGAATGTACCAGCCGATTACAGCCGCTTCGCGACTGCAATCGGCTGGACTTCGGGCCACCCTCCATATTCTACACCACCACATTTAATCCCTACCTTACGCTGATGCCTTCATGGCAATAACTACACTGATGGCTTCAGATACCTCCTCTAGCCAACCCCCCCACAAAAACATAGCTACCTTCCCGATGGCTTCAGATACCCCTCCGGGTCGAAATTCCGTTAAAAATCTACCAAAATACCTCCCTGATGGCTTCAGATACCCCCCATGGCTGAAATCCCCTTCAAAAACTACCTAAATCCCTTCCCGATGGCTTCAGATACCCCCCATGGCTGAAATCCCCTTCAAAAACTACCTAAATACCTTCCTGATGGCTTCAGATACCCCCCATGGCTGAAATCCCTTCAAAAACTACCTAAATCCCTTCCCGATGGCTTCAGATACCCCCCATGGCTGAAATCCCCTTCAAAAACTACCTAAATACCTTCCTGATGGCTTCAGATACCCCCCATGGCTGAAATCCCCTTCAAAAACTACCTAAATACCTTCCTGATGGCTTCAGATACCCCCCATGGCTGAAATCCCCTTCAAAAACTACCTAAATACCTTCCTGATGGCTTCAGATACCCCCATGGCTGAAATCCCCTTCAAAAACTACCTAAATACCTTCCTGATGGCTTCAGATACCCCCCATGGCTGAAATCCCCTTCAAAAACTACTTAGATACCTCCCTGATGGCTTCAGATACCCCCCATGGCTGAAATCCCCTTCAAAAACTACCTAAATCCCTTCCCGATGGCTTCAGATACCCCCCATGGCTGAAATCCCCTTCAAAAACTACCTAAATACCTTCCTGATGGCTTCAGATACCCCCATGGCTGAAATCCCCTTCAAAAACTACCTAAATCCCTTCCCGATGGCTTCAGATACCCCACATGGCTGAAATCCCCTTCAAAAACTACCTCAATACCTTCCTGATGGCTTTAGATACTTTAAATAATTTAAATAATTAATTAACATAATTAAAAAGTATTAAAAGTATTAAAGTAACTCAAAAAGGCATCTGGGCGCGCGAAGGGGCCTGGGGAAGAGGGGCGAAGAGAAAGGGGGCGTGGCCTCCCGGGAGAGGGGCCCCCACTCGTTTTATTAAGGCGCCACTTTCAAAGTTAATTTTAATAATTTAAACAAAAACTTTTTCGTAATTTTTTTATCAGTTTGGGGGTTTCTGACCACGCTCTATCCGAATCCGAAGAGAGCTAAGCTCTAGCTCCTTTCCCCTTCGAGTTGAATCCGGGACACGACGGACAGACAGACACCCCTACTTTTTTATTATAGTTGATTCATCCTTGTTCCTTTCGTCCTCTGGTTGCCATGGCAGAGTATAGTAGAAATTGTGGCAGGTGAAGGTTGGGATCAGCTGGTATGTGACGGGATCCCAGACGGTGTCGTCTCCGCCGCCAGAGATGAAACAGTGCGCATGCTTTCCATTGAGACTGTCCTTGTCGCGAACCATGACCCAGCCATTATCGCCCGCTACAGCCCACGTGTCCTGGATCCAACCATCGACCTCAATCCAATCCTGAACCATCTCGATTGGCGTCTTCCTGCACAAAGCAGCCAGTCGGGCGTGCACCTTTTCCATCTAAAAAAAGTTACGTTTTTTGCTATTTCCAGAGAGGGGGAGAGGGTACCCTTAAAACACGATTCAAACCTTTTCCCAATCCCTCAGAAAAGCCCGACAACGAAATAATAAGTCTTTTGATGGTGCTATAACAGAACTTCGCAATATTTTTCCGTGGCAAACCATCTAAAACTGTAAAGAATCCAAAATTCTGTGTCGAAAAACCGATATATTCGTCTTTCCAATAATTTTTGTAGCGCTTTTAGGTTTTGGCATAGTCAGAACAAATTAGAAAACTCTCTAAATCATAATAAAAAAAACTGGAGCGAAAGAATGCATTCGAATCCCCCGGAAATATTACAGAACCACTTTTCACACCTCAAAAATCGTCAGTATATCGAGTGACTCCAGAATCTGGCACATCAACTCGGTGGGCAGCTCGATAAATTGGCGAGCCCCGTGCACCGGTTTGTCCTGCGTAAACTTGTCGATTTTCGCGTTGGTGAGGAGCAGCTCGGTGTCGGCGACGTTGTCGAAACATTCGAAGTCGATGTAGAACGAAGAGTTGCCGGACGCGAAGTAAACATCATTCCAGCGCTTGTCCGCGACGCGCACCATCTTCTCGAGGTCCGGGTGAGATTTGGCGAGTTGAAGGAGGGAGGGCGCATCGAGGAATCCGACAATGTTGCTGAAGATCTTGGCCGGAAGCGCCAGCAACGGCATATCGAGCTTGCGCAGTTTTCCTTGCGGGTCCTCTGAGCACATGGGCGATTGTTGGCCCGATGAAGGTAATCTGTAAAGATTATTGAAGGTACTAAAAATGTATTTTTTCAAAGACAAAAGAAAATACAATTTCTACAAGAGCTTTCGGGGCTTCTCAAGCTGTTTTAATCAAAAACAATTCACCAAGGCATTATACTGGCTAACTAGTGGGCTTTTTATAACGCCAGGAATTTACCTACCAACGAGGAGGCCGCACTCGGCGCAAATGACAGCGCCGGCGAGCTGGTCTGATTACCTGAAAAATTTGATTTTTGGCGTATGTAAAACCATAATTAGGAAAATTGTTTAGTAAACAATATGAAAGCCAAAATAAAAAAGTGCAGTACGTTTATTACACCTTACAAAGTTTCGTATTTGTCGTGGGTTGGAAATGCTGATAGGGGCCTATCGGAAACTTGGGGGATCAAAATTTTTCAAACTTTTACAACAGTTGACCGCATACCATGGTGGCACCAAAGATTTCGGTGTCACCATGGTGAGGCGGAAAATCTCGGTGTCACCATGGTACGAACTCGGGTGACACCATGGAATGGGCCGGTCTGGTGTCACCATGGTTCCAAAGTCTGGTATCACCATGGTATGGACCAAGGCTGGTGTCACCATGGTATGCAGCCTTGGTATCACCATGGTAAGGAAGAGGTTGGTGTCACCATGGTATTGGCTCGGGTATCACCATGGTAAGGAAGCGGTTGGTGTCACCATGGTACAAGTTTGGTGTCACCATGGTCTGGCAGGCGTTTACCCAATAATTATCTAAATGATTTTTTAAATGTTTTAATTGTTTTTACGGGTAGAAACATCATAAAAATCGGCTAAATAATTTTTATAATACTTTTTATAATATAAATACTTTTTAATAAGTTTGTCTACTAGTTTGGGGTGTTCCATTTGACCTAAAATCCTGAAAAATATTTCGAAATTTGAAGTTTTGGAGTCAAGGAAGTGTTTTTTTGGATACAAGGTGTTACTTTGATGCTTGAAGTAGATAAAACCTTTCGGTATGTATCGCAATGCTTGTTGAAAATTACTCTAAAACAGTCACGGATAACCATAAAACAATCTTGCTTATTATTTTATTTACCTATATTTACTCCTCTTCTGTGGCTAGTGTTTTTACTTTACTTTACTATTTAATGAATAAAAAAGCTAAAATTTAAAATTCAATGGAATGGAAACATCGTGGCTCCGCCGGTGACACCGTGGTACGGCTAGGTACGCGGCACTACTCGGTCCACTGCTACCACTTGCGCCCTTCACATTTGAAAAGGCCTCGGCTGGCTGAAATTTTCTAAGTTTTCAACGCTGAAACAATAAATATGATAAAACTTTGTCGTTTACAAGGTTAAAACCTTGATATCTTTGATATTAATGTATATTGCGATGTTTAGGCGATATTTGTTTAGAAAACCACTCACGACGGTGCAAGAATCGATGGTAAAAGGTGCGTATTTGTGTTTTTGTTATGTTTCTTTGTTTCTAGATAATCTTCGCAGCTCGAATGCTGCTCCTGGATGATTGAAGACGAGAATTACGTCCGGAGATGGCTTCTTTGGTTAGGTTTGTGTTTAGTTTCTCCGGTTTTGGCTTCCGCACTTCGTTTACTTTGTTTCAATGCCACGGGCGTTGAAATCTATCAAAACAGAAGGTTTCATGCAATTCTCTGCTATAAAACTTCTGTTATCTTCCCTTTTCAGTTTCGTGCTTGCCCGGAATGGATGGCTTCACGATGCTAGTGCTGCCTTGTATGTTTTCCTTTGTTTCTTGATCTTTTTTTTAGGCAATTTGCAAGGACCAGCTTCGAACTTCCAATGGGCCGCCGTACACGATGACGGTTGATGTGGCTGATGTTGGAGCGGTAACAAGGAAGGATGCTGTCTTTGAAAAGTATGTGTTTTAACACTATCAGGTGCTAGTTCGCTTTGGTTTCTGTAGTTTACCGCGCTGCTAGGTTTTCATTACAAAAATTTGATTATTTTGCCTGGCCAAGAATGCCTGTGACTCCCTCAAAAATCTGTGGTATTTCCTTGTTAGCTGCTGCTGCTGCTGACGATTCTGTGCGTATTTGGTGTTTTTGTTATACTTCTTTGTTTCTAGGTAATCTTCGCAGCTCGAATGCTGATCCTGGACGATTGAGGACGAGAATTACGTACGGAGATGGCTTCTTTGGTTAGGTTGGTGTTTAGAAGGTTCCGATTTCGCCTCCGCTCTTCGATTTTTGTCAGTTCTTTACCTGTTTTTATCAGTTTTGCTACATTTTTCATAAAAAGTTAACTTTTTCCCAGCTTTTGTAATCCAAAAATGATTAAATTGGCTTGTCTGAATTTTCCTAATATTGTAATTTTCTTCTTCTCGCTTCTTCTTCTTGCTTCTTCTGATGTGGCGTCGCTGATGACTTTGACTACATTTCTCCCTTTGGTATTCCCTTTGGAGGCGAAATTATTCTTAATTTTAGCTAGAGGATCGTCTTCTGCCTCAGATGGAAGATGAAAATGCAATGGGCGATAGATCACACTGAAAAGGTTAGCGTTTTTAACTTGTTTTTGGGCCTTTTAGGAGACCGTAACCATTTCGAGATTGCTTAACAAAACCTAGCCCTTTTTCGACTTTAAAACCCAAAATTCACCTAAATCAGTGCCTTGTCTTACAAAATCTTATAATTAGTCTTGTACTGTTTTATTTCCCCGGCAGCAAAAATTCCTGGCGAAAATTGGCTCGATATGGGGCGCGGTATGGTTCTATTTTTTCCGAATTCTTTTGATGGGTTTGATGCGATTCCATATCGGATCAAAAAAATATGCTAACCGTTTGAATTGCAGCTCAGAATCGAATTTAATATAAAAAGCTATAGCTAACATGAAATTCCTGTGAAAACTGATTTTTCTAAAGCTAATTTTCGACCTTTTGTAAGCGTCATTGGCTACAGGATCCAAAAAGATACCGGAAGTTTTCATTTCAGCTCAAAATAACGACCAACCAAAGCAACAAAAATTTTTAAGACCTTTTCCCGCCCGAAATCGACTAGTAGGATGAATTATCTTAGATATGTATCTTATTTATATTATTTAGTCATGAGTTTTTGCCGAATGTTTTCTAAGTTTCATTTTTAGACCGGATGATCATTGGGCGAATTCGCGATCGGATGGAATTCGGCATTGCTACTTGGTGAATCTATGGCGACAGTGACAAATAAATGGTGCAGGTAGAGTTTTAGAGTAAATCGCGCTCAAAGGTACTTTTTTTATTTTTTTTCATTAAGTTTTGCTTGAATAACGTAATTTTGGCAAAGTTATTTCTCGTAAAACTTATTAGGGGCCTCTATAATATGATAAGGCATTTTAAAAGAGTAGTTTACGTCGTTTCGTACTTTATATACAACTTCCAGTATATTTCCTATTACGGGAATATACTGGAAAAGCCAAGCCAATATTATGTAAAAACCATGGTGACACCAGCGCCATACCATGGTGGGACCGAGTCCTCACCATGGTGGCACCGGACCCACACCATGGTGACACGGGCCACCTCACCATGGTGTCACCTTCGGTAGCGTGTCTCCCTTTTGGGACAGGTGACACCATGGTGAGCAACTTTGGTATCACCGCGGTATGCGGTCAACTGAGCAACCTTTCGAAGGTTCCGAAATGAAGCTCTTCTCACTACAAGTTTTCTACAAAGATGAAATATCGAGTCAAGTAAACTATCCTTTCAATATTCATTCCCTTGCAGGCGACACTATTGAAAGGTGCATATGATCTCTCTTCCTTCACCTTTTTCAAGCGCAGCTCTGTTCAGGTTTATTTACCTTATTCGGTTAATTTGCGTTCAGGATTTTATAATTTTCACCGCCAAGCTACTCGTGGAGCGCGCGAATAAGGGCACCCGAACGACGGTTACAGGTTGAATTTTCTTGAACGGCGACTCTAGAGTTCTTTTATTCCAGAACAAGAATACCGTCTCCACACGTACGCGCGCGCTGACGGCTTGTCTGCTGTTTGTACGACAGATAGCGAATATCAACAACGGGTTGGTATCGACCGAAAACAATACTTTTTATTTCCAGGTGGCGTTTACGATGCTGATGCGCGTGTTAGATGATTTTGCAATGAGGGTACCTCGTCGACATTGGGTTCGCGCCGTTTTTTCTGCTTTGACGCGCCTATTTAGGCAGTAATCAAAAGCGATAGGGAGTGCCACTACGACCAATTGCCGGTGCAGCTGACAAAATGGCAAAACCCAAG